GTATATACATGTATATATGTACATTATAGTATATGTGTATGTCGTAATAATAATAATAATAATAGTAGTAATATAAGTTATTAGTATTACAATATAATATATGCAACTTATACATTGGTGAACATAGGACTAGTTAATCCTCCCTTTCTACATGGGATTAGTAGTCCCTCCTAAAGAGGTGTTTTTGGTGGGCCCGGTATTAGCAATCCCATCTAAGACTAGAATTAAATGAAACAAACATGGTACTAAATTTAGTCCAAGCCAATCTAAGCCAAACCTGTGTACCAAACGACCCATAAAAGAGCTATTTCCTAATTCATAGGCGAAGCGATTTCAAACTTTGGACCTCTTTTAACATTGAGAATATAAGTAATTAATTGTAGAAACATTGGGATAAAATCGAATGGGGATGATGCTAGTTGTGTGAATGTTCCTATTGTATTGGATTACACTTCAATTAATTAATAGCTATTATATTTCGTATAATGAGTGAGATTGTGCATCAAATAATAAAACTCAAGCAAATGCCTAATGGAGGGTTTAGGCCCAAGAATTGTTTTTTATTTTCCACTAAACCCAAGAATTGTAGGCTGGGGTGAAAATGCATTGAAACCTCAGATTTGGGACGAGCCAAAAATAATTTTTAAGTCCTATCTTTCCAATTAGGAAGGCTGAGCTACTCTAGTATAGCCCACGAATAGGCTTGGGCCAACAAAAGCCAACTGCGCCCATGCAAGACTTGTTTTGTTTTGTTTCTTCTTCTTTGTTTTTTGTTAATTTTGCTGCTGCTTCTTTTTAAAGTCACAAAATCTCTCAATTATGAGAGAAATTGTCTCTAATAACGAGCTATACTCTTGGTTTGACCGCTAAATACATTAAGTGTTTTGATAACATTTCTATTGAGAAGTGCAATACTATAAGAAACTCATACAAACTACACAGATGCAGGAACACATCAAACCAGATAAGTAGAAGATTTTCCATTCAAAATACCAGGACAAAAACTATGACATGTTACTGAAGGTCGCACAAAAATGAGGGTCAAAAAACGCAGGAAAATAATTATTAAACGTCATCTACAAAATTTGTCAACGACATATAGATAAGAGAGAAATAAATTTTGCAAAGTGCGATTCAGAGACCATATAGAATAAAAACAAACATCTAATACAATCCTAAGACCGTTGTATTGTCTCCTAATATAGAATGTCATCCGTTCTTAAATGCAAACTTAGGAAACCAAACGGTGTTTAAGTAAACCATCATTGGTCAGGTACCAGTAGTAGTGCATCCAAGCAAAAGTTTCTCTCACATACTCCTTCGATTTGAAGCTCTGCATCAGCTTAATCACCTGCACATTTGGCACATCGATTTCTGGGTGCTTTGCCAAGTTATAGTCCTTCTTTGCATAGCACACTCCCTCTGTTCAAATTAAATTAATACATTTTAACAAAAAAATGGAAACGAAGAACCAAATTTCATTGAGAATAAATAAAAAACTAAGCTTTTTGTGTGTACCTTGGAAAGGTATTTGGAGATTTCTCTCCTCTTCTTCTCTGAGATGATCTAGGATAGAAAAAACCAAATGTAACAGATCAGAACCATGAACAAACAAACTTTTCTTTTTTCTTTTTCATTTTCATTTCAGTTTCACAGGAAACAGACAGAGAATTGGATAGAGAAATACCATGGTTGCGAAGTTGAGCTGATGACTAGAGGAAGAGAAGGCGGCAAACGAAGAAGGTCGAGGTCTCTCTCGCACTAGAGGAACAAAGCCAAGGGAGGAGAGAGAGCCAAAGAGTTAGCGGCGATGACAATATTGAAAGAAGAATCAGCCATTATATTTATAACACATTACCTCCATTGAAGGGCACGTCAATAATTTACCAAAACCAAAGAAGAAAAAAAAACACAAATGTTGGAAGAAGAAGAGAAGGAAAAAGGAAAGAAAAGAATAGAGAAAAAGGAAAAATATGAAAAAAAAATATGAAGGTGAAGTATAGAGGAGTACAGGTCCGAAAGTATCAGTTGCCCAAAAAACTACAATCAAACCAAATATGAGATTATGCCACAAGCAGTTGAAAAAAAAGTGTGTTTTTTACCTCACAATTTTTGGTCGAAGTCTTGACAAAAACTGGGAGTGGTCATGGGTTTAGGCGAATGTGGCTAACCCGAATCCAATATACATTGGGCAAATTTATTTTGGAGAATACAATAAGTGAAAATTGCAATCTATTAAAATCATAAGTAAAATCATGTAATTTCAATCTATTAAAATCTTGTAATTACAAATCCGGCTGAAATCCATTGCATTATAATCTTGTAATTACAATCTATTAAAATCTTAATTGAATACATCCCTCTTAAAAATCCCGCTCTGATTTTTAATAACTGCTCACTCTGATTGTTATGTTGTTATTAGGCTTGTAAAACGGGCCGGGTTTAGTAACGGGTCTTTTCAGCCCTAAAGAGTTATCAGGCCGGGCTGGGTCAGTTTTATTGGCGCGGCTATAATGCAGGGTAAGTTATGCGCGGCTATAATGCGGGGTCAGTCCTATGTCAAATATATCAAATTTTTTTCCTCTAACCTTGCAGACTCATAATTTGAGTCCACAACTTTATTAAATTATTAAGAATTATTAACCCTTAAAAAAAATTCTAGTTAATTTTTCTTGACATTATTTTGTTTCAACTTTCGTGATTTAATTTTCTAAACATTTCAACCTTAAAAAATTAAAAAATTCCAAAACATAATGCTTCGTTTGGATGAAGGAATTGCAAATTACATAGAATTTTAAAATGACGGAATTTAGATTTCCGTCATTTCAATTTCTGGCAATTGAAAATTTCAGTGTTTGGATTTATGTATGTCGAATTTTGTAAATAACAGAAATTGAAAATTTCAATGTTTGGATAGCTCATGTAAATTATAAATGAAAGAAATTAAATATTTCGAAAGAGCAAAAAAACTGATAACTAACATAGAAGGTATTCCTCGAAGTATGAAATAACATATCGTTTGATGAACTAAATAACTCAACTTAAACAAACAAAGCATATTAGCAAACCAAATCACTCCCCACGTGCAATGAACATCAGTAACATACTTTTTTTTTCTCAATTGGGAGTGCCTATGGAATTAGAACTAGAAGCAATCAGCAATCAAGACCATGATACTGCTTTTTCACTTGGCAAAAGACCAATGACCAGAGAAACTGAAAGGGCTTTGATTAAAAAGTTGCAAACAAAAGTATAGGAATAAATGATGAAATCAATGAATCACTATCATAAGACTTAATTTAAGTCCCAAAGAATGAAGGAGCACCTTGGCCAAGCTGTAGCTTACGAGCAAGTTGGTGTAGCTTACAATCAACATCTAATGGCTCACACAAAGTGAAAAAGCTAACAAATAGCTACAGAGCAAGGCGATAACACAAAGTGATAAAGCTAGCAAACAACTACAGAGCTGTACCATAAACACCAATCACACACCAATATCCATGGGCATAGAGTATTTTGTTAAAACTTCCCAAAAATCTAGCCACAGTGCCGCAAAGATCACAAAACCCATTCAACACATTCATAAATTTAGTAAAAAACACCCAATTTTGATAGCCATTCAGAAACCATGGTAACCCTAAAATAAAAAATATATAAATTGAAGGAGAGAAAGGCTTGAAGACTAACCTTCAAACTTGATCCAAAGAGCCATGTAACCCAAGAAGAACTCCTTCTCCTTACTTCTCTGGCTATACTCAATTTCATAGGTTTTTGGCGCTATTTTTTTATATATTTATTTTATTTTATAATGAAAATTTTGGTGAGTTTTTTTTTTATGTAAGTTTTGGCACACTGGAAAATATGAATTCCCGCACTACGGAAATTGTGAAATGACGCCTATTCTGGTGGAAATTAAACTCGGGAATTTGATACATCAATTTCCATGATTTTTTCCACGCGTCATTTAATAAGTTCTGCGTTTAAGTTGCCAAACAAGGGAATTGTCAATTTCTTTTCTTCAATTCCTGACTTTTACCTAAATTCCGAATTATTTTCCCTCATCCAAACGGAGGGTAATAGAATTTCACTTAAAAATAAAAACAAGTACAACAACATTTTATTTCATGGACTTTGAAAGTAAAAACAACTACCACACGATTTATATTAAAAACAATGGAACCACATAATTTTTTTAAAAGCGGCAGCAATCCCTGGAGCTGTTACTTTTGTGCATACCTAGAATAATTCGAACCCCTCATTGAAGCCATTGTCATAATTGTCTTCCATTTTTGCTTTTACTTCATTGGATTCCTTTATCCTCATTCAATAATGTTTTGAACTTTTGCCCACCTCCACTTGTGTTCTTCAATTATTTTCTGAATCCTTTACCATCTCCTATTGTCTTGTTTCAATCATGTTTTGAACCATTGCTCATCTTTGTCCATATCACTTTATTGGACTCCCTTATCTTTCCCTATCTTTTCCCATCTTCATTCAATTATTTTTTGAACCATTTCCCATCTTTTATTGTCTTGTTTCAATCAGGTTCTGAACCATTGCTCTTCTTTGTTCAGCTCACTTTATTGGATTCCCTTATCTTTCCATATCTTTTCCTATCTTCATTCAATTATTTTCAAACATGTAGGTCATCTCATTCTCTTATCTATTTAATAAGTGTTATTCTACTGAATTGACCACACAATCTCTTTCAATCTCATTATCCTTCTTACAATGAATTCACGTGGGAATGCTATGCAAAATTTCTTCAATAATGATTTTGATGATAATGACCTTCATCAACAGAGGGTTGCAATGGTCGTTCAACACCATCCGTTTTTGTTGGAGCAATATGCTCAACAATCCAAACATGATAAGAGTCTCATGGAGGACTATTCTGTGAAATACCACGTTGTCCCCCAGTGGACTTTAGTAGGCTGTTCCACATGAGAAGAGAGTGTTTCTATCGCATCTTGAATGACGTTGTTCACATGAGCCATACTTTACCCAGAAGATAGACGCTTGTGGACGACAAAGTCTATCCCTTGAGCAGAAGCTAACGACAATTTTTTAAGATTTGCCAAGCATGATACAACTTGAGAGGCCTATTCGAAGGTTTATTATCATTCAAGAAAAGTGTTTTTGTATTCATATTCTACCCACGAAATAAAATAAAAATCAAGTTAATAATTGAAAAGAATTAGAATTATAAATTTAAGCATTGAAAAAAATGGGTACTCACCACATCTTCAAGATTGGAGCCACTCACATGCCTTGCATTGGCCTTTGTCATACATGTCTTCCATAAAGAACATTGTTGGTTGATGATCTTGAACCGAGAAGCAATAGCTTGCAGTGATTGTACCCCAGCTCCGCTCATGCCCGGATCATTTTCCAAAAACTTTTGGTACACACGCAACCAAAATGAGTTGTTTGATTGATTGATGCCAATAGCCCCATCTTCAGAGATAGAAACCCACCCTTTGCACAATGCCTCATCTTCTTGTGGTTTCCAATTCACACCTCTTTGGGATTTTGGGGCCACTCTCAACAAAAATGAAAGTAGAATTTGGCTGATGTAGCAACCCAACAATCGATGGAGTTGCTCTTGGACGAAAAGACCGTTGTTGAAGAGTTGATCAACTTCTTTGCTCGGAAGGGAAGGGAACAAATGGTTTTGGCCGACAAGCAAGGGTTTGAGTTGAATGACATTTTCATTCCAAAGAAGAAAAGGAGCAGACTTGGTCTTGTTTCTCTTAACATGAAAACACTGAAAAGGAAGAGAGAATGTACTGCTGATCCTAATAGTTCTGAGAGCGGGAGCCAGAAAAAGAAGAAAGAGGAAGGGGTTCATGTTCAGAATTGGACAAAAAAAGAGAGTGCTCGACCGGAGCAACGGCCAACAAAGACCATAATTACATAGATAACCGCTCCTCCCCTTCTCCGTCTTTAAGGGGATGCAGCAAGATTGCCAAGGCAAATAACTGGTCATTCCGCGTCAGTGATGTTTCCAAGCTTCGCTTTGTGATTGTCAAGCTTAATAGCACCACCACAAATGAGGAACCTCACTAACATCTTGGATCAACTTCTTCTGGGACCTCTCTTACTCATCAATGAGTAAGCAAAACTGGTGTATCAACTTATTGTCTCAATGAATAACTCTTAGTACGTAATACATATAGATATAGTTTGTAGAGATTCTTTTGGATTCGTGTTTCAGAAACCGACTTCATAGAAATTAATTACACTTTAGATCAATATTCATTTATGATGATGAAGGGTTGAACTGTATTTTTATAAATCTCTTCAATGGAATCAAATGAATTTTTCATGTGCTCTTCTCTCTTCCCACATTGTTTTGTCTTTGTGTCCATTTATATATTTGTTTACTGATCCGTTGGAATCTTTCTTTTGAGAGAGTGAGTGACAGAGAAATTCTTAAAGTTACTGATTTGAGATTTTCCCTGTAGTGTGATTCATCATGACTGGGAGTTTGTACTGTGTGTGTCTTTCATGGTTCTTTTGCTTTGTGTTTTCTATTTGGTATCCCTAAATGGACTACTTTTCCATTCCTTTCTGTACTCATTTCCTTTCTTCCATAAAATTCAGTTTCTTATAGGCTATAACAAAGGAACTGATAGCCACTTTATATCTTACATTTTACTAGACTGTGTATTAAACTTCTGGTCCCTATGGGCTATTGCCGCAGCTGCCTTCTCTGTTCGAATTCATAAACCTTTCGAAGATTTAGGATCTATTGTTTTTGTGGTAATTCAACTTCATTTCTTACATGGTAGAATCCCCAATTAAGAGTTTAGGAAAGTTTGTAGTTGGTTAGGCATGAGGAATTAGAATATAAAACAGTAGTTGACCATATCATGACAACTTAACATGAATTATGTTTTTCTTTTAAATTATAGGGAGCCACTAAGTGTCATTTCTCTCTCCTCAGATTTAGGAGCTTTTAGATCTCCCTATCTTAAGAGATAGATAGGGAGCATAGTTGGAGTTGTATTTTTCCAATTCTTCCATAAAATTTGTTTAAGGATGCTGTTTAGGGGGCTCATTGTGGATGCTCTTATCAGGCAGCACAAAAAAAAAAAATCCTTTCAAGGTTTGTGGACTCCTTCCCTACGTGCATAAATATAGAGCTATGAAAGGGGTTTGTAGTTGAAGTGATAAGAGCGATCCAAAATCCTATTTTCGAATCTCATTCCTTTAATATTGTTTGTATAAAAAAGAAAAAAAATAAGAAACTATTATTGGAGCCATTATTGTCAATTCCTCCTCTACGTGCATAAATAAAACTCACAAACGCAATACCATTATTTGACTGAAACTCAAAGCCATGGTTTCCCCGCATTAAAACTCATATCCACGTGGTCTACACAGTTCAGAGCGGGTGTAGCGTTACTCGAACGCCATGCTGTGGCCTAAGTGTAAGAAATTGAAACGGGGAGTGGACGTAGGCCGGAGAGAGGGTGAATGAGTGGTTCTGTAGAATCATTGACAGGGCAATCTTTGCTTCAATGGTTACAAACTGGAAGCCCACACAAGTTCGAGGTCCCATTCCAAAGGGAAGGAATGCCACCATGTTATCCTTGGTAGCTTTAGCAACCCCTTCTGAGAATCTCTCTGGTTTGAAAAGGTGCACGTCTTCTCCCCAGAATTTAGGATCATGGTGAAATGCTAGGTTTGGGAGTAGCAGTTCAACATTAGCAGGGACTACGAGATTTCCCAGTCTAACTTCCCTCTCAGTTTTCCTTTCCAAGGAAACAATAGGAGAGTATAATCTCAGGGACTCATTGATAATCATACTCATCTGCATTGCATGCATCAAAGTTAAAATTAGACAATAAATAATCAGCATGCATTTAAAACTTACAATAACCAAATAATTGAATTGATTTTTCTTACTTACTGTTTTGAGTTTGGCAATGCCATCAGGGTTTGGAGTTTGTTTGCCAAATAGTTGTAGGACCTCCTTTCTTGCTTCCTCTTGCCAATCTCTATGGAGGGCCAGAAGAAAGACAGTCCAAGCAAGCAAACTGGTTGTGGTTTCTTGTCCAGCCAAGTAGAAAGTCTTGCACTCGTCGACCAAATCGTCCACTGAAATCCTCTGCTTCTCATTGGTATCATGGTGAGCCTCTAAAAGCAATCCAAGAAAATCACTCCCAAAGCCGTCTTCTTCTCCAGCCATTGCCTTCTTTTCTCTTTTCTTAATAAGCTCCATTACGCTGTTGCGTATTCCTTTCTCAAGCTCCGCTGATTCGATCTCATCTCTGGTTTTAAAGATCTTACTGCAACATTGAAAATGAAAGAACATTGGTGTGATCAATAGTTGTTTGCTGCAAAGCTTAGAAGGAAACTTAGTTTTATGCATAACAAGGCTGAGTTACGTACCTGATACCTGGAAACCTAATTTTGTGAGTATTTTTGAATGTCAAGAAGGCTAACTTCATCAACATCTCAAAAATGTTCTCGCCTTCTAAGTAGCTGCTGCCAAAGGCTGTTCTGGAGATCACTTCTGAAGTGAAAAACCTGAACTCGTCGTAAACTTCAATCTCTCTGCCTTGATGGTTTTTCAACCTCTCAAGCATTGTCTCGCCACTGGCTATCATTGCTGGGATCATACTCTGATGAACAAAATAGGAAAATTCTACTTTAAATTTGATATGCTCGAAGAAAGAATCACCAATAATATTTAACGTTAGGAACTCACTTTTAACCTCTCTCCATGGAAGGCATGGTTGGCCAGCTTTTTCATCTTGGACCATTTTTCACCTGAGGATCTTGTGAGGCCATCTCCTAATAGCTTCTTCACATATCCTATTGTCTCTGCTTTTTGAACAGCCCCATCATTGTTGTTCAGTATGTCTTTGCATATTGCAGCTTCTGTAATGACAAGCTGAGGTTTGGAGCCATGCCATTGAAGATAATTCTTCCCTGTTTCCAAAGTGTAACAAGTTTGTTGACACAGAAGCAATTTCAAAATACAAAAATAGTTGCACCAAACAAACAGCAATATGAGATACAAATAATGACAGAGTTTGAAACGAATCATCATGTCAATCATGAACAGACTTGAGGTTTGACAATTGGTCTTGGTTGTTTGTCAAACAATTACAGTAGTTGAAGATGCATGAAGGGAAGGGTTTCTTTACCATATAACTTGGTCCACAAGTGAATGTGAGGTTGAACTTGAGGAAAGCTGTCATGTAATAAGCTCATGGGCCTGCTCATTGCTTCCCTTTTCATGTTGGAGATTTCTATGGTGTTTCCATGGATAAGTCTGTAAGAAGGGCCTTGGATCCCCTGCAGAGCCATCAGCTTCCGAATGCGAGCCGGTTTCCACCATAGCTTTTCAAACATCTTGATCATAGCCAACAACAGCAGCAACGTTACACAAACAATGCTTGAGACAAGTATCATTTTTCCCAATTCTTCTCCCTTCATCTCCTTCTCCTCTCAACCTACCTAGTCTGTTTCTCAGTTTTCTTCCTCTCTTGTTTCTCTGTAACAAGCTTCTTGCTCGTCTTCGTTGATGATAAGTATTACTTGGTTTGGGAGAACAAACGAAAATGAAAATGAAAATGATTACTTCCAATTTATGCAAGATTCGTCTATTTAGAGTTAAAATTACAAGTTGTAGGGTAATCTATGCGAGAATGAAACGTTTAAAACAGCTGTAAGCCTGCCCCCCCTGCCCTGTATGGTTATAGTATATAGCCTTTGGGTCACTGAAATCAACGGCTCCTGATCAACCGTCATCGGATGACTTCAACATCTTCTACGTAGGAAGGGCCCACCTCCAGGGTGTAAGAATCTCAGTTGAATTGAATCCCACTCGTCTTCGCGTAAGAGCGTCACAGAAGCTCATCATGCATATCGGTTAACGGTTAACGGTTAGGAGAATTTGATTTTAAAAAATCACCTATTTTTTTTTTTTTTTTTTTTTTTTTTTTTTATCTTTTTCGAGGACTGATATATAAGCAGAGAATGGTGAAACATTCAAAATACCAGAAAATGTCATTAGTTAATTCAAACATTAAGAATTAAAATTATTAATTAAATGAGGATAATATGGTAAATTCATATTTTTTTCATATTAAAAAAATTTAAATTAAAAACAAAATCAGATAATAGGTTATACTTTTATGGAACGTAATTACCCATGTTATCTTTTCTTAATTCTAAAATTTTAAATTTAAATAAAAAAATAAAAAAACCAATTGACGCATGCATGAGCATATGCCAAGGAGCTAGTTTATATAATATGGATTTAAATAATATATAAATTAGTATATTTATGGACTTATCAATCACAAGCGCACGTGAGATAATAAATGTCTCTTGAATGCACATGAGTGCGCACGGAAATAGGCTAGTCAGAATAATAAGTCACGACACAATCACAAATCTTCCTCACTTTCATTAGGTCAATAAGGAAAAAACCTATTAAGAATAGTCGTGCTTTATTCATGATGTTTTATTCATCCGATCATTCCTATTTTAAAATGAAAATATGCTTAATATCCTAGCTCTTTATCTCAACTTTTCTTTTTCCCACTTTGTGTGCGACCCTTGACATGTATAATATATCGTAGCATTAGGAAGTCAACCATGTTGGAGAACCAGTTAACCACGCCCACATAAGTGATTTCCTACTGTAAATACATACGAATATACGTCTCTCCAATAGTGTCCACACCGTTATATTTACATTATGTGCCCACACAAAATTGACCGTAATATTTTATAAAAAAAAATTAGGTAAAAATTGTAGCATTGTTGATTTTAAAATTTTTTAATTTTTAATTTCAATCAACAACAATCTTAAAAAAAAAAAAAAATCATCAAATTATTTAATAAAAAAAAAAAAAAAAAAAAAAAAAAAAAAAAAAAAAAAAAAAAAAAAGGCCAAACCACCGTGCATTTTTAAAATTTTTTGAAGGCATTAAAAGTAAAGGAAATAAATAAAACGTGGAATGCATGTGAGAGAAGCAGCGTTCGAAAACAGAGCAAGAGCAGAAAAGCAACTTATAGTCAGGATCCTAATAAGATTTGAATCGCTTTGCCAGTTGGTTTTAATTCCTTGGCCTTCAAGGATAATAACACCACCACCACAAAGGATTTGGAAACACACTTTCTCTCTCCAACGTGAATCCTCTTCATATAAGGAAACCCCCACTTGTATATCTCATCATAATTTGGAAAACCCAGTTCAATTCACAGCAATCTCTCTCGCTCGCTCTCTTCAATTCGGAAGTTGAGTGATCTCTCTGTCACTCAACATTTTGGAAACCCACTTGTTTTTCTGTTCATTCTGTCAGTCTAAGCAGTAAAGTTCGTCTCTTTTCTAAGTTTAATTTGTTTGTGTGTGGGTTTGTTTCAATGGGAGTGATGGGCAAAATGAAGGTTATTGATTCTGGGGTTGATGAGTTTCCTTCGAATTCTCTGAATCTTGAGTCTTATGAAGTTGATGTGAAACATTGGGAGGAAGATGTTGAGAAAAGGGCATCAGCATCTTCATCTTCATCTTCATATCTGTCTTCCTTGGAGCTATTGGCTGATGTAGCAATCCAGCAATCAATGGAGTTGCTTTTGGATGAAAAGACCGTTGTTGAAGAGTTGATCAACTTCTTTGCTCGAAAGGGAAGGGAACAAAGGGTTTTGGCAGGCAAGCTAGGGTTTGAGTTGAATGACATTTTCATTCCAAAGAAGAAAAGGAGTAGACTTGGCCCTCTTTCTCTTAAAAGGGAGAGAGAATATTCTGATGATCATAATTGTTTTGGGAGAGACAACCTTCTCCAAAACAACAACAACAACAACAACAACAATCTGAACCAGAAAAAGAAGAAGCAGAAAAGGGTTCATGTTCAAAATGAACAATTGGAGCCAAAACCGGAGTTGCCTCAAGAACTAAAACACAAGATTAGTGGAATTGGTGGAGATGTGAAACTTGTAATCCAGAAGAAGATATGTGTGTCTGATATGTCTGCAAATAATGCTCGATTTTCGATACCAGGGATTAAGGGCAAAAGCGCAGACTTTCTTAAGGAAAAGGAGCAGAGTGATTTGGATATTCGTGACACTGACAAGAAGAAGCGGCTGATTGGTATCCCTGTTTTGATGCTCAACCCATATGATCTGAGCTTCGATTCTTTACGCCTGAAGAAATGGCAAATGGGAGGCAACCATGTGTACAATCTGGTTTCGGGATGGAGAAAGGTTGCCAAGGCAAATAAACTCGAGGAAGATGAGATGGTGCAGCTTTGGTCATTCCGCCTCAACCATGACTCTCAGCTTTGCTTTGTGCTTGTCAAAGTTAATAGCGCCACCACCACAGAGGAGGAATCTCACCAACATATTGGATCAATTTCTTGTCTCGACAATGAGCAACTCTCTTAGTACATAACATATACATATGCACATAAATATAGAGTGCTCTTTAGTTTCTATTTAGGGATTCTTTCGGTTTCGTGTTTTGGAAACCAACGTCATAGAAATTACACTTTAGATCAATATTCTTTTATGATGATGAAGGGTTGAATTGTATGTTTTCAAATCTCTTCAATGGAATCAAATGAATTTTTTGTGTGCTCTTCTCTCTTCCCACACTATTTTATCTCTCTCTGCATTTATAGGTAGCTTATTGGAATCTTTCTTTTAAGAGAGTGATAGTAACCTAAACACTTTGACTTGGAATATTCTCACGAGCATTTTAAGATAATTTTGTTTCCTATTCAAAGTCTATTTGAGCACGGACGCTACAATGCAGTGTTGTATAATATTTACATCCACTTGGTCTAATTGTCATCTGAAAGTGGAAGAAAAAGCGCTAAGAATGCAATGTCAATTGGCTGACTCTACCATTCACCAGTTTGGGGTTTAATTCTATTTGATGATACATCAACATTATGATTTATGACTTACAAATGAAAGGCAGCATTTCAATAAAATGCAATCAGAACAGACCTAAATAAATTACATATATTAGAATACGCTGAACACTCTCAACCATATCTCCTAACAACTCTTGTACAGAAGATAAAAATAACTTATATAAACATCACGTCATCTATCGTCATCTGAAAGTAGCAATGTGCCTCCATTCACAAGATCATTGCAACCGGAAGGTCCTGGTTCTTTGCAGAGATTAAAGTTCCTAAATGTCTGTACTTTTATACGTTCGAAAACTTTGACGCGTATGTTGCACAAGGACATGAACTAAACCATCCACACTAATTGGCTAACAAATCATCACCTTCTAATCAAAATTAGTAGCGATGTCTAAATCTGTATCTGAAGGATTAGTGAGCTCAACCAGAGGTTCCTGAGGATACCAAAACTTCAACGTAAGTTATTGTATATCAAAGAGGCCTCATTTATTAACGAGGATCAAAACACACATAAGGGTATGCTTTTAAATTTCATTGGACCATAGTTCTTTGCTTGATTATTAGCAGAGACCGGAATCTATCCATTATAATAACTAGTTACATAAAGAGCACTCTGCACAATTATTTGGCCCATATACATATCATACCTGCTCATCATTGGCTGAGGAAACAATCCCCATCGGCAAACTGTTTGTAAGATCTTCAGCGGTTTCATGCAAATCCTGCGGCATGTAACAACAAAAAACTAAATACATATTTTACAGGTTGATCTGATTAAATATAAAAAAGAAGATTTATGCTGTGAATTTTTCTGACTAGTTATTTCAATATGCTACATGTGTATTGTGACCAAATATTAGAAAAGAGCTGTCAGTGACCTTTAAAACCAACAAGATGATTATTATATTTATCACCCAACACCAAAAAGTATTCTGACCAGAAAATATACAAACTAGTCGAATAAGGTAATAGTGAGTTCAATAAATAAATGAATCTGATTCATGAAAGAGAGCTGACAGCTTATCAGTCAATCTACAGTATATTTTTCAAAATGTGGTCTGCGGTTAGCCACCTGTGTTCATCAACATAAGACCAGATGCTCTATAGACTTTCTATTACTAATGAACTTTACATATAAATGTTATAAAACGAAAACGATGCTAGTATGCACAACATACACATTTGGTAGTTAACTAGTACTGCATTTGTATTTTGGATCATCTCACTATCTCAATCCTAGGTCCCCCAACTAATAAGTGTGCTTTGGGTCCGATAAAAACAGCTAAAACTTGTCCAAGGAAAAACACTTAGATCAGCATGTTTGATGTTACATAACAAACAATATAAAAATAAGCATAGCAGAGCTAGCACCACAAATGCAAAACATACTTGTTCATCCAGGTTGACAGAAGCATCATTGGATCTTTCAATAACTGTTTTAGAAGGACCTTCAAGTGTTCCCTGTGCACACCATAATTATTAGGTATATAAAACGAGCACAGCACTTCGCATAGGAGGTAATAGTAATTGGGGAGAAAAATTATACATGCTCATCCTGGTTTCCAGAAAATTCTCCTTCAACAAGTAAAGGCTTCACTTCGATTGGTGTTCCCTGTAAATATCATTTTTTTCATTATGTAGATCGATCATGCCAATGGTAGCAACAGGAAAACAGCAAAGCACAAATACTTGAGAAAGTAAAATATGTAAAAAAACCAGGGAGCTAGCGGCTAGATTTTAAAATTTAAAAAAAAAAAAAAAAAAAAAAAAAAAAAAAAAAAAAAATAATTTACTAACACTAAGGGAGAAGCATATAAATAATGATTAACCACTTGAAAATGGATTCAACTTCTATTATTGAAGAAATTTGCATATTCTCTATATCAAATGTTGCACATACAGGTTCTATATGGTCCATGGTAAGGTTCCTTCCTCCCTTGCTGAGATCTCTCAGTGTTCCCTGCACAATCAATAAACTGGTGAAGGAAAATGAAAGTTACTTGAGGAGACAGTAACAGGCATCTGTGACCATAGCAATAAGGACGAGAGTGAGAGAGAGATTGACAAGTTGGCATATCAGAAAATTAATACTTTTACAGAGTAAAAAAAAAGAGAATAAACCAACCTTATTTGCCCACATAAGACCACATGCATTACATAAGGTTCTTGGGCCAGCAGGTCCACGGCGCATTGCAGGCGTATTATTTTCACTAACTCCACAATGTTGACATCGACGTAAGCTGAAAATGCAGCAGAAACAGGTAAAAGTGTTGAACACAACAACATCGTCAACAGGAAAACTTCAATGAGAACTACAAATCATCAACTGTGGAAATCAGTAGAACCAGAATTAGCTTGGAAGTTGGAACTCACACAGTTTCCGCTCGAGAAGTGCCATCTTGAAGGCCACTTTGTGCCGAATCCCAACCAGAATCACCTGAATTTTGTTTTAATGATGCAAACTGTCCATTTTTACGAAGCATCCTATCATAATGATAACAATGACAAAAAGAATGACACATCATTAACACCATAGGACCATTGAAGATGCAAACAACAATATTGTAGATTTTTTAACATCTGCATCAATAATGAATCTCCCTATCTTCCCATTTTTCATGTTAATGCACACAAATTGAATCCATAGCTCACATAGAAACCAGCACAGAAGACCATTTATTAAGAAAGTATTTAAGCATTCTGGAAAGAAAAAAAAAAACCAATAAAATGGATGAGACAGACGATAGTTGATTTCTTCCTTAAAATTTTCAATACGAAGAATGCACTAACTTTTTAGAGACATTATAAATAAAGAAAAATAAACAATACAAAATACACATAATGCACAGTTTCATCAAATAAAAAAGATGGCTCTCATCCACATTTGAAGAGACATTATTTATCCAAGACAACACAGCTGAAAATTCTGAGAGATCTCTAGCACTCAAATTCCAAAAAAAAAATATAGATCCCATAAAGTGCCTCAAGAATTGAATGGCTCCCATCCAGAGTCTAATATCCCTGCTATTAGACTGGAATTTTTACTTACTCCTAAGGATTGAACACCACCAAAAGTTTTGCTCTAGTGCGAATCACAACTTACACCTCAACCAGCCACCTCCCAGGTAGTCTGGGTGGAAATTGATTTAACATAAGCTTGTCTATCGGAAGTTGAATGGGTGAGAGTGATTTCATTGCAGATCTTTCAGCGATACTTTGAAGCTTTGGTGGGAGGAGAGTCCAGTTCAGGGTTAGGATTAGGAAAGTTCAATATTCTTTCAAAAACTGGAACAGAGAAACTTGGCAATGTGCGGGCGATTAAGAGTGCCAAATTGAATGTCATAAGTTGTGACTAAATCCTACTTTTCTAGAATTCTACATGCTTTTTCTAAAGGCATGGATGCATGTTCCGAGTCTCTGACAACGTGGCAAGTAGAGATAAAGAAAAAACCAAACAGCTTTTGGTATCTAATTCCTATTTCTAACTTCTGACCTGCTCCAAATAAAATCTAGCTTACAACCAAAAATAGATGTATAAAAATTACAGATGTTGATTTCTGTTTTTTGTTTCGTAAATAAACTTCAAAACTACTACATGTGTAAACCAAAAGGTAAGTCTATACTCATTGGCTCAAACCCAATATTCATAGCTACATAGGCAGGCTATTTTTCGGTAAATAGATAGCCATTCTGTTCTGGAACAAATAAAAATTCTATCAAATTACAGAGTTAACAGCTCAGAAACCATCTCGAAGTAGACAGAACATGAAGAGAAAATGTTATAGGGCAAGGATATACATATCAAACTTTCAAGTACCTAAAGTCAAGATCAAACTGCATTCAGAATGTAATAACAGTTGGTGCAACTGGAACAAAAGGTATAAGGTGCCATAATTTACTAGGTCTTACAAACATAAATTCTGACCTATAATTACACAATACTGAATCTCTTGTCAAATCCAAATCCCCCAATCCCCCACCCATCCAGAGGAAAAAAAAAAATTGGAATGAAGGAAGGGTCATAAATTTGTCTTACCTCTGTGCAACCTCTTTACGGACTGTGTACCTAATTTTCTTGTCAAAGCATCTCTCCTTCCGTTTTTCACGAAACCGAACCAGTGAAGCTATTCTTCGTGAAAGATTTGAACGTTTTGGGGTGTCAGCCACACCCTAGAGATTGTGGAAGGCAACACATGAAAATAAGCACAGAAGATGCATTGAAATTGGTCTCATTAATGTCAACATATGCATTACCCGTGTATTCTGATCGTAAGACACTTCAACTGTAGGCACACCAGTTGGTACATCACGTCCTCCCAATAGCAAGAGTACTGCTTGCACCTGTTATATAGAATCCAAAGTCTGAGCCTTCTTTTAAACTAAGCATAATGCAAACCAGCAAAGACATGTTATAGTAAATTTAGTAAACAGATGTAAAGGCCAGTTAGTTATAATGAAGCAAATGACGGAATGGAAGTTCATAAAAACTGAATGAAAATTTTAATTTGAAAAGATGTCTTATTGCGAACCTACAATTCAAACTATAATGTCCTGCCAATAATTATTGTCCCCATATTGCTTTACATATTCGAACATTATACAATATAATTTTACTCTTCTTCCAAAGGATGAGTTTAAACGCCAAGTCACAATGGAATCCAGGAGTAGATAAATAAACTTATATATTTATTTGCAATTAATAAACTTATATATTTAATCTCAAAAGAAAATATTAATAAGTAGAGGAACTGAATCATAATCAAATGAAATTTTATCATAAACAACGATACTTCAAGTCCCTTAATTTTCAATTTTTCGTTGGACAGCAAATAGTTTGCAGTAAACGCCCATATTTCAGAACCCCATATCAACTCTTTGCAATTACAAGGACAAATACAAAACCCAGTAACTTAAAGCTCGGCAAAAGATATTATAGTACAGAAGCACAGTACAGCCGAACAGGCATAAAATGAATATTTGGGAGAAGAAAAAAAAGGTTCTTATTACAATAATATACTTTTAAAAAAAGAAAATGAGAGAGAGAGAGACCTTCTCAGGTGTAACAGCAGGGAAGACATAGACCTCGCCTTCAAAAGACAGAGTGAGCTCACTAGTCCTGGACGCCATAACCACACCTCCTCCTCCTCCTCCTCCACGCTCCGCAACGCTGACCGAATTCACATGAACCTCTTCCATGTCCTCCATACCATCATCACCACCATCTTCGTACTCAGCCTCATCGTCTTCGATCGGTATCGGACCTCTCATGTGCTCCTCGAATGGTCGCGCTTGCAGTGGCTGCGGATTCACGGCCGCCATCAAATACTCCCTCCACACAAAATCCCCAGCCTCACCACCACCACCTTCTCCCAATTCAAACCCTAACCCCGTTCCACCGGACAACCAATCATCGTCTCCGTCACAACGAAACCAGTACAATTTCAATACCAAACCCTAACCCTAAAACCCTGCAACTTTAAGCTCCAGCTGGAATTTCTGAGCTGGAAGAAGAAGAAGAAGCTTCGAAAATCAACAAACTTGAAGGTTGCCCAAAAATAGCTAAGATTTTCACAGAGCTTGGCGCTGTGTTTCCTTAGAGAGCCGCAAATGGGTAATAAAATGATTTCCCCAAAACAAATAAATCGAAAAAGCGAAAATCATTTTCTTTTCAATTATAATGCGGGGGGATGATTCAGTGCTACGTGGGAGCAAGCTATGAGGTTTCGCGGGGTTTTGTGGACGGTTGCGATTGATGGGATGTTGATGGGGTGCGGGACCCACATCTCACATGCGTGTTGTTTATGGTGGGTGTGGGTGAGGGTGATGAGTGATGTAACCGTGGGTGGGGCCCATTTGCACTGGATGGGTTATGGGTAATGTAATCCAACGGCTGGTGGTAGTGATTGCAGGCGTGGGGTGAGAGATTATTGTTTGTGGTGATTGGGTTTGGAAAGTGGTCTGGAATTTTGGGGAAATTACTAAATTGGGACTGTGTTTTTTGTCTATTTATGGAATGGACCAGATAGAGGACTATATGGGGATTTTGGGTCCAGGTTGGCATTATAAGTGTCGTCATGGCTATTTGATCTAAAATTGGATAATGTTGTACTTGCAATTATGATTGTACACATACTTTTGGGAAACTTTGGATTTTCTTCTCTTTTTTTCTATTGGGAACGCCAACCCCTTTTCTTTTTCCCTTGAGAAAAGCAAAAGATTTTCTCCCTTTTTATTTATTTATTATGTAATGTTTTGATTTTTTTTTAAGAAAAAAATTTAGGGGAAGGATATTTGAATTGGGACATTTTCCAATATTGTGGAAGAGAAATATCATTAAATTAACAGTTAATTAGTTCTATGATCAGTGACGGATCCATTATTCAAAAGTCAAGTAAGCGAAACTTACATTAAAAACTCGATGGTATGAGTGAATTTCATTAATACATATAAAAAGATACACCTAGCTAGACATGGGTGACATAATAAGTCATACCCTTAAATATGCATCTCTATACACATTGGCAAAACAAAGTTTTCATGTGTGTAGCAGCCTCTCACAAAATATAAACAATAAAAATTCAAATTCTCACAAGACATACAAAAACATTATATAAAAAAATCATATTATCTATTCATTACAATCATATTGTACTCGACGAGTTTTCATATTTTGAAATCATAAAATAAAATTAAAATTCACCAACACAAGTTAACAAGTTCACAATTGCAACAAAGGGACATACAATTACATACTAAGCAATAAATTTTTTAAGGAATAGACAAATATATACTTAGAGTTGAATAGCGGTTTAGCAAATATCTCTAAAAGCCCAATAAAATCAATAAAAAGAAAAAAAAATCAAAATTTCACAAACTAAAAAAAATATCGGTAGAGAGAGAGAAAGATTAACAAACTGTAATTAAATAAATTAAACTAATTAAATTTGACATGGAGTTTGAGAGAAAAACTCACTAGCAGTAAAAAAAGTGTGATACATGTCAAAAGGATAAATTTTTAACAATTTATGTGAAAAGGTCATACATAAAAATAATAGGTATAAACCTTGGGGGGTATGTTTTTCTTCTCTTTATTTTTTCGTTCCCACATGTTTAGTCTAGGAGCCACATGATTGTACTTTTGAAGTGGGTATAAATCATATACCTTAATAATAGAGCAGGCGGCAGTGTACTTCTGAAGTGGGCCCCGCATGATTGTATATGGGTAATTATTTATTTGGGAAAAATCGGAGTAGGCGGCAGCTTACTTTGCCCTTGGCGTAGGACTACCACTGTCTATGATGTTATGTTGTGTTGTATGACAATCGAAATCGTTCATTTATGAGGTCATCCTTTAAAAACTATTCATGCAAAATAAAAATAGAAAACTTAAATCATTTAGCTATTTTAATTAATAGTGTGATAATTTAGTATATAATCAAAACACATATATTCCTTCCCCATAATTCAAAGAAAAAAGGAGTTTGAGATGTGGAAATATGGATTCCCAAGTAGAAACTTTTTGATTTTGTCTACATGAAAGCAATCTCATGTCCTATTGCGTATATGCATGTGCTTAATTGGTATATATACAGAAAGTTCAGACATAAACCTAGCATATCATTTCATACATAAGCAAGGTGGTTCTATATACCGGAAAAAAGAAACCCATTATCAAATTTAAACAGAAACTCACATTAAACAACAAACAAAATCCGGCTATCCAAAAAAATTTGAGAAACCAAAAGACAAAAGGAATAGAAAAAACAAACTGACCTTTGATTTGGAAATCCCCAATTTCTAAGGTTTGAACTGATGAGAGAGAGATGAGGAGAGAGGTAGCGAGAGAGGGACGAAGAGAGAGAAGGACGAAGAGAGAGATGGAGCAAGCGAGCTTCAAGCTTCTCCCATGGAAGCTTGAAGCTTGAGTGCAGAGTGAACCAGCAAAGCGAATGCGAAAAAAAAACAAGAAAAATGCATTTATTTTGTTTTTAATAATAGGGGTCTTTTTAAGTTTGTTTTGAGAGGCCTACCAAATGAGTTTTTGGGCCTTTAAATTTAAAATCTGTTTTTGAGTTTATAAAATTGAACTCAAATAAGATACCAAACAAGCCTTAAACGACTTAGGATTTAATTTATTTTTTTTTTTTTGTTGCAAATATAATCTTTAAGACGAACAAGAAGAGGAAGGGGAGGGTGTAGAAGGTAGTTCTGTTCATCAAACTACATTATGGGATGAGAAGCAGATTTGAGACGGCAAAAGGTAGAAATGCACAAATAGGAAGGTAACTAACATTTCCTTCTTTTTTATGGCGTTTTTCACACTTCCATTTTATTCATTTGTACTCATCCCATAGTTGTTATGCTTTCATTCTTCTTTGATTGATTCAACTATCAAAGCATAGAAAAAAAATGAGATCCATGCTCTCCACAATACCGGCTTAATTTTATGATTCTTGCACGACCCATGCTTTTGTGTCGTGTTTAACACAATCTATCAATAATTATGTTTGGACAGTATTGGACTCTATTTAAATGAATTGGACTTGTACAGTGTTGGACCGGCTAGCCCCATTTGACACCTCTACTTCACACCTCCACAAAATGCTCTCACCACTCAAACTCATTCTTTATACAAAATACATGCATTTTCAAGAAACCACTCATTCCCCTGTCAAAACAAAATACCCAACTTCCTTAAAATCAACACTTGAGTCAAACATTCAAACCATCGTCAACGAGAAGTTGTTATCATCCCACCTCACCCTCACCCTCACCCTCTCCCTCTCCCTTGACCATTGTTTTACTTTATGTATTTTTTATATAATGATTTTGATGAGGAGGAAGCTAGTTCTTGCCCTATAACATTCAAACCCATTATGTTTGTATTTGGTATGGAAATTTTCCCTTTGGTTTTAAGATCCGAACGAAGATCTTTGTTGTAATTTACTTTCGAGAAAAAAATTCAAACCCATTATACTTTTTAAAATGCCATATATGTCCACTATTGTAGAAGAAGTACTTTATTGAGTCAACATGGGACTCAAACCTCAGCCAAATCAATCAAACAAATAAGGTAGGCACCCAACTCAGGTCAAGTCAACAAATGATTATAATAGAGAGAGACAAGCATTCCCAAGAATCAAGATTGATTGTCAGGTCAAGCTCAGTCAGGTCGGCACTCAAAAAAAGGTCTAGTGGTGTCATAGAGTAAGAGTTGCAGTACCATTTCTCCCTTTTTCCTATTACTTTTCTCCACAAAGAAAGTAAGAGATCATTATAAATGATTGACGCTAGATCTATTTGTAGTTTAAGTAGATAACAACATTTACTCGTGTATTTGAAACCTGAATTCGATTTTCCCTAGTTCAATATTTGCTCTTGTAAAGGGCTTGTAGCCAAAGCGGTTAAGAGCATTCATCTCTGCACCTAAGCTCCTATATTTGATTTCTCTCTCTCTCAATATCACTCGTATAAAAACAGAGAAAAGAAATGTCTCTCCTAAGACTAACTTGGTCGAGTAAGATTTGAAGGCTGTGTCAAATGGGCTGGAAATTGGTTGCGTTGTAACAAACTTTAAAAATTTATTTCTAACGAAAATTATGTCATCTGCAGTTCAACCACAGTTGTTTCTTTAAGCCGATGCACTTTAACTTTCAACCTAGTGATATAAGTAGAGCTTAATGCAAGTTTCAATACGAAACATACCACAATCAATAAATCGTTGGGATGAAAATCCGAAAATTCAACAAGAACATATTATCTATTTGCATATTCTACAAATTCCTCAACTTGAATATTAGATGTCCATCCAACATCGTATATCAAAGGGCTGAAACAATTTTTTAACAAAAGGGCCAATAATTCCAGATAAAAAAAGGCCAATAATCAAGAGCATGACTCTTTTTCAATCATTTTTCTGGCATAAAAATAGCAATATTTAGCTCAATTACCTGATTTAATACAATTGTTCAACTTTCAAGGGTATTGCCTTTGAGATAGTTATGTAGGCTATCAAAATGAAAAGGATAATGCATAATTTGAAAGATCATATGGTAAAATGTTTAAAGATTTTTTTATATCCTCTCGAGCTAGTGTCAAGCACAGTAGTACCAAAACTAAACCCCAAAAAAAGCAACCAAAAAAAAGGGGAATAAATAGCTGACTTCTTGTATTGATCAAGGTACTATTATAGCTGTACATTAAGATTAGACAATCAAAACGAAAATTACGAGAGAACCTACTTGAATGATGCCACTGCCAGGGACAAGTTTGGCCTTTTAATGAAACAACCTACTGTTCAGCAACTAAAGCTGAGCTATCACCATTAGAGAAGGGAACAAGACTGTTGTGTGCATCAATGGCAGTTACGCTGTTCAAATCTTTAGTATCAGCTTCACCCTGTTTAGAATACATAAAAAGAAGGGCACAAAATTTACATGGTAGTGAAAATGAAAATACCATTTTGAACATAACAATACCAACCCAATGAATAGATGTAGTCAGATATGTGAACACACCTGCTCAGCTGGAGTCACAGAATGATCCTGGGTTCTCTTGGAAAGCTCCCTCAAAGTCCCCTGCAAAATTTTGATCTCAATTGTGAGAAATATGATATCTACTCTACAGATATACAAGAATGCCTATAGAGTATTCAACTGAAAACGGAGTCTAGTGAATTCAAAGTGGAGCAAACTTTCAAATCTTAAACTTGGGAGATAAAACGTAACGTAAAGTTGCTTCTCGAAAAACAAAAACATAAAGTAATGTTGAATTTATACCTCTGAGAATTTACAGTGGTATAAATTTTTTTTTCCATGTCACCTCTCCCAAAAACAGACATTTTTAAAATTTAAACCATATTCAGAAATTTTAAGAACAAAATTAAGACATTTCCATGCAAAACTCCTTTTTAACAGACAACAGCATGACACCCATGGTCTACAGCCTTAGCTGAAGAATATAATGGAGTCTTTTTTTTCAGAAATTCAACCCTACAGACCTCTAAACAATGTCAGCAATTCATGAGCACAAACGAAATCAAAGATTAAACATGATATTAATTTTGTTTGAGTAGATGGGTGGCGGGAGGAGGGTAAAAGATCCATAAAGGAGGATTGACATACAAAATATCTTTACAATCAAAGAAAAGAAGTGATCAATTCATCGTTAAAGATACTGACCCTGTTTGCCCAAAAAAGCCCACAAGCATTGCAAAGAGATCTTGGACCAGATGGCCCACGCCGCATCATTGGTGTGGACTTTGAGCTTATTCCACAATGCTTGCAGCTGGACAGGCAGAACATACAAATCACAAAAGATGCAAGGATAGTTATTAGTTAGTCACAGGTCGAGCGCAAAAGGTAAAAGTATGATAAGATAAAATATGATATGGCTTCAAAAAGAGGAAATGAATATAAAGGAGTACAAAGAAAAAATAAAGTAAAATCTCATCTATCAAAATATTAATATATTTGTTTCTTAGGAGCACAAAACTCTATAATATTGATAAACTCACGAGGTTTCTGCATGGCTATCATCCTGCCCTGACTCCTGGCCATTACCCCAGCTATAATCTCCATCTGACTTTTTGGAAGAAGAAAATTGCCCCTTGTTACGCTGCATCCTGATGTAGATAGAAATACATAAATCAAGCATGGAAAGAGAAAACAAACCAAAGTGGTAGAGCTAGAACAATGATAAGCAACAAAAGAACAAAACAATAGAAGTCAGGATGCTCATTATATCATGCTTTCTTCCTTGGAGCCATTGGGTTCATAAACATATAACAGACACATGAAGACTGCAATACAGGTGATGCAGTTTTCGTGTATATTTTTATAAATTAGACAACATGTAATCTGAGAACTGAATGTGTTACACACAAGTCATGCTAAACTAAGTCTTAACCCCAAATGCTTTGGCTTGGCTTCATGACATCACTTTGAGATTTAAACAAAGCATGGACACCAAAAGGACATCTAAGTTCAGGTGACAAGGAGTTTCTTTGAACATGACCTTTACATACCAGCACTAGCCTAGAAAAACATGACTAAATAATAAACTCCCATCAGCATTTCGCCTCTTTCCAGAGAAATTATTAACATAACTATAACCTACTAAGATTTCATGCATCATGTTTGGAAAAAATCCCCAAACAAGTGTTTTGCAAATATAAATGTTAAATTTTCAGATGCCAAATTAAACTTGTAACATAAAATCATACAATGTACTAAATCCCAAAAACTAGCCATGCCAAATATTGCAAGGCCATTAGTCAGTTATTAAAACACTTTGAAACGAAATGATTGGTTTCCCCAACTTGAGGTATTAGGAACTGAAAAAGAATTTCTATTTTCCCAACCCTGGGGTTGTGCAGGCACATGCAACTTCTCTTGTTTACTCCAATAAGCTCATATATTATACCAAATAAATTCAAGCGGAAGCATATTACATAGATTACACCACTGAGTGCAATTTCTTTTTTTAAAAAGAAACAAACCTGAGTGCAACTTCTTGGCGGACACTATATCTGACTTTTTTATCAAAGCATCGCTCTTTTCTCTTTTGACGAAACCTACTTAATGACGCTGCTCTGTGAGGCTGACTACATCGTATGGGAAAATCTTCTGTACCCTACATATTATGAAAAGACAAGAAAAACATAATCACTAATAAATTTAAATATGCTGTTAAAAAATTTCGGTCTAAGGAGATACCCTCTGATTCTGAGATGCCAACTCCGCACCTTGAGGACCGGAAGATAATTCGCTGCCCCCCAACAGTAATAGCACTGCTTGAACCTTCAAACGCCAATGCACAAAGATTTAGTAACCAAAGTATAGTCAAATGTAGCAAAGCCAAACCCTAGTCCTGATTTGGTTGCCAAGAGACTTTACAAGACGCAAGGAATTTAACTACAACCAGTGAAGCAAAAGTTTCAGTTTAATTCTAACCAGTTCAATAAATACTCAAAACATTTCAAAATTAAAAAACTTCATTGCCATCAGCCAACCACATTTGCTCAGAAACCGAACAGAAACAATATCACTAGCTCTAAAAAACCCTAAATCACAACAAACAAACAAAATCATCAATCAAGTTCGAACCTTCTCAGGCGTAACAGCGTCAAAAACAAAGACCTGGCCGCGAAACGAGAGCGTGAGCTGACTGGAGCCGTCGTACGGCTGAGCACGCATTTCGGAGCTACCGACGTCGTAGACGGGGTCGGAGCTTACATCCTCGACGACGGCGACGACGCCGCCGTCCTCGAGCGTATGGGGTTCGTAGTGAATGTGAGCGTTCTCAATGGAGTCGACACCGGGGCCGGCGGCATCGTCGTCGCCACCGGCGGGGATCGGGTTGGGCATGGTCATGGGCTCGGAGTGTCCGTACATTGGAAGAGGTTCACGAATCGGATCGATGGTCTCTGAAGCATTACAGAGAGGAGCCAATCACTGAGTGAAACCGAAACCCTAACCCTAAACCCAAAATCAAATCGAAGGCTGTTCAGAAAAGAATTGGGGTTTTGGAAAACAAAAAAAGAAAAGTAGAAGGTGAGTCAGGTGTGAGTTTTGTTGTATTTGATCTCTTTTGTTTTGTAAATTTTAGTAATTAATTATTTTATTTTTATTTTGAAAAGGAGAGAGAGAGAGAGAGAGAGAGCAGACACCAGACCAGAGTGAAGGACAGCTCATGGTACAACAAGTTGGCCCGTAAGTATGGGCACAACGAGAAGTGACCCTGTTTCGTGTCGATAATTACGAGAAACGCCATTGTTTCAACTACAACAAACTATATTACGAGAGGGGATCCTAACATGGTACTTTGTTTTTTTTGTTGGTCAAATCTAACATGGTAGATGGTACTTGAGAAGCGTTGAATAATTGCTTTTGATCAATTGCAAATCTTTTGCATCACAAAATTTTTTTTTCGGGTGTCGAAGTTAGAAAAAGAAAGGAGGAATTTCTTACACACAGTATCAAAGTGTCGTGAGATTTGAATTTGAGACCACTTGTATAATTACGATATTTCAAATGCAAAAATAAATACTTTTGATCCCATTCCATCATTTTTAAAAAAAAATGTTTCGGCCTTTGGTGTGGTTAGATAACTACCGGAATCTCAAAATAATAACAATAATAATTCACGGTTTCTAATTTTTTCCAGTTTAGACAGAACAGAATATTTGATTTTTTTGGGGTCATTGACAACCTAGACAGTTTTTATTTTTATTTTTATTTTCTACTTCTTCTTTTTTCGTTGGGGTTAACGATATATTTCATAAAGCCCAAAGGGCCTTAAAGGCAGGATTACAAAGAAAGCAACGAAGCCCAGCAGAAACAGGTTCTTTCTTATTAGAGGATGACTAGTGTTCACCCATTTTTTGCTGCTGCTTTTTTTTTTTTTTTTTTTTTTTTTTTTTTTTTTTTTTTGTGGTGTTTTAAACACGTGAAAATGATGTACTATGATGAGGGAATAATGGAAAGAATCAATTCATTGGAAGGAATTGATTAGTAATGCAAATTGAATTGAAGTGTTCCTGTATTATTACTTCACATCAAGGAATTAAAAGTAAGTGAGACCCACACAAAATTAGAAATTGAAATCATGATTTTTTAAGAATTCAATTTTTGGGTGGAAAGTGTATTAGGAATTCATCTTTTTTTATAAATTATATACCCGCATAGTTTTAAAAATTCCAAATTTGCCGAGAATATTTTAGTAATTAGTACAACTGCTACTCCAGTTCCACATGATTTAGTAAACAACTTCAATAGGAATCCGAAATCTAATTCTCCTTAATTCAACTCATTTTTCAATTCAATGCATCATAATCCAATTACGGATTAGTAAACATCCCAAATTCATTCTAAACAAAAAAAAAACACATTGAAAGTAAACGTCAACTCCTTCACAAAAATACTAAATAAATCAACAAATCAGTCACCATTTTTGACAAGTCAGAGTTGAATAATGGGTTTTACTGGCTGGTGAGTGTTGATATAAGTTGAGTGAATTTTCAGGGATTGATTTTTAAAATTGGCTTCTGTATTCATTCCCTCTCTTTTTTCTTTTATTTTATGTTGTTTTCAGTCACTGAATCTTATGAGTAAACTACAAAACGATTTTGTACATTTCTAAAGCCAAAAGTAGGAGTAGCTTATTCAACTTGTGTTGCTCTTACAATTCAACTCTGCCGTCTATTTATTTAACAATAAATTCATAGTCTCATGAAAATAAATACAACTCCAAGAGCTTCTTCCACCTCCGTCCCTGTAAGTTTTCCATGGAGAAGGAGAAGAAGAATGGAGTTCTTCATGTGGTGGTGTTTCCATGGCTGGCCATGGGCCACCTCATACCCTTCTTCCGTCTCTCCAAGCTCATAGCTCAAAAGGGTCACACTGTTTCTTTCATCTCCACCCCAAGAAACATTCTCAGACTTCCCAAAATACCATCACACCTCTCTTCTCTCATCAATCTCGTTTCCCTCCCTTTGCCCCGCTTGGACAACCTCCCAAACGACGCCGAATCGTCCGCGGACGTGCCGTACAGCAAGCAGCAATTGCTGAAAAGGGCCTTCGATTTGCTGGAATCGCCGTTGACCGATTTCCTGGGGTCCCTAGAGTCAAAGCCTGATTGGGTTATTTACGATTATGCCTCTCACTGGCTTCCCCCAGTCGCGGCCAGGTTCGACATCTCACGCGCCTTCTTCAGCTGCTTCAGCGCCGCGTGTTTGGCGTACATTGGTCCGCCGGCGCCTTTGGTCAACGGCCAGGATTTCAGGACCAATGCTGAGGATTTCACCTTGGTTCCCGAGTGGGTCCCATTCGAGTCTGACATGGCGTACCGGCTTCACGAGATTGCTAAGCATTTACAACGTTCAAGTGAGAACGAGTCCGTGACACCCGATACGGTGCGTTTCGGGTTTGCGATTAATGAGAGTGAAGTTGTGTTCGTTAGAAGCTCGGATGAGTTTGAGCCCGAGTGGGTCAATTTGCTTAGAGAGATTTATGGGAAGGGAAAACCAGTTGTTCCTATTGGGTTTTTACCCCCACTAATAGATGAGCAAGTGGATGAATTCGATACAAATTGGGTTGGTATCAAAGAGTGGCTTGACAAGCAACGAGTCAACTCAGTGATCTACATTGCAGTCGGGACCGAGGCAACATTGAGTCAAGAAGAACTCACTGAGTTGGCTCTCGGGCTGGAGCTATCTGGAGTACCGTTCTTTTGGGTGTTGAGAAACCCACCTGAGTCAACTCAGTCCGTGTTTGAGATGTTACCACATGGGTTCGTGGAACGAGTCGAGGGTCGTGGAGTGGTACATTTGGGGTGGGCTCCACAAGTGCGGATACTGAGTCATGACTCGGTGGGTGGATTCTTGACTCACTGTGGTTGGAACTCGATGATTGAAGGGCTCGGGTTCGGGCGGGTTTTGATCCTATTCCCCATGGTGAATGATCAAGGGCTTAATGCTAGGTTAGGGAATAATAAGGGACTTGGGGTGGAGATACCTAGAATTGCACAAGACGGGTCATTTACGCGTGACTTGGTGGCTAAGCTTGTAAGGTTCGCAATGGTGGCGGACTCGGGTGAGTCACTAAGAATTAGGGCCAAGGAAATGAAGGGGTTGTTTGGAGACAGAAATAGGAACAATCAAATAGCGGATGAATTCATACGCTTTCTTGAGGAGAACAGCCCACCAAGGTTGACAATTTAGTTAACATGGCAGTACCGAAATTGCCTCTAATAATATCTTTGTATGGTTGATATCTTGTTTGCTAATTTCTTGAGAAATTATTATATGATATTGAAATACGGTCATGCAGTTGTCGAAATCAAACCCATAAAGTGAGTTAAGACTGGAATTATCTAAGGACAGATGAGATAACATGATGAATGCTAAATATTTTCATATCAACAAAAGACTCCACCGCGAAACGCAGTGTAACCGCACTCAAAGCAGTTGATTCTGTTAACTTCACTGCACACTCAACATGACCAACATACCTACGATGATCTACAGCGGCCACCGTGTAAAAGTTACACTTGTGTCAAATTATACAAAATCCAGCTTTGCAATCATGACTGGAGGTAGAAAGAACAAAGCACTTCGTGGAAGCTCTATTTGCAAAAAGTTAAGTTCGTAAGCAGACTAAGATTAAAATATCATTGAAATTTGCGAACACAGAATATATTGAATATAATTGCGGACGAATAGAAGATATTCAAGGGCAAAACTACAAAAGATTGGAGAAACCCTATCGGCCGAAAAAGTAATGTTACTGTCTCTTCAGAGAATTTATGCTACAGAGTAAAAGAAAAGAAAACCAAAAATGTTCGTCATTGCTTTGGAAAAAAGAAGAGGCACTGCTGCCCATCTATACAAGGTTTGAAGAATTAACACTTGCTACTTAGAAAAAGGAAAAACCAGAGTTAGCCTGCCACTGTGGTTAATACACAATCTTTTAAATCTAACCTACCAAGAACATAATGTACATGTATGTTGATCCTCAATATGGAGATGAGGAGCAATTGATTTGTATGAAGGCGGTACTTTTTTACCACTTTGAAATGTTACAGAAAACTTCACCTCAAAAAGTTCTCGAGCTCTCCATGTTTTACATTAATATGCTTGAACATCCTTCAAAACTGTTCAAGTGGTGCCAGTTGAACCGCATGTATCCCTTTACTTTGTCTTCACATACCAAAGTGTCAAGGAGACGAAACCGAAATGGAAAGGAGTCTGAGCCCCTGGCATGTAATGGACATGCTCATCATTCTGAAATTTTTTGTAGACTCCTGTATTGAAGCTTGAAAATCAAAATCTAAAGGCAAACCAAGCAAATACTGCAATAATTTCAAATGTCATTATGAGTACTTCAAACACATTTTTTTTTAATCTGAAAATAGAGCCGGGGAGACACTGATAAACCATTGAGTTCAATTTCACACACGTGTGAAGGGGAGTACAAGAATATAAAACACTTGTTTGGCCCACAGGTTAGCAAACGATGAATCAACAGAAATTTTCAACATGTTATTAGAACTTCCAACCAGCCATGAAGAAATGGAAAATTGTTACCATGCCGAGGCATAATTCGTCATTTTGGTTTACATCCAAAATAAAAAATTGGAAAAATAAAGAAAAAAAAAAAAAAAAAAAAAAAAAAAAAAAATAAATTGAACTGTAAATGTAAATCCTACAGGACAAACATCAATCAAATTTACTACATATATATATAGTCTGAATAACGAAAAATTTTAAAAAGTGAAAACTTGTATGAAAATGACTGCAGCACATACCTTGAACTTACATCCCAATCATTGCTCGCCATTGAAACTCCACAACTTGAATCCCGAATGGTTAATTTATCCTGTTGAAGAAGGTTTGGTCTTTGAATTTCGAGGAAGGTTAGCTTTGCGAAGTTGAGTATTTTCTATAGAATACACGAGAAGGGTTCCTTCTTTTGTTCCTGCTAAGAAGCATTCTTCTGGGGTCACTGTCAGAGATGTAATTATCTTTCCAACTCCATTACACTTCTTTATGACCTCAAGTGAATTCATAGAGCGTACAATGATTTGCCCTTGGTCACCAGCACAAACCAAAAACTCACCACACCCACTCAACTCAACACAGTTGAGGCGTCCGTTGGATTCAGAAGAAGCAAGATGTTTACCATTAATTGAATACAGATGCAAACTCAGATCATCATCAGCATAAAAGACGATGCGTCCATGCCGAGAGGCGACAAGCTTTGACAAAGCGCATCCAGATGGATGGCGCAACGATCTTACATATCTTCCATCCTGCAGGGTATGAAAAACACAAGTTCCATCTTTTGATCCACTGATCACTATGTCAAGCTCCACACTGACATATAAGCATGTAATTATATCATCATGTCCACAGAGAATACGAAAAGGAGTTTCAACAATGACATAATCTTTGCGAGGTAGTTCGGTCTGTGTATTGCGAGTCCTCTTTTCTTGGGTTCTACCGCGGAAGACTTCCCACACCATGATTGTAGTGTCATAACTTCCAGTTGCAAGGAAGCTTCCATCAGATGTCACTGCAGCATTATCAATGATACAGCTCAGAAAGTAGTTGGAAGAATTCTACCAAAATAAAAAGCCAGTAACCAAAATCTCACCCAGAAGAGGACAAGAAATTAGCGGTTTCATTATTTGATCATAACATTAATGCATTACAATGCCAGTACCATATCTGTTACCACCACTCATAGTCCAAAAAAAGCACATATGCATGCTATTGCATTGAATTTCGAGATTTTGCCTCAGCATTTCTCGAGTCTTGATCGTGTTTTAATCATGTAAGATCACAAATCATAATTGACAAATCTACTTGTTGATTTTCACTGTTAAATTGTTTTCCAGCAAGTGAAGCCAGGAGAGAAGGCACACGGGCCCAATTTGTTTTATTTTTTGGGACAAAAATAAATGATTTGCTTAAAGTGTTTTAACAAACATTCTGGTAAAAGGAAAGTATTTTAACATATATACGCAAAAAATTCTCCATTCCAGCAACCTTTCCTAACTCAATTGAGTTCCACTGTGTTTGCCTAATTCTAGAGTATTTCTTTCAATTTCAGACCGCACTTAAGGAACGAGATGGCCTTACTATCCACCTCTTGAGATCAAACACATATATGCACATGCTTTCTGATATTTTTAGTCCATTTATTTAAGAATGAGAAAGTATGGACTAGCAGCATCCTTTTCCTTCTTTTTTCTGTTGTAAAATTTTAAAAATTCACATCACCCCATAATGGTACTGCTCATTTTCACTTGGCCACCTTATGGTTTAGAAAGTTCATTATGCCTCCCCACAGTGTATTCCGTTAAATTTACTTCAAATAGGGCGAAAGGAAACTTTGTCTCTACCTTCACATGCATGTGCCTTGATTGAAGGTAAAGATAATTGTCTTCCAGTTATTAAACATACCTGCAATGCAACTGACCACATCCTTATGCTGTCTGATGCTTTGTACCATTCTGCCATCATTTAAGGATATAACCTGAAAGCTATTTTCCCAATTTCCACATGAGATTAAAAAGTTCTCAGATGGTGTTTGCATTGTTGCAAAGCATTGTGCTCCAAGTTCAACATTTTCAGCCGAAGGACTCCCAATTTTACGAGGAGAAAGAATATCAGAACCAACGCCAAAAGAAGGATCCTGTACATGTTTATTTAGTATGCGTCCTAAGTCCTTATAGGAAAAATCAAATCAAACATAACAATAAAAAATATCCAGTGATCCAACAAAATAAAACCCTACCTGGGAGCCAGAGAAGGTAAAATTTCCACCAGATTGCAGTGAGGTTGTCAACCACATCTTAACTGACAAGGTGAGCCCCTCGTTTACAAGGACAACATTAGAGTCCACTGTACGCACATATAAGGCAGCCGACCGTTGATGACTTGAACTACAAACAATGGAAGTCAAGTTAATAGAACCAGGTGCAAAGCGCAAAGGATGGGCAATTGGAATAGGTGGCCCTCTTCTTGGGTGTTTTTTACGGAAAATCTGAATTGGTGTCTGGCCAAAATTTGCAATTTGGTCTTCAATTGCTGATCTTTGCAAATCATCTTCCATGGTTTCCAGATCAACAGCACCTTCATAGGTTAAGTAATAAAAGATATTTGCTGCCTATATTTCAATAATATTTTTAGAGATCAGTATATTTTTAATAAATTAATATCAACCAATAGAGAATTTGCAGGACTGATTAGAATAATTGTTTGAATTATCACAGAGGTACCTCCACGGCAGGTTTTCCACGCTGCTTGTAACCAAATACCAAATCTATCCAATGGTGTAGATTAGAGCTAACATATTCACTTTCAAGGGCCTCTCTGTTCTTGTTAATAAATTCTTCCGGTGAGCCCTGAACAAATAATTGGATCAGGGCTTTTCCATAGGAAGAAAAGAAAACAATGCCCAATGAAATGGTGCATGTAATGTGAATACATCTCACAACTCAATATCATAGATAAGAGGAAGATAAAGAAAAGAAAACGAAAACTTTAAATCTCCAATATGACATTCCAAAAGTAAAGTTACCCCTATGAAGTGCACACCTTATTGCATGAGGTTCAAGTTTTCTGCATTATATTATTGTGCACGCTCTTGGTGCTGTCAACTTATCCATCCAAAGAAAGAGAAGAAAAACTGACAAACTCATCTGTTTAACAATCATGCCAGATGACAGGTATTTACGTGCATGTCAACTGTGAGTGTAACTTACAAGCGCCGAGGTAAAACTTCTTTTTATAAAACGGCAAAGAACCATCATCAAAGAAAATAAGAATAGGGTATTTTCTGCAGGTAAGCATCCCAAGGTTTTCTGCGAAATATTTACTATGAAATATTTCCAAGATTTCTTAATTGTTGGGAAAACAAATCTCATTGTTTCACTCTTTATGTTAATTTTCTACTTCTGCCATCTTATTAGAGAGTTCTCCTAAAGGTAGTCAGTTCCTCCTGGCAAAGACACATTCAATCAGCTAAAGACTAAATTACACTTTTAGTCTCTGAAGTTTGACCCTAATTAACTTGTAAATATACTTCTTTACATCCCTCCATTTGTAATCAAATCAACATGGTTGCAGATCCTGTTTATTTTGGCAGATTTTCTACAGATCCCACACTAATTTCCTACGTGAATGTCAAAGTCATTGCTTACATGTGCTCTGACCTTTGCCCAACCTATATTCACAGAAATTTTGTCCATTTACCATGGCATTAGGGATTAAAGCTTCATTTTGCAGCCAATAAAATTGGGTGTAGAATGGTTTGGAGTGTATTCCCTAAATTAGATTATGCTCACATACCTTGGCCCAGGGTGGGAGGCAAACATCTGCAATAGGTTCACCATCTTGTCTCACACCAAAATGATAAGAGTTTGAATTTACAAGAAACTCTGGCATGTAAAAGAACTCAGGTATTAGCTCCTTCACATCACTTGTATTAGAAAGGCAGTTCTGATATGTTCCCTCAATGCTTTGAAAGAGACGATCTGCATGGTCAAATTTACCACCCTGATGAAAAGCAAAACGTGAAATCCATGGACCATTAGTCAGTATAGTAAGAAAGTAATCAAATGAGAAAAGATTGAAACACCAAAATTGCTCCAAGATGAGAAAAAAAAGGGAAAAACACAAAAACAAAAAACCTACACCTATGGTCCTCTCCAGCACCAACTTCATAACATGGAATAAGTTTATAAATAACAAAATCATAAAGCTGAGTTAAGATAAAATACTGACTAATAGAAATTCATAAAGGCCAATCAACAGTGCTTAGGCCCATGGCTTTCAGAAACTTTCATGAAAATAATTTTTTTTCAAGCTGCTACCCGAAAAACTTACTACACTGTCACAAATCACACTTAAGAAAGACATAATTTTGGAAAATTTGAATTAATTTGAATTCCAAGAATAGACAGCAGCATCATGCAGATTTTCTGGGCAGAACCTCATACCCTGAAATTTCTAAATGTGAATAACCATCCACTTATTGATAAATTATTGTGCTTCATTGATGTGAGATTGCTCCCTTCATATACAAAATATGAAAATAAAAAGAGGAAAAAAGTGATGTAGTTTGCTGGGTAATGTAAAACAGGGTAGTGGGTAGTTTTAAATTTTCTCTATGAACAATAATGTCAGAAGAGAGATACTCTGGTGACAGAAGTGTGGAGGCCAAAGGAATCGCCTTATTTTAATTGAAAAGAAAGACTTGTAACATATCATAAGATATTTAAAGTGTGTGAAACTGCGCTTAAGAGTACCTGCAAATTTCGATGGAGAGAAGTAAAGGGCTCCAATCTCAGAAGGTAATAAAGCACAATCCCCATGCTTGAGTAATGAGACCCATAGTAGAAACTGCAAAAGTTAAGAAGTAACGTTGCAAATCAGACAATCAAAAAGAGTGCATTCTTGGGACTTAAAAAAAATCATTAGGTATTGAGAAGGCTTTGGAAATTACCTAGGTATATCAGGATCAGAGAAGCTACGATATCTATCTTCAAAAACCTGGATGGTATGCCACCGAAATATTTGTTAAAAACAGATGCAGAAATATGTGCATTAATTATGTTATTAAGAAAATTATGACATACAAATCAACCTCAAATCTCTTCACATCAAGTGCTCCAACTGGTTTTGAAAGATCCCGAAAAGTGGAAGACTTATTAAAATCAAGCACCTCGGAGGAATAATCAGCCAAGACCCAAGGAAAGACAGGATATTGCGTCAAATCGTTATAAGATCTTCCAGCCAACGTATTGAGAATCATTAGATATTCAAAATTTGTCATTTCCCTTCTCCTCCAGCTCTCTCGAGCAGTTTCTGCCATCTCCAGTGCCACACGTCTATCAACAAATGAAATAGCTCCACTTTTGTCCCGACCACTTCCTTTTGGAAACAAATATTCATTCCTAGTAGCAACTATTAAGGTTCCAGTGTCTTTTGCATCCTTCTGGGTTGCAAAATTCAAAAATACTGGTGCAGCTGAATCGCTGAAGAAAATCTCTATTGCAGAGTATCGAAGCAAATAACGAGTCCAACAAACAGCTTTTATCTATGATCAACCATAAGAAATAACAAACAAGAAATAAAGTTTATGCAAGAGAACTAAAGAAAAAAATAAATGAAAATTATTTCTTCCTAACCTTGCCCATATTCCATCTCCTGTGGCGCTTAATATTTTTAAATTGTTTTCTTTTAAGACCATTTTCATTCATTGCCTCAAATTTATCGACTGTGGCACCCTTCTCAGAATCTGAATCAAGAAGTAGTGGTGGTTTCACAGATTTCTGCTTTTGATCAGGTTTGGTCAAATCATGATTGCTTGAACCATGGAAGTTTCTGAAAACGGATGATCCCCCAGTACCTTCAACCAAAAATTCACCAAAGAAATGCAAGACATTTTTCATGACTGCCAAATGTCCAGCTAGTTTTCTTTTTGGGGTTACAAGCACACAAGGAACTGATGTAAGAACCTGAAACAGAAATCAGGGACATAAGAAATTTATTTGCATTTTTATTAACGGTCTTGAACATATTCATATCGTCCCACTTACCTCACTAGTTTCTGCCTCAAGTGAAGAGGAAGAAGAATCTTTTCTCTCCTGCATCCAATCACTGGTTTCCATGGCTAATTCGGAGCACTGGCTGTCTGAAGTATCCTTAGGGATGGAGGGTTTCTGCCCACCAAGTTCAGTATCAATTTCATTAGGTTCTGAGCTGCCCTCATCAGTTATCTTCCATACCCCTTTCAGCAAAAATCGTTTCATTTGTTCAGGAATGTGCCCCACGAAACCAGATTTACTTTCATTAACAGGAGGTGTAACCTCATTGCTAGGCACAGAGGACGAAGGATGACACAGCTTTTCATCAAAATGATAATTCTGTCTCAGCTTTTGTCTACGTCGCCAGGTATCTTCTATCTTGTCAAGTTTCCAATGCCTTACAGAACTATTTGGAAAAGGATTAGCAGACCATGGACCTCTCTCATCAATCAAAGCACGAAACATGTGTATCCATTTTGCCTGTAAGATTAACTCGGTTAGTAATTACAAGTACGATACAATGTTCATCACAAGGCCGAAGAGAAAACAAAGGTAATGAACAAAAGAAAATTGCATGCTTCTCCTCGTTTATTTATTCATTTGCAAAAGCTATGTTCAAGAACAGAGAAAAATGGTCCACATACAACAACATTTTGTTGCTCCTCCTCATGAGTGAGCTGGAATGCAGCTCTCCTGCTGTCATCTAAAGCAAGAATGGAAGTCAAGCTACTTTGTATCTCATCTTCAAAAGCTTTCCTATTATTAGATTCTGCTGAAGAATTTTCATCCATCCTAGATTGGAGCTCACGTAACTGCCTTTGACGATCTGTATCTAATGACTTCGTATATTTTGCCTCATCAGCAACCTGAAAAATTAAAACTAAACAGTCAAGGAGTAGATGACACAGGATTACAATCAATAAGAGGCAAATGTTGAAAGTGTTGCTGATAGTGTTGTTATTCTACATTTTATTTTCATTTCTTAATCAGTCAATAAAACAATTACATTATTACTAACCTTATTAATGAATATTTCCTTAGTAACTAAGATTCATTTTATAGTAAATTGTAAGAAATAAAAACCATATGGGCCTGTGCCAAAGCATGGCATGGGCACGTTCAGGCCTAGGCTGGGGACAATCATGCATAGCACCGCATGGCACAAAGCACGAGTGGGCCTAATTTATATGCCCAATGTCAACACGGCATGACCCGTTTTACACCTTAACACAAAATAAATATATCAGCCTAATACATTTACACAGGAGTGGGATAGAGCATCATGATTTATTTATTTTTTGGTCGAATAGAGCACCATGATTAATAAATATAGCAGCACTAAAATAACTTGCAAGACGCACTGCTGCTAGCACTCGATCCCTCTGAATTAGATTGTGAATGGATCCTGCTTCTTTTACGTTGTTGCCTGAATCCAAGGAGTCCTCTCTCCCCATAATACTAGTAGCAAGCATTGATTTACCAAAGTTGACAGTTTCTCGAATCAAGTGCGATATCACATGAAAACGAGCACCATCATCTAACATTCCAAACTGCGACCTCACAACAAGCAAAGCCCTGGCCAATGTTAACTTAAAGTTACATTCTTGCAAATAAGGCTAAATTACAACAAATTAATTATTTCCCAACATCTGTGAACTTGGTTAGAAAGTATAAGGGAGAAATATGACTACCAAATGAACAGCTGCAATCTGCTTTTGCTTTGCTCATCATCAGCTACCAAGAGACATGGCAGAAGCGAAATGACCTGTTGGACACAACGTGATGCTCTTTCTAGAGAAGCTCTGCAGAGATATAGTATTACAAGTCGAAAAATTATTCTTGGGCATCTCTCCCCTCGTAAGAGCATTGCCTTATCCACATTTTTGTTAGGTTTGCCACCTAGTGCACTGCCTATCCCTCCTGATACAACAACTGCAGCCACCTCTGCAGCAGGAATGTTCAGAGATTCCACTAAGCCACGTGCTCTTTGGCCAAAAGATGGACCTACAGATGGTGATGATTTGGGTAAGGACTTGCTTGGTCCTTTACCGTTCATCTCACTTAAAATAATCCACAAATTGTCATATGGATTCCACCACTTTTCATTTACAATGCCTTCTGCATTATTGATTGGCTGCTTGCAACTCCCAGGGATCCTATAAAATAAGTCATTCAAACCATGAATGGTATTCATCATAAATCAGGACACATCATGCTAGAAAATAACAGCTAAAACAGGAGAGGTCCTGGAACCGATCAGTCTCATACCAAAAGAAAATATAAAGAAATAAAGGAAGCTGCACAAACTTTTTTAGAAATAAATTATGGGGATGCAGTATAGTACGGGTCATTTGGATGGAAAGGAACAAAAGGATTGATGACTACAGGGAAACGGGGTAGAAGAATTGTGGGGTAGAGTTAGGTTTTCGTATCATTATGGGCTTTTGTTTCGATTAAGTTTAGGTATGTACCTTTTTTCTTTTTATCCTTTAAGATTGGTAGGCAGCTGTCTGTTAAATTAAATAGCATGAGGTGCCAGTCTGGGATTTGAATTTGGTAATGTTGTAATGTAGTTTGTATGCACTTGTTTAGAGACCTCTTGTCCACATTGAATAAAAAGTATCACTTTCTTTGAAATAATATATATATATATATATATATATATTACTGCACACATCATCGGATTATATAAGTTGCAGCGTAGCGTAACAGTTTACAACTATTATAATAAAATTGCAAGAAATTAATACAGGTCCTTACTGGATAGGTTAAATCCACAAAGACAGTAGTGACTGACATCATATTGGGGATTAGTTTCAGAGGAAAAAAAAATTGCAAGCCAAGAAGCCAGTACCTGGATGTTTGGCTATCGATTTCTCCTTGCAGCACTTCGTATAAAGCTGAACCATAATCTTTATGGCGTTCCAACTCTAAGGAATCAAGCGAAAAGTCAGAGCTACTTGCCGGAAACTGCAAGAAGTCAAATATTAAATTGATAATCTCACCTGTGTGACTAACAATGAAGTAAATAAGCAGAAAATTACAAGCCAATTACATAGCATTGAAAACCAATAAAGTATTGCTTTGTTCATGCTTATGGGAGCAGAGAGTCAACAACTTATTATTACAGTTATGAAGGGCTACTAAATGAAGCCGTCCAATATTTATTCTTCACAATATTGTTAACAAGCGATAATCTCATGGGCAAAGAACTATATGATATTACAATCTCTATATGGGCTACCTAGATAGAGTACATGTTTACTTCACATGCCACATCTTTTGGACACACAACCTGACATTACAATTTTATTTTTTTTTCAAATGAAAATTGCAAAGGCACTATTAAAATGTAGTTGAAATATATTTAATTACTTCACTTGATAAGACACAAGAGCAAACAAAACATATTAACTAATCAAAACACAATTGAAGGAACCACAAACTACATTGGCTGACTGTGAGCAGACATTGGAAAAACTGGAGAAATAAGTGAGATGATGTGAAAATTTAGAACTCTCAATAAAGAGATGCACTGGAATGAGGATATATTAAACATTGATTGCCAAGAGAATAGAAAAACTGGTTTTTTTGAATTTCAACTTTTCAAGTCATCTTTCATATGAGAGGGGTGGAGAACCTGATTGATAAATTAGATCACGAAGACTGAAATTAGAGTAACACAATTTTTAGTGTCGTGATCACAGAGTGTCCACAAATTCAATCAGCTGAATTAGTAAACTGACTACAACACAGCTCTGCTTTATCTGATTCAGTAAGATGATAAATTATTTGTTGTATCCATTGTTCCTATTTATTTCTTCCTTTTAAGCTTGGGTGGGATGGTTCAGCATGGGAGTAGTTATGATATTATGATTTAAGTTCCAGGTAAGCTGAATACCGGAAGTTTTTGGTCAATTTCAGAGATAAGCATCTCATCAACCAGTCTTAGAAGGTATAATGTGTTGTCCCGGCATGGTTGTGAGATAAAAATATTCTCTTCAGAAGATAATTCCACCAGTTTCCTAATCAAATCCATATATATATCACGTAGCAAATATCGAAATGAAACGCCCCCCTGCCAGGAAAAAAAAACCTTGATATCATAATAAGTCTATAGTTAATTAGAGATGTAGATCAATAGAACAACGCCGATGTCTACGTACATGTTCACACTGCATTAGTAGGAAAGTCACTGTCTCTTCCAACTGTTGCCACCCACCTTTTACAGAATGAACATAGTGACAAAGAACAACACCAAATAGATTCCTCACTATATCTTGCTCGTTTTTCTCATTGTCATCTTGGTCTTGGGGATTAACTTTGTAGTTTTTGAACACACCAAGCTTTACACAAGCTGTTAACCAGGCATTCCAGCCAAATTCCTATTCATGATTTTTGAGCTATGAGAAGATAGTTAATTAAGACAAAATAGAATATAGGAAACCCATAGTGCTATTACCATAAAAGCTTCAACATTTGAAGGATCTGAATCAAGAAGATCAAGTAAATCTCTGAAAATTTTCATTCTTGAAGCCACATCTTCACAGCCAGACAGGAATCGGAAAATAAGAACCAAAATTTGAGGAAGGAGAAAATGAGAGACATGTCCTTTGCTTCTCTGCCTTTCAACCTGGCTGTGCTTCTGTAACACCTGTAAATATGAAATTAACTCACAGGTAAGTTTGCACAGAATCCTAAATAAAATACAACAAGAATGCAACTGGTAATTGCACAGCTACATTTTGTTACAAATACCTGTTTGGGGCTAGCACCACCAAGAAGAACATCAAACAAGGAAGCACACAAGTTATCTGTTTGTGGAAACCTGAATAACCTATCAGACATGGCTGAAAAAATTGGTTGCATCCTCATACTGATCTTTTTATGACCATCTGAAAGAGATCGAGATCTTCCAACTGCAAGATTAAAAAATCTTGCTCCCTTCTTCTCAGATGGAAGATCAACCAAAAGTCTTCCAAGGAGCTGCAAGCTGAGCAATCTGATAGGTTCATATTCCCTAATGGAAAACAAATCAGAAGAGACAATGTGTAAGTGACTGTAGCTTGTGTGTCTTATCAATATATACATTTAGATGTCTATATATATGTATAAGCGACTGGGTATTCTGAATCTCTGGTTAGTAAAAAGAAGCTTTTGCAGCCTCAGTAATAGTAATTTACATCATAAGAGTAGAATAATTCAAAAGAGAAAGCAATACACAATGTGTAGAAAAGCTAACTGTTGGTTCAACTTCAAAAGAAACTTCTTGTCTTACTCAATATGCGGCAGTGGCCATTCTAATAGATCATGCACAACAACGTCTTGTGATATAGTTGAAATCTAACATGTTTCAACACTTCTAGTCAGTTAGTTTTGAGTTTGTATTTTTCTGGTGGACTAGTTGTTCACAGCTTTGTATTCATTTCAGGATTTTTTTTTCGTTTGTCAAAGGAAAAAAGAAAAGAAAAGAATATCAATTATCACAGGATAGTGCAATTTGGTAGATTAAGCTTAGGTTGCTCTATTTACTCAAGACAGATCCATATCGTTATATAGCCTCAACTGTCATTATTAGTATTGTTGCCAATCCTTTAAATCCTGTCATAATCTTTTGCCCCACTTCAGTTGAGGCGCACCGGACTACTTAAAAAGGTAAACATAATAGCCTTTCTAAGTAATTTAGGTTATTCAAATTCTTCTGAATCTATTCTTATTGATGTACACCTGGGGAAGCAGTAGTTCCATTGTCATGGCACTCGAGTAACAATTGAGTTTTTAAGAGAACATGTATATTAATAGAGTAGCCCTTATAGGATGCTGGTGAATAATTTTACTAAGTAAATCAGGTCACGCCACAGTACTCTACTGTGAAGATTTAAATATCACTGAATTCATATTATTGAATGCATACCTCTGAAGAAGATTAACAAATATGTGACAACCACCAACCAGATTGACCTGTTCAAGGAAAGCTGCAAGCAGTGGTTTTTGAGAAAGTGCTCGAATAATCATATGTAAAACATCTTCAATACAGGTCGAATCCTGACTTGTCTCGAAAAAAGCTATTAGAGCTCTTATATCTGCAGCTGCAATTTTCTGCCTGCATAATACCCAGGAATTTTTAAGTTTTCACTTAAAACTTTAAATGAATGAGACATAATAGTCTGCTATGTTAAACTTGGAAAGGGAAAACATAAATGCAAGTATATGTTCGGGAACAATGAAAAATTCCTAAAGTGAAGGGACCATACCTCAGGCTCATTTCACCAAGGCTTAACAAAAGGAGACGAATTTTTCGTATTTCTTCATTACTGGGTCTCTCTCCAAGTACTTGTTTTGTGACTGGATGAAGGAGTGGCATGCTTCCAATAGCAAATCGAGATTTCGGGTTGTCCCAATAAAATTGGCGTATTATATCAATAACACGGGGAAGCCGGCAAAGACTTTTAAGCAGCCTTGGGTCATTATCAAACTGCTGGATGAGAAACATGTATAATTCACGCTGCACCTTATAGACCGTGTACAACCAGATGAGAGGGTTAAGAAATATGTTAGATATAGCCTCTTTAGTAAGCAGCTCAGCCAAGCCTAAAGGAAAAAAAGAATAACATTACAAATCTGAAGGAATATATGGTTCAGAAACTGCGGCACGATCTACATAAGCAAAAAAAAAAAAAAAAAAAAAAAAAAAAAAATAACATTTTCTTTGTTATATGAGAAATGAGGAACAGTGCTAATAATTTATACCGCAGTTTGCGACAACATTAAACAGATGTTTCAAAGCTGAAAGTGTTTCCAAATTAAGCTGCTGAGGAGGAACTGATTGCAATAAGAATCCCAGTATTGAGAATCCAGAGAGAAGATGCATCTGTTGTTGATTAGCTATGTTCTCATCTAGCACAGAAGCTATAAGCTCAATGACTTCAGCAGTCACTCGCTCTCTTGTGATAGGAATAGGCAATGTATGGTCAAATTGTCCACTTTCTTCATTTTCATATTTCTCGGACTGGGCAATAAGAGGGAAAAACACTGATACACCTCCAACACAGTAAATTATCTGTTGCAATAAGCGTCTGGAACATTGCTGTGTGCCAACCATCACAGTTGCCTCAAATGAGTTCCTATCTGATACATGGTCTAGCATTGGTGAAACATTAAAGAGTTTCCTGCCATCACATGCCTGGAAAAAAAAATTTCAACTTTTTAGAATCCCCCTTTTCCTTTTGAGATGAGTAACTAATGTATTAGAGTTACTTCATAAATGGACAAGAAACCTTATAGAGAACTAGTTTTCCAGGAAAACGAAAGAACCTGTGCATTAAGTCCAAAATGATTTTTGATGCAAGACCATCTTTGACATCAAGGACACCACTAAGCACCGGGTTATCCTTAGATGAGGCAGCTTCATTGTCAAGGAACGAATACATGTAGCTCGGTCCAAGGGAATAGATGCCCTGAACTTGCTCAGAAGAAATGGCATCATTAAACAAATAAACAGGACCAACCTGACCGAGGAAAGGATGTGAATCTTTTACAGATTCCATAGCAAAATCGTCATCATACATGGGTATATCAAATTTTGCACCAATTCTACAACTTGTTAACAATTCATTAACTTTAGCATATCTGAAATAGAAAAATATGAAAGTAGGGGTTAATCCCTGTAATGAGAGAAAAGATAAAACAAAATATAAACGTGAAGGAAGAATAGAGGTGGGCTCCAACCTGCATCTTTCAGAAGAAACAAGATCACCATCCACGTAACACCTCAATAAGCTACCCCCGGAGAATGCTCTTCCAATGCTATGAGTTATACATAGAAAATGCCATTTCTTTCTGACAATATTTACCTGTAGCTGGACTGATTGTCGCTTCAGATTCATTGACTGGAAAATCATGAATGGCATGACAGTGTTAGTAACCTTAACAGCAGAAAATGTGAAGCAAATGATAACAATTGAACTAAGTAGTAAAAAAAAAAAACAAAAAACAAAAAACAAAATGTGCAACTAACATTAAATAGTTAAACACATTGACAGCTAGAGTATGTATCAAGCACAAGAACATAATCCCCAAAAAATATATTTACCTCATACAAAAGCTTGTCCTTTGCAAGTGCAGCCATGCACCCTCTCCCATTTTCTGCAAGAAAATTGAAAAGACCCATTTTTCCACTTCTGGGGAAATTCTCTACCCGAAGCCAACATGAAAAAGAAAAGCCCTTGTTCAGAGGCCACTGCACAGGCGTCTTTATTATGATACCCTACAAGTTCAAAAACACAAAAAGGAGAGAGAGAAGCAGAAGAAGAAGAAAAGGATCAGTTACAAGATGGAACGAATAAAATAAGTTCAGGCATTTCAAGTGCAGAGGAAGAAGGTGGTACTGTGTAAACCCACATTTGTGTCATGTTATTTGTGGGGACGGAGGGAGTAGTGATATGAGTATTATTCAACTTCATATACATTACCGAGTCCTACACATTACTGAGTCCTAACTACTTCAACTTTGGGGATCGACGATGACATGAGAGACAGCCGACAGCCTTTGAGAGAATAACCAAACCAGAATACATAAAGCGAGCATCCAAAACCAAGAGCAAGTCAACAAAAACCATTCTTCCAATCCATGACATGCATACATTGACATACCAACAAAATTAAACGAAGAAGAGAAGGCACTAAAAGAGACCAATTATGGAGATGGTGGTCACCTAGGCGCAAGAGTACCATTTAGGCTGGTTTTATTTACTTAAAATTTATTTAGTTGGGTTTATTTTAGCTTCCTCGTCCTTATGGGATTTTATTCTGTACTGCCTATGTCAGCAGGCCACTTTTGTATTTGGAGCTAAGTTTACCTAGAGATGTTAAGAACACAAGATTAAAGTTGAAGCTGTTGCCTGAATATAGTGGAGTTCAATATTTTTGTTTTTGGCCTGAATATATGGGAGCTCACGAGTTAACTCTACATATAACCAACGCTGAATATGGTCCTAGCTAATACTTGAGGCAGGAGTGGTACTATTAACACCCACCAAAATGTCCTTCCCACCCACCTATTAATGAAATTTTTACTTACAAATTTGTCCTCATAAAATTACTTAAAAGGACATCATTGAAAAACAAAAAACAAGAAAGATTATCATGTTGTTAACCCGCAAGCATGGTGGCTACCAAATAAATAAAGGAAATCCCCAGTGGGAAGCAGTGCCCATTCATCTGGCCACCACTGTTCAAAATTAAAAATTAAAACAGAAAAAAGTTGGGGGTTAGTGGTATTTTAGGATATTGAGTATATAGGGTGGGTGGTTTGAGTAATTATTTTCTAATTTTTTAAATAAATAAAAAAAAACTATTAATGAAATACAAGACAAACATGAAACAATATGGACAAAAAATCCATCAGCATGGGTAGTGGGCTTCCACTGTTTTTCATAAAAAGATGGCGCTAACGAAGCGATATGCATGCATTATTGGGTCTTCGATACAAAAGCTTATGTACAGGTTTGGTATTTTAAAAAGGCACAGCACAAAATACTTGAGCTAGAAGTAATTGTTCTTAGATTACTTGGTTCTTTTTAAATTTGTTTCTTGTTGGGTTGTGTGTGACTTTGGTTATACATTCAGGTTCCTGATGGATACCTTGTCCATCTTGTCTTCTCTTTATTCAAAAAAATAATTGTTTCTTAATAAAAAAGAAAAGAGTTTACAAAGACAGAAGCAGGACTTACAGAATCATTCCCACTGAAGTCAAAGAAGGCAGTAGGTCCCTTTTCATTTAGCATTGACAAAACACTGGACAACAACAGTGAGCAGTACTGCTGCCGGTTCCCAATTTTCTCGCTTCGGAGAAGCGCAAAGATTTTGCGGATGTCCTTCCCAGAAGTGCTGTGCCCACCAACAACCTGAATTAATTGGGCAATTTTCAAGATGACGCTATCATTATCTTCTTGTGAAAACCAATCAAGAAGAAAATTAAGCATTCCTGCTCTGACACAGGAAGCCCGATTGGAAATGGAATCCCTCAGTAATTGCTGAAAGACATCAAGCCCGTTATGCTGAGACGAGTCACTGCTCTGCCCAATCATAAAATAGCAAGTAATGATATAGTAGGTTATATTTTTCAACAACTGTAATTGCAAAGTAAATATAATGATTTCAGAGAGAAATAGAAGAGACCAATAATAGAAATGAATCACCAACCTCCCGCAAAATGCGCAGATAAAGTATGATCACGTCTTCATTCTGCATGAAGAAAAAAGTGAAGAAAAGAAATGTATAACTATGAGTGAGGTGTAGGACTCAGGCACACAATTCCATAGCCATACTTGGCATAAGTATAAAACTCATAAATAAAATTAAATCTGTGGGCATTATGGAAAAGAAAATCCTGAAAGAGGATATTACAAACTTTCTGGATAAGGTTTGTATCATGTAGACCACCTTTATTTTAGGGCCTGATTTCATATCAAACTTTCCATCAACAAGCATATCGAGCAACGCATTCAAAAGTCCTTCACTTGAGCGTGACTGACAAAACTCCAACAGTAAGCTTTGCAATGTCTGGTATCCCTTGCCAGCAAGAACTCTAAATGTAGCCTGCAAAAATATAGCCAATGAAGAAGTACAATTAGCTAGAAACCTAGAATTACAAACAAGAAAATGTAGTACCCATATTAAAAGCATATGCTGACATAATAACGCCAGCATATTTCAGAGTCAAGCAACCCAGGAAAGACAACATAAATTTACAAAACAATTATTTTTCAAGGGATAACAAACTTCTATTGAATCTAATAAAAATAAACACGTCCAACATATAGATTAGCCAAAAGTTAATTAATTGATTTGATCCTTCAAAAGGTGCAACTGGATGAGTACATAATACACCTATAAATGTCAGGATACAAAACCTTCAGGTTGCTTCTATAGTAGGGTTCCGTTCTGCAGGATGTGGGGACATTCAAACACCATGCCAGGCCATTCGAATGCCTGGACAAGTTTAGTGATCTCCCCTATTCAGGGCTGAGGTTTAGGGATTTGGTCGTGGGCTCTAGGGCATAGTTTCTAACTTTCTACACCCTAAAATAATTGACCCTATTGGGGGAAAGCTGCAAAATAGTGTTCCTGCAGAAGAAAAAATGTTTGGGGTGTTCAATTGGCCTGAGATCTCGCATCTGAGGGTTTGGACATTTACTTGTTTATTTATGATTAACCAAAATGCTTATTTTCAATTCAACAAAGGATTAAATGAAAAGGAAAAAAAAACAGAAATCTCTTAACCACAAAAGAAATTCTATGAGAACATCTTTATGCGATTATATTATCTATTATTTATTAACGTTATTTCAATTGTGCATTTAATACATTCTTACTGATTCATCCTTATTGTGGAAATATATATATTATATATATATATATATATATATACGGTTAAAAATATACTTAGAGGACCAAAGCAAACCTAATAAAAAAGTTTTAATGCGTCCTGCAATTCAAAGTAAGAATAAGATAAACCTAACCGCAGCGCACCACATACCAACTAAATTTAACCTATTGTATACTATTGCGTACAAGAGCAAACCAGTTGTTTCCAAGAAATCAGCCTGGGCTATGTTGTAATTTTCAAATATTAACCCGGCTGAGACATGACTTGGCCCCGTTGGTTCAGTTCCATTAAATACAACCAAGTTGGACACAATTAATCTGCGTGATTAAAATGAATCCCTTTAATATGTTTTCATTTTCCCCGTTATATATGCTAGTTTGTCTCTACTTTTCTAAATGATATCTGACTCAGGTCTTCAACTCAATCATATTTCTAGTATGACTCAATACATAGTATCAAGATTGTTATAAAGTGGGTATCAATCTATCTCGTATGCATGAAAAAGAAAAAGACAGATGAAAATATAATATCAAATGCACACCTGAGAGTGTTCTGGGTATACAACCCACTCTTTCCACATATATGTCATATGTTTATCATAGATGTGCCATTTTATAAAAGTAACATGTTCAGATGATGACTAATTGGTTCATTTAGGGTCCGTATAGTCAGTGGCGGACCCGGGATTTTGTCCGAGGGGAAGGGGTGGGGGTACATTCGAAAATAAATTACAGTGACTAAGTACAAAATTCCAGATTTGAACATATCACATTAAAGTAAGCAAAAAATATCAAGCCAGACTTGATTATGTATCAAATCATGAGATCAAGCCAGACTTTCCCATTGGTTCTTTTAAAACTCAAATGAGTAACTCAGTTTATCTTCTATTTTTCATCAAAAAAGAGAGCAGGAAGAAATGGCTTCTGTTCTCTTTGTGCTTGGCAGGAAACTTCAACAAGTCTATATGTTTCATAATGCATATCAAATTGACCCTCAATTCTCTATGGCACTGGCACATCCATATAATCAAATAAAAAACGCAAAGTACCAGTGAACCATCTGGATGAAATCATGAAACAAAATTTGACATATTGCATTCAACCAAGAAGATACTAACATAAATTAAGCACTCAAGCATTCTATAATGGCTAAAAAAGAGAAACAAAAACCATGAGAAAACAAGGATTACCTTCCTTTATAGGAAACAAAATTTTATAAAATAACAAGGGAAAAAATATACAAGAAAAGATGGACAACATGTCCATCTAGGTTTGAAGATAGAAATACCTTTGAGGCATCATTGCTTGCAAGCAGACAGGTAAGAGTTTGAAGGACATTCAGAACCAATTTTTCTCCATTAGCCTCATCAAGGTTTCCATTTAGTAAAGAGACAACATGCAAAAAGCACTCTCCATCACGAAACAAAGTCTGATAGTACTGAATAAAACTCAAATTCATGAGACACTGGAACGTCATTTATTAACAAAAATAACTATCAAAAATGGAAAAGAAAAAAAAATCAAGGCATACCACGGGATCAATCTGGAGCATATCTCTCATTCCGACCAGTAAACTGATAGACAGTTCTGCAAAGCTTTTCTCCCGTTCCTTTATTTGAGTGAATGTTTCTAAGTATTTAGAGCATAACTGCAACTTTGCTCTTTGATCCTCCTCAGATGATGATACACTCTAAAAAGTAACCCAAAAAAAATCCAAAACAGAATTAAACTTAATCAGTGATAAACACTTACAGTCAACAAAATATCAAATGAACACAAGGTTTATGGGAATACCTTCATCAGCTCAAATATATGCTTAAGGACATTTTTTCTCAAACCTTCTTCCCAGAATAAATCAAATAAATAACCAATACATGCAGAGCTATGCAGAACCAAACTTCTAGCATCTTCTGCTGTTGAGAAAAATTCCATATAGAGCTCCATAGACGTCTCCATGCATTTAAGCCATCTTTGCATTGTCTCATGTGAATTGGATTTTCGATTATTTGGAACCACTTCAACAACGTTACTCTCAACAGAAGGGCTTGCATTCACAAACCTTCTTGATTCTTGGGCTTGAATGCAAGCAACTTTAAGCACACGAGGAAATGCATTAACTGACTTAAAAGAAGCAACAGTTTTCTCAGCTGAAATCTGTAATATGCGAATCAGACTCTTGGCAAGAACACTAGCAACCTCAGGATTGCAAGCAGACTGTTCAAGGGAATCTAACAGAGCAGACAATTCAGGCTGCCATACACAAAAGAGGCAAGAAGTAAGGAAAGATACAGAAAATTAAGATGCAGATGTTGTCTTGAAGCACTGCAATTACTATGACAAAAAGAACAAAAACATTGACAATTTGTTCGTCCCTCACAGGTATGCATTCAAGTTTACGAACATGTATAGAGACACATATGTGGAAGCCCTTCGAAAGATATTTCTCAGAGCTACACATCATTTTAATCTGCTGTAAGTATGGTAAGAGGAGAGGGTGGGATTTTGGGAGGATAGTTGGCTGAGAAAGAAACACCATTTCCCAGCATATTTTTTTTCTATTGCTTGAAAACAATAAAATAACATAGAAAGTAGACAAGATGGCCACTACAAAGAAAGCAAAAGCAGAGCAGAAATATAAATGCTGGTGGATGCTAAAACAAACCCAACTCCTGACACACAACGGCTTTCCAGTCGAACCAATTGTCTATAAAAGATAAACCCTTAAATTCTGTACCAAAACCGAACATCATCCCGTAACTTTGACCAATTGCCATGTCTTTAAAAAATCCATTCTTTATTTCCTGTTGGCGTGATAAATTAGGTTCAGTTTATTATTATTTAATATAGTTGGCTTTGTATGCTTACCCTTTTTGTATACTTTGTACATCTTATAAATACCTCAAAATGAGAAGAATAAAATCATTCCATTCATTCAGATTTCTAGATGATATCAGAGCAATCAATCTAATTGGCTCTACTGCGATCTGAAACCCTAAAACACTCTCTACTGCTGCCGCACATATCTAGGGTTTTTTCCCTTGTGCCGTCGCCATTTTCCTTCTACTTTTTCTGCTGCCACCGCACCTCTCTAAGGTTGTTTACCCTGCTTCTGTGTTGCTGCAGCCTTCTGAACCTTCATCAAGGGTATATTGACCTTGGTGTCTACTCTTACCAGTGACACTAATCCATCTGCGCCCTTGTCAAAGACACCCACTGTTACCATTCAGCAAGACGTTGCTTCCTCTCCGATCAACGTCAAAATGGATGGGACATATTATCGCCTCTGGTCCAAGGTTTTGGAGATGCATATCTCTGCTCATAAGAAATAGGGCTATATTTCTGGTACTAGGGCTGCACCCAACACTTCTTATCAGAAGTATGAAGAATGAGTGGCTGAGGATGCCTTAGTGAAGTCATGGCTCATCAGCTCCATGCATACCAATCTCATGTTGAACTTTATTCAATGTCAAACTGCAAAGGATGTGTGGGATACGGTGAAGAAGGCCTATCATGATGCTTCTGACTCTTCTCAAGTCTATGAGTTGATGAAGAAGTCCGTTCAACTTCGTCAAAATGGTTGGCCCTTATCCACTTATTTTACTGAGATGAATTCTCTCTTCATGGAATTGGACCATCGTTGTCTGAATAATCTTGAGAATCCATCCGATATTGCTAAATTGAAGAAACGTACTTCTAAAGAACGTGTCTACATATTTCTTGCTGATCTTGATCACAATCTTGACTAAGTGTGTAGTCGCGTGTTGGCTAGTGTACCTCTTCATGATCTTAATGAGGCTTATGCCATGGTGCGTCGGGAGGCCCAATGACAAGTTACTATGACTGCCGAGGGCTCCACTGAGGCATCGGCTCTTGTGGCCAAGAAGGCTCAACCTCACCCAGTTCCTGACTCTAGTCCTAAATCCATCTCTTCTGGGTGTACTTACTGTAAAAGCAGAATGCATGTGAGGGAAAATTGCTGTAAAGTGGTGGGATATCAGGAGTGGTTCGAACTGAAACAGGCTGCCCGCAAGGATAAACATAAATCCAAAGAATATTTAGTCTCATCGGACTCACCACAAACAGCAACTGCCTCTCAGGTTTCTTGTCCCTCAACCATTACAGGTAATATCGGTTGTGTTTTCTCCTCTACCTCTACACGACCTTGGATCATTGACTCTGGAGCATCTGATCACATGACTAGTGACTCTTCTCGGTTTGTCACTTTTACTCCACCTCATCGCAGCTCAGTTAAAGTTGCTAATGGTGTTCTTACTTCTATTCAAGGGGCTGGTTCACTTAGTTTGACACTTGCTCTGTCATTGTCCTCTGTCCTATATGTTCCCTCTCTTTCCAATCATTTGCTCTATGTTTGTCAAATTACCAAACAATTAAATTATTTTGTAACCTTCTTTTCCACGACCTTCTCACGAAGACGACGATTGGAATTGGTAAGGAGAGGGGTGATCTCGATTATTTTGAAGAAACCAACTCTGCTGGCCATGTGTTTCAAGTTGATGGGAATCCTACATCAAAACTGGAAAAGATTATGTTATGGCACCGTTGTTTAGCATATCCATCGTTCTTGTATTTGGAACACATATTCCCTAGTTTATTTACTAAGGTTTGGAGTTCTAGTTTATGGTGTGAATATTGCATTTTGGCTAAGAATCATCGAGTTAATTTTCGATCTTCCTCAAACAAAAGTGAACAACCTTTTGCTATTGTTAACACTGATGTTTGGGGTCCGTTTTCTTCTCCTACTTCTTCTGGTGCCAAAGTGGTTTGTATCAGTTATTGATGATTGCACTAGAGTTTGTTGGATTTATCTTATGAGGCAGAAAAGTTATGTGATTTCTATACTTCCCAAATTTTATCAATTGATTTGTACGCAGTTTTGGGCTCAAGTGCAGGTGTTTAGTTCTGATAATGGGAAGGAATACCTCAATCAGACTCTTACTGATTTCTTCCATACACATGGGATTATCCACCAAACGACCTGTGCGTATACCCCTGAACCAAACGGGATCATAGAACGATTAACTGTAACTAAACGTAGCTTTAAATCTTGGTTGTCTCTAGTAGTTAGCTCAAACCTCAGTAACCCTAATTTATGTTCTACACATACAAGTCATTTGGTCATGTTTTTGTGGGTGCCTTAAGTGATAGAAAGTGTAAGTTTGTGTTGTTTACTTAATCTTGATAGTTGATATGTGTTATCCTTCAGGTTTGACTCCTAACAGCTTAAGCTTTGGAATGGAGAAACTTAACAACAACCATACAAAAACAAGAAGGCATTCCTTAATAACTTTATCAGCCTTACGACACCTAATACCCATATGAAACCCTAGAACCACTTTCGCATCCATACTTTACTAAGCACAATAAAACACCATGTACTTATGGACACTAAAGTGCAAGTTCATTTGACCAGTTATCTTAAACAAAGCATGTAAGTACAGTGAAGAGTAAATGTCGGAAAACGCACATCATCAAGCAAGCGGAGACCTACCAAGTTATGTGCACTTCCATTAGAAGTTGCAGCAAACTCCACGAAAGAAATTACTTCCATTTGGAGAATATTGTTGATGCCACTAAAAGCAGAAAGTAGTTCAGGAGGAGACTCCTCGTATGTGCAACACTCTCCAGAAAGATCATCAGAAGCTGGTCCAAAGTAGAAAAAATTCTCAGAAAATATGAGTTCCCAGATTCCCTCGTCCCTAAATACTTTGAGTGATGCAGGGGATGAAACAAGAACCTTCCTAAATGCATTCAAAACACAATGCTGCAGAGTATTGACAAAGACCCTACAGATAAGGAAACAAACAAGAAAAAAGAGTCACAAGAAAGAGAGAGAAATTGAACAAGTACATTAAAACTGAGGTAGCAACATCTAATAAATAGTAAACAATACCTAACAAGAAACATAAGATGGTACATTACTGCTAATAGAAGTTCACCTTAAGTGGCTTGGCAAATCATTTTGATTTGAACAGGCCTTAATGCAGGGGAACACTGTAACAAGAACCCTCATAACCCATTTGATTGAAAGTTCACCATACAATGAAGAAACTGCCACAGCGGTCTGGCCAGTGGACGCTTCGAGATCATGAGATTTAATATCTTCTGAAGCAGGAAGAAAAGAACAAAATACCCTGCTCAGCTTCACAGCATAATCACTCCAAAGTTGAGAGTAAGAAACATTGGCAGGAAGTGCAACAGAAGTCTCTGCTATATGGTTTTTCAGAGTCTTATCACTTCCAAAGTCAACCATAGGCATTTGGAAATCAAGTTGACCAGACATATCCTTGGTCTGCTGTTTGTACTCTTGAAACATGAAAGCAGGTGAGCAAAAGCTATTTGCGAATTTTTGAACCCTCCCATTTTCACACAGAAATTGCAAGTTGCTGATATTTCCATAGCTGCACACTTGTCAAGGGAATCATTTTTTATTTTATTTTTTTGGGCATAAACTGAGAATCATTTGTGGCACAGATACAATCTCCCCTAGTATTTGGTAAACCACAGTAAAGGGAATAATGAAAAGGCAAAACTTCAGCCTTATTGTGTCAAACAGAAATCAATTGAATAGTAACAGTACTTTCCTTAAATCATGAGGGGCATACAATGTCAAAACAAAAATGCAACACTTCATTCAATATATGCATCCATGCAGCATGTATGCATAGAAGGACTCCAACAAATTCAGTGGGTACAAGCATAAATCCAATAAACACATAAGGTATACAACAAGAATCACAGCTCTCATGCATACAATAAACACTGTCGACCAAAAATAACTCCAACATACCAATTTAAACAAAAAGTACAAAAGCTTCATAAGTTAACCAACGAAGGACACAAAAGGATACACGGCCTCTTTGAGAACTTCCAGAGAGAGAACATGGAGCTGGAAAATTTTTAACAAGGTGTTCTCATATCTGCAATCAAATATCAGAAGTATATCAGAGCTTACAAGAGAAGGTACCGTATAACATAAAGAGCCAGAAGTTCCCACTAAAACAGGAAATATCCATCCACATATAATTCTCAGTCACTCTGAGTCAAGTCAGAAAAACTGTTAATTCACATAGTAAATCAATTCAAATCAGAGAAAGGTGACTATGTTGGTTAAATTTCTTCATAAAAAGCAAAATGAAAGCATATGCAATTATGTTACACAGATTCCTCCCTTTGCAACTGCTCTTGGTAGTCATATATATTTCTATATTCAGGGTAAATGTTACTTTAGGCACCAAACTTCTTCAGCCCTTTTTGCATGACTTACCACTTAATTACCATGGATAAATATGAACATGTTCTTAATATGGATGCATGCATACTAGTATATGCAGAACCAAAAAAGCAAAGTTTCATCCAAAGAAAAATCCATAAATAAACTAATGGATACTCTTCATCAGGAAGAGCAGTATTCCTTTGTCAAAATAACCCCCCACGCCACCAACTAAAGCTACTTATGCTTTACGTGACCAACCATCCAACAAACAAAAGATTAGCTTTAACTGCATAATCTCTGTGTTTAAGGAGATCAAACAGATATACAACCAAAAAAAAGAAGAAGATCAAACAGATACGGGAAGCATTTCAAAGAAATTATCTCACTCTTGAATATAATTCCCCAAATCAAAACAAAAGTTGTCCGCTATTCACTAACATTTTCAGAAAATTTTGCACATATGATAGCACTGAACCTCAAGATGGAAGACCATACAAGAGGAGTTAGTATTACCTTTTCTCAACAGCAGAACTTTTCGACATTAGCCCATTACTTGACGGTATTCCAAGACCATCCAACAGAACTTCAAGTCCTCCAATGCTTTTAAAATGATTTTGACCACGAGGGTTCTGAGATAATGTTGAATGAAGAATTCTTAAAGACAAATCTAGAAGTGATGTGTCCGTCCACCGTTCTTTCATGCTTAACCTTCTGATTACACGCAGCAGCTCTGGAACGAGAACAATCCCCATCAATGAAAATATAGATACAAAGAGAGTACAGGGTTTACAAAAGGCAGTATCATAGTTTGGACATAAGGAATATCATACAGATGCCATAAGAATTGGGGTCTTCAGGCAACTCAAATGCTACCCAAAAGCTAAAAAATGTGGGGCAGGGCCAGAAAAGAGCAGGATCACGGGAGAACAGGAACTGGGATGGGGTAGTGTAGGATATCCTCATGAATTATGAGCACTGAACCCAGCAGAAACGTAACAATACTAATAGCACACGCCAGGGACAAAATATGAATTCATTCAACTATTGAAAATATTTCTTTGTAATATGTTTTATTAAAGTAACTTAAACAGTTTGGAATACATTTAAAACCAAAGAAGGAAAATAAACAAAAAGAAGAAGAAAAACAAAAGGCTGCCGGAAAAAAATAGACTAGAAGGCACAGAGATAATTGAGTTTCAAAATATCAAAAAGAACATACAAAACAATAGCTATAAAAGGCACAACAAAATAGTAAAAAATACCTTTACCTAATCAAAATGTTAAGAGAGAAAAAAATTATTAAGTGAGGATAACAGTATTTTTTTTTTTTTTTAACTAACAAGAAGACATGTTATACCCCCACTCTAGAACATAAAAATATGAGACTTTTTTTCTATTTAAAAAGAAAAGAACAAGCTAAGTAAGTTTCTGAAAATTACCATAAAAATAAAGAGAATTTCTCAGTAAACAAAAGGCCAATTCATGCATGCCAAAGGGCTAATAATAATAATAATATAACAGTAGCAATAAAAAGGGAAAACAAATGAATTTATTTAGCACTTCTGATCTTATTTCCTCAGAAAGGAAATTTAATAATAATAACAATAATCATATATATACACACACACATAATAAAGAAGAAAGAGACAAAAAAAGGTCATAAATATAGATTAAATATTTTCAAAAGAAAAGTACAAATGAAAATTAATTTATAAATTAAATTAAATCATGTATCGAAGATGTCCAAACTGTACCGTTAAATGTCTAAGCTGGTATGACTAAAGAAAAAGTTATTTTTAAGAATCTGGCACGAGTTTCCAGTGCGTATCACCAAGTTGAGATGTGATGTATTAGGTTATAAATAAAAAGTTCCTGCCTCATCCTCACCCCCAAAAATAAAAACAAAAAAAATACACAACACAAAACACAAAAGAACAAGAAAAAATATTTGCCTACCTTACCTACTAACCAATTAAGTCCACCAGCTTCCATCACAGACACAACTGCCCTCTGATGCCATCGTAACCTTATTTCACTAGAAGGAACCTTTGAACTACCAGAAGAATCAACTGGAGATGTACCATCCCTTGAAACAGAGCCTATAGTATTACTATACAACTGACCTTTTTCATATACATTTGAATTTAAATCAATGAAACTACATATTATTGACACCACATATACAAGTATTTGTTGCAGGAGTCCAGTCCTCTCCACAGTATAATCAGATGACTTTTCATCAGCTGAAAGTGCACCACTTATCGTTTTAAGCTGGACTACAACCCCTGAAATAAAAATAAAAAACCACAATGTAAAATTAGCAATGGTATCCATATACCTCTGGGTTCAACAGACGTTTTGCAAGATTAAGTTAATTCATTAGGGATATTATGACTTCCTTTAAACCTGGGTTAATTCATTGAATGCTTGAATCCGAATGTTTCACTGATTCTATTCTATTTATTAAATAATAATTTTTAGTGCAATGCTGTTTTAGACAATGGAAAAAATAAAAGAATAAACTCCTCAAACCAAATCTTTTTTCTTGTTCTCTATCTCCACATAAGTGGCAAACACAATCTAAATCCAAGAGACAATGAAACTTACGGCACTACTGGACATATTTCGAACAAAATGTGTCACCATAAAAAAGAAAGTGCACTAGCAAATAATAACACACATAAATACCTTTCATTAATGCCGTCAGCTTTTGAATCCCACCATAGTACCCAAAAACTCTGCAATTGTGCAACGAACGGGTAACAATCATAAGAGCATCCAGGAGTGGCATTCCTTCAGATATGATATTTAAGGTTGTGGAATGGTTAGAGAAGTCTGCTGATGAACGAACTGTACTGGTGTTTACTGGATTAACCATGGGAAAAACAAAGTAAACCATAAATGACATAGCAAGAAAACCAAAACTGAAGGAAGGAAGACTACACTCATTAATATAAGAGGGATAGAACAGCCATAAAGAAAATAATTAACCAGATATCAAGTGCTAACATATCAATCTACCATGACCACATTCCTGAAAAAAAATTCACCAAATGCCTTCCAAAAAGGAGGGTGAGGAAGCACAAATAAATTCATATTGACAATAACTTTGAAACAAGATACAATAAAGACGGCAATGAGAGAAGTCAAATGAAAAGTGAGTAGTTACAAATTTGTCCCAAAAGGCACATCAAACCCCCAAATTTTTCATGAATACCTACCATGCTGATATAAAAGTAAAATAACATTTTTATGCAATAAAATTATAAAAGATATGACAAAAGGCAGCGATTAGAAAAGGAAACATTTGGAGTACTTTATGTGCAACCATGCCAACAGCCTCAGTGTCAGTGTTCGTAAAATAATGATACTAAAATAATAATTAACAAAAGCAGAAGTACATTGATTAAGAAACACACGATAACTAACTCTAGGATTGCCTAATAACATTTTGGGTGGAAAGCAGATTCGAAACTACGAAGTCAGTTTCCAAAAATTTTACTCAGCTTGAGCATAAAATATTTTTGTCATGTCAACGGTAATAAAATAAATAAATAGTAACTTCCAAGTTTGGGATCTTAACATTTGGCTAGTGAAGAAGGCCATTCTAAATTGGACTTTATACGGGATATCAAGCATAGGGCCAAAAAACCGTCATAAGATAAAGAAAGAATTATTGTTTCACAAAAATTTTACCAGAAGAATTTAATATAGGAATACCGCACACCAAAGCAATTTTCTAAAAACCAAACAGGAAGTTCAACTTACACTCTGCAACCATAGCAGTTAATTGTGTAATCTCTTCAGTCAGTATTAAAATGACTTCTGCAGGATGTCCAGCAAAGCAGCCAGTAACTACATCTGAGTTTGATGAATACTCTGCAGTTTGGATGGTAGTTGAAGCAACCTCTGAAATTTGGCCACAATTTACTGGTTCCCAGTTCTTGTATACAACTAGAAACTGCTTAAGAAAAACATGAAACAGCCTCCTCTTTTCCACCTATAAATTGAGTGAACAAAAAATATATCACAAAATTATAAGCAAGTGACAACTAGAGCTCACTAGGAACAATAAAAGCTATTATTGTCATTTTCTGATATCAATTCATTGCATATATATGTGTCAAAACAAGGACAAATTAAAGTGAGTTGGTCTGATCTTGTACAAGGCCAGCCAGTCCCCCAATCTCAGACAGGAATGTTATGGCTGCAAACTGAATTTTATGTCTGACAATTGACCTAATGATGTATTTAACCAGTGTCCCACTTAGGAGCCCAACCCAAACGACAAAACATTTCTTTACCCTTTCTTGTTTTTAACAAAACAAAAAGGAGGAATTTCTTTGTTTATGGCACGACAAAAAATCCCTTGTTTCAAGTCTTGGACATGGTTCATAAGAACATTGTATAAGTGGCCTAGACAAAATGTACTTATGTATATAACACAATGTATATTACATCAGGAAAAAAAAATCATAATTACAAGTAGCCTCTAGGGAGCTAGAATTTTGGGATAAAGAATTTGAGAAAGTAATAAACTTCCAAGCATACCTTATCAATAGCTTTTTCGTATCTATCCCAAAGTATATTCAGGACAGCTTCATCTCCAACTTCACTGGAAAAATAAAGGCCATGTCATCAAAACATTCATCCTAAAATAGTTAATAAATTCTCTTATAAACAACTTAGTAAGTAATTCTGCACATTGATGTCACAAAATAGTGTAAAAAAAGGAATGACTAACAGCAGAATAAAATAAAATAAAGGTACCAAATGGTTTACTGAATCAGACATCATAAATTTAAAAGTAATGACTTCTTCGATTTGCAGTACCATACAACACACGCCCATACTGTGTAATTGCATTGTATGGTTGAACAGCAAATGTGTACAATAGTTACTCATGTAGCTTGCCTTAATGTTGGGCCTGAAAATTAACAAGTATAACAGTTTGTCTGTCGGTATTAATGTAGAGAAGAGATTAGAGTCGTTGGCTAGGATTTTGGGTTGCGAGTTAGGACTAGCCACTTGGAGAGTGACCCTTGAGTTATTTGGGACTTGATTTGGGGGCAATCTGTGTGCTTTATATTTCTGGGATCCAGTTGTTGAGAAAGAGAGGAAAAGATTAGATAGGTGGGGGAGAGAATGTCTTTATAGGAAGGGGGCACTTACCCTGATTCGGTCAGTCTTGAATAGCATTCCCACTTATTTTATGCCCATTGCAAAGTAAAGTAGCTATAACTTTCGAAAAACTCTAACAAGGGGTTTCTTTTGGGAGAGGATCGGAGAGGGGAAAAATGATCATTTAGATAGATGGGTTCGGTGCACAAACCAAAGGACGGTGGTTGGTTGGCATTAGGAATTTGGCGAAAGGAAATAATGTGTTATTGGGAAAATGGTTGTGGAGATTCCCTCTTGAGCATTACTCCTTGTGGAATTTAGTCATTAGGAGTATGTACAAAGTCCAATAAATGGGTGTGATTCCAGTATTCTAGAGAGAGGTTCGTTTGAAGTTCTCGGAAATACATTTCTCAGGGTTTCTCTTACTTTTCTCATGTATTGCAATTTTTTGTTGTGCACGCTTTCCCTATCCACAATTCTTAGAGATTGCTAGTCAGGTCTTGGCCACAGGACACCTTTCAAGATCACCAGATGGTAGTGAGATCCTATGAAAGGCTTTTGGCTATCAATATTCTCTTCTAACTCTTTTTCTTCATATGAAAAACTTTCATTAAAGGAAAAGAAAGAGTACAAAAACAGAGGACAATGTGTCTTACGGCCACAATATTTAAAACAACCACCAAAAAACTACATCAAATAGCACAGACTACCAGAACAATACTCTAAGACACTACAGCTTTCCAATCAGACAGTATAACAGAAAAGGAATATCCCCTAAATTGTGGATATACCTGAGCCCATAAAGTAGCCGAAAATCAGACTCTCTCCCACAATTATCAACCTCCTCCCCCCTAACATCGTCAAATGCCCTTCTTTTTATTTCTACCTAAATGAAATTCTTAAGAATTCTTTCTCCAGATATAGTGTGATCACCACATTTCTTCGAAGGTTCAATTTCCACTCAGCTTTAGCCTTCATATGGACTCTTTTAATCTGTAGGATACTATGATTTGGACTAAAGACTTATATTAGCCCCTGCCCTAAACAAAGTTTTATTAATAACAACCCTAAAACACAGTAGAAAAACTCAGTGAACAAGAGGTCTGCCAACATCTTGATACAACTCTCATAAAAAAAAACATAAGCAAATTAAGCATATGACATCATAAGTCAAAACTCTAAAGACCACCCTACAGCAGCTCCTCAATCTAACAAAATTACAGAAAACGAAAGATCTCTAACGGATAGAGCTGTGGTGGAGCAATATCCCCAAGAATGAGATGCAAGCACCGCCACTGGGCTGGAGACAGTGAGGCCTATAGGCTAGCTTTGGGTTCACTTTTGTTACTAAGGGAGGAGAATAAAATTCTCAACCATTCAGTTTTTTTTTTTTCAAAAATTAGACATTTAATTAGCTGAAAGTAACTAGGATCCTTCCAAATATCCCTCAAATCATGCAACAGTAATTAAACATATCAGTCCTTTTATTACAATAGTTGAAGTACTTTACTCTGTAATCAATTTAATATAACATCCCCACAAAAGAAACCACAAAACCATCATTTACAATAACTAACATGCCAGATTAAAACAATCAGTATTCAGTAGTAATCATCATGGTGAAGCATAAGTACCTGAATCGGATCTTCGGACCAGGGGGAGAGAACTTCTGAGCTTGTGACCCTGAAGCAGAATCTCCATCATGGCCACCAGAAGTCCTTCGAATTAGGTCAGCAACACCCTTGACAATATTCATGCTTCCCCACCGCCAAGATTTATATATAAGTCAATGCTTCATTATCCAATAGTTAGGATACGAATGGTAATTCCAGCCCATCACCTTCAACGGGCTCGCCTTTCTATTACATAGTACATAAGTCACCATTAAGTCAGCAAAATTGCTCATACAGCCTAAATCAGACTGAAAAACTGCCACCTAATCCACAAATTTTGGAACCAGTGGAGAAGGACTAAAAATTGGTTGCAGGAAGAATTAACAATGAGAGGAGCTCAGTTAAGTTTCTACAATAAATACACTGGATAGAGTTGACTTTCTCTGTTCTTAGAAAATATACAATAAAATCTTCTAAAACCTCCAGCTCATTTTCCATTCCTTTCCTTTAACTTGTTCGCAAACTAACAAAAACACTATCCAACTATCAGAAAACTAACACTTTCATGCAAAAACAGCCTGAATTCAATTCAAATAAGCTGCTAATAAATAATAATAAAAATTACACACACACATTATCCAGGACAACATTTAAATATCTGATAAAATGAATGCCGATAAAGATGGTAACTTTGAAAATAAAAACAAAATAATGGATCAACGATGAACACTCGAACTCCATGATTGAATTCTATAATACAAATTCATCAATTTCAGGAAGAAAACGATGAGAACCTGATCGGATCGCTGGGTCCAAAATAACGGTTTGGATAGGGTTTCTGATTGGAGATCTGAGCTCCTTCTTCTTCAATGGCGTCAGTGTAGAATCAAGGAAAGAAAATGCGCAAGCCGAAAAAAGAGAAGAAGAAGAAAGGAAGAAAATATAATAAACCCCAAAAACTCGTTAAATTTCGAGATTGCCCCTGCTAGTGTGGTGGTTGATGATCTAGCGGGTGTGGTTTATCCGGGAGTCGAAAATCAACGATAAAAGTTAAAAAAATTATTAACCATCCAAAACGATTACAACAACGTCGTCGTTTATTGTCGGTGAAGCTTACGAGCTGCCATAGCATTATTCATTTCCTTTTATAAAACGTGTCTTCTCCAAAAAGAAAAAACATAAGTGGATAAGGAATAAAGAGCAAGCATAACAATCTGAAGTCTGATTTGAGCATGCAAATTGGTCGTTGGCCTTCCTTTAATAAATTGATTAATAATATAAAGCAAGAAGCTTCATCCATACGACTGTGGATAAGTAGGTTCGTATGGCTTTAGAGTTTGGGTCAAAACTTAATTGTCTAGAACTTACACGCTTACATCTTCACATCATATATAACTTGGGTTACCTACAAAACTAACTCGTTTGCATTTCATTTGTTACATTGAAGATAATCAAACATGGATATATCATAATCCTAATTTATTTATCCATCTTCTTTTAGGGGTGGCCATAATCTGGATTGGATTGGTTTCACCTCTAAAATTGAGGCCAAATCAATTACAATAGAACGGTTTAGTTCGGTTTGATTTCGACAAAAATCACGGAGGAAAATTAAACAAACCAATTACAACAAAAATCATAACTTGCTACATTTTTTTTTCTTCATTTTCTAGCATATCAAACCATCCTAAAATTCAACATGCAAATAACTTCAAAGTTCCATCAAACTTCAAATTCAACATACATATATATTTATTATCTACGTGTGTTAAATAAAATTAAATAAATATAAACATACAAGTAGAGGGTCCAGTTCAATTTAGGCCGATTTGTAAAAGTTCAAAACCAAACCATTAGGGTCCAGATTGGTCGATTTGGTTGGATTTATGCCCACCCATACTTTCCCTAATGACTTAGGTTAATACTAAGAGTTTAACTCATTTGCTTATTATAAACTAAATATAACATGTAAACATTGACTTAATTATGATAACATCAATAACGAGGTAGAGCTCTCTCATATGTCCATCTCAAGTTCTCAACTCACATCTCAATTTCATCTCACCAATTCCACGTCCACGACTTTGACATAGGCCAATGTAGAATAACTTTTCTAATGACTTTCTTTTGTGCTCTAAATGGATCTCTATCCGTCATTTTTAAATCCCCATATACAAGCTATCACTCAACTTGCTCTAAAAGTATACTTTCAATGAAAGTTTATATTGAGATTTATAAAATAAAATATATATAAAAAACTCAAGTATCGCATAAGATTAGTTCTAAAATGAGTTGTATATAAAAGAGCTCATGCCTTCTTCTACAAACCTCTCTTTACGAGAGCACTTCCACCGGTACTCATTTGTCAAGGCAAAAGGGAGTCCAAGTTTGGAACAAGCCCTCTAATAATAAAAGGCAGCCCGACCAAAAATGAGCCCAATTTACCCATCCCAACCCAAAGGCAAGTATTGCATGAGTTGCTACTTGGGTTTGTTGATCTCATAATTACATCAATGTGATGTCAGCGATCAATTTAAATATTAAAAAAATACCAAAAAATTCAGATTTTTTTTTCTATAAATATCTAGCCATATTCTTCACTTTCCACACAAAAACTCCATACAATTCCTCTCCTCATATCTCATATGAATAGTGCTTATCTTTACTTGTCATGGCAATGGGTGCAAAAGCAAAATAAAAAAGAGTAGGGCAGTCACTATTCATGTAAATAGTGTCTGCCCTTCCTTGTCTTTGCCTTTAGTCATGACACCATGAGTGGAAGTGCTCTGATATTCTTCTTGTTTTTATTTATTTGGGCTTATAAGGAAAATCACATGTTACTACTAATATGGGTTTTTCTTTAGGTAGTTTCACCCGTTGTGGTCCTTTCCTATGCATGATTTGGGCCCTAATTGTTGGGCTTTCTCGAAAAACCTATAAAAAAAATATTATTACAAAACAGCTCTCGCTATTTGTGCAAGATGGGCTAGATTTATTCATTCATTTTTCCCATTATCTTGGACAAAATTTATTGTTATAAAATTCATCATCACCACCAATATTTCATCCGTTTCAGTTGTGAACTTGCAAACGTACCGTACATTACAAAGCATTCCACAATTCAGGATCTTTATGCCAATGGCTCTCACGGAAAACAAAAAAAAATTATTATTATTAAATTATGCTTGCATTTCAAGAAAGTCAGTGAAATATTATGCATTAAAAATTAAATATGCTGTCAGTCTGCTTTCTTCTCTCGAGGTCCGAATTATTTTATTTTTTCTGCGACCCCATTTCCTTTCTATAAATAGAATTACGCCTCCAAGTAGAAAATGTGGTCAGCAAGGCTTCCTCCTTTTGTCTCCTAAAGACGGTCATTTGATGTGCAAGTGGGGCTTATTTAAACCCATAATTCCACCAATTAAAAACTAAACTAATGATCGTCTCCACATGATTGGCCGGTTTAGTTTCGTCATGCCTTGATCAAAATGGAAAATCTAATGTCCAATCAGTAAGAAGAATTACTAGAATCTAATTGTAATTAATTCATGAATTAATTAACAAAAAGTAATTAATTGGTTTTTTATTCTTGTGTTGGGTTTAGATAAGGACCACATTCCCCAGTGCATTGTATTACGCGAATGAACCGAGTCCCACAAATATATATAAATAAATGATATTCTCATCAATGTATACCAACTTCTCTCCATAAGTCATCATATTGTTTCTTTAAATGAACCTATGGTTTAATTAAAGGGAGATTCACTAATATACCAAATATAGGGGCCCAAATTATAAAAATACCTCATATGAAATGAAGTTTATAAACACACCCAAAATCCATTTACAACATAACAAAAAGGCCTTAACTTCTTATAAATTACAAAACTACTATAAATTTCTTAAAACAAGCCCAACCTCAAAATCTCATAAAAATACCCAAAACACTCAATAGGGTATTAAAGTAATTTAATAATCAATATTAAATTCAATAAGGCCAGCTGTCATTTTTGGGGTTTTTTTTGGGTTTGTTTATAGAAATTCAATGATGGAGGATTTATTTATAATATTAGTGCTAAAAATGGGTATATCACTAAATATCTCTTAATTAAATGAACCGTCTTTGTTAGATGTCGTACATGAAATCTCAGTGTTACCCTTGTGAACCAGCATCAAGGATGTAGCGTTGCCTTGTGTATTGGGATAGATATTACAACGCCATGAAACAAAAAGAACATGACATGTTCCATTTGGTGACATCATGGCACGCAGTATAACAAACCAAGGTTTTTGAGGTGTAGGATTTGATTCAAATCATACAACAATATGAAATTGATGACAACGCCCACGATAGTTTAGGCACACGGTTTTAGTTTCTTCAATAAGGGAGTGTTTGGAAACTCAACTTTAAATTTTTATAACACTTGAAAAAGAAATGTCACTAGATAAGAGCTAATTTATAGCCCGAAAATTCCCTTATCCGTAAAAACACTTTAGAGCCGTTTTCACTTTGAGGGGAAAGGAAGCCATTGTTCTTCCTCCATCTCCCCTCTTCCCTTTCCTCTCTTCCCTTATTTTAAGAGACAGAAGGTTTTCCCTATTTGTCTTTGTTTTGTTATGCTTTTCCTCCACTCGTCATAGGCAGATGCGTCTCAGCGTCAGATCTCCACTTGTGTTTCAGTGTCAGATCTGTACCACCATATTTTTTTTGTGGTTTTTTCATGTTTGAAATAAGTCACAAAGGCTCTTTGGGGTTTCTGTGTAGTTTTTACCTCATATTTTGTGAGAATTTTTCACCTCTCCTGGTACAACCTCTCCTCTTAAACCTGCCTCTCCTCTCAAACCCACAAGCCCAACATCTCGAAGGCCCACTTGGTTATGGGACTAGTGTCCTTTGTCTTTCCTTAGCACTAAGAGAATAACAATGAGTATCAGATCTACCTTGGGATTGTTGCCACCTGTCCCCAATCATCTAGGGTTTCTTTGTCTGTATCTATAAAGATGTAATGAGCCGTTTGTTGGCACAGGCTGAATGATAATTGAAACTTTCCTTCATTTCCTTACTCTTTCATTAACGTCTTCTTGTATTATTCTGCTCATTTTCCATCTTTCTATAAAGCCAGACTCTATCATCTCCTTTGTGGGAGCTTTCCACCTCTCTTTTGTGAGAGTTTTATTTGTATTGTTCTGGCTTTGTTTTTTCAAGCTTTATCTATTTTTTTTTATTGTTTTGAGTTTGCACTTTTAGTGGGAATGTCTATGCGAGAGTTTCTTCAATCATGTGTGATCATTAATGGATGAGCCTTAGATTATCTTGATTTTGATGTTAGATCGCTCCGTTATTGTAATGGTCATTTGTGGCTAGTTTGTATTGGTCATTTATGTCTAATGATGTTTTTTTTGCTGAATTATGAATGCAATTCCAAAATTTCTCAAATAAAAGAGATAATTGATAATTTTACTTGTAATTGTGCAATGGTCTATATCGAACTATGATACTAATGTAATGACATGTTACCTACTTAGAATGTAAATAAGATAGAACCATAATGTAAAAGCAATCAAAATCACAATAAAATTGAAATTGACATTAATTTCAAAAAAGCAAAATATTTAAATGGGATTTGACCAAGTTTGAATGCGTCAACCATTTCAAACTTATGTTCACTAATCTTTACTAAATCACCCCACATTTTGATTCATTTTTCTTTTCAGTTTAGACCAAGTTGTTGTAATAAAGTAATCCATACAAGTTGGCTCAGACTGCTATTTCATGTGATGGTATGCCCCTGTGGATTGAAGATGGTCCACAAAGGCTGGATGCAAGTTGTTTGGCTATAAAAGGACTGAAAAACTGTTCGATGAACAAACATTTTTAGAAAGATATTTAAAATAAGGATATTCAACCTATACCAATTAGTCTTTGAATTAGTGGTAGTAGTCTAAAAAGAGGTTTAAAAATTTTAGCTCACATGAATTGGATGACAATACTTATTTACGGTGAATTCAAAATCTGATTGTAAATGATATGTAATTTTGATACGGCTGAATTATCCCGTTGTCACAATAGACATAAATAATATATCTCCGCTTATATATATTTTTTCTTCTTTATGTGAAAATCCCACATATCTTTATAGCATAATATACCAATTACAATCACATTGCCTGATCAAATGAAGCACTTCGAACTTCCAATATAATAGACAATCAAATGTTATAGGATTTGGATCCTCATGCCTTCAAAATAATATTTACAAATTGCTTGGTACGGACCAATATCTTATCCATAATTCCATGACAGTCAAACAACTAGGCAGAGCTAGAAGATAAGATATGCACGCAAATGCACTCTTGGAAACAATAATTAACGACACCCTAATTGTAGCAGAGGTTAGATTAGAGAAAACAACAAAAGAAGAAGAAGAAAAAAACCCAAATTGATGATAAAGCGGAAAGCATCACGCATACCAAGTGAATGAGAGAGAGAGAGAGAGAGAGAGAGAGGGTCAAAAAGATTAGCCACCCAAAACGCATTAACCTCCAAAACAAAACACCCAAAAACGACGCATCACCGTCAAACGGTATCAACCCCCAACAACCCCGTCACATGCCAACATATCCAAAAACAGTACAAAAAAAGGCGACAGGAGGCGGGGGTGATTCCGTCATTTCACCACGTGTTTTCCGAAGACGATATCTCTCCGGCGTTGCCATTTCTGTACGACAGAAAAGAAAGAAAACAGTATTTTAATCACGCAACGCACATTATAACCCCGCGATTCGAAGCCTACTCCGCACTAAGTTACGCCGGGTGAGCAGTGCGCGCTGGCGTCCTAGGCTCGCGTGTCGCGAGGAGTTTGGTTTATAATTTGACGTGGAGGGATTTTAAAAGGGGTGCGCATTCACTCCCCGTGCGCTTTTTAGCCTCTCACTCTCTCTCATCATCCTTAGTGAAGAACTCCTCGTGTATTATTTTTTTCAATTTCCCAACGATTCATCACCTCCCATTCGCTTAAAATACTCCAACGCCCACTTTGGCCCTCTCCATTCTCTCTCTCTCTCTCTCTGAAACCGAAACCGCCATTGCTGGCTCCTCTCTCTCTCTCTTCTAAAGCATTGTTTAATTCACACAGCTAGCTCGCTAGCTAGCTTTTCCACCGCTTCAAGCTTGCCCTCATCAACCAAAAAAAAAAACACAGCCGAAGCGAAGCTTGGGATAATTTCAGAGCGGTCGATCTGTTCAGAAATATTTATTCACCTGCAGCTGAATGCGCTTTGGTCTGAAAACAAAATACAAACCAAAGCCATACACAGCGATTGTACTATCAGTAGGGTCTTCTCTTTGAAGCACATATGTATATATTTATTTATATATCTTGAGATCGTTCTTCTTCTTGTTGGGGAGTATATTGGAGTCATCTGAGTCTGGGAAACGACGTCGGAGGAAGTTTTCGGGTTGGCGCACGTGAGGTGGCACGTGACGGTTAGGACTTTGGGGGAGTTTATTATTATTACTATATTTTCCCGGTCCCTGAAAAATGCCTCACAGAACAACTTACTTCTTCCCGAGGCAATTCCCGGATCGCAGGTTCGATTCGTCTTCCAAGCAGCTGTTGCAAGAAGATCACAACGATCACGAGAAGCGCAAAGACAGCGACGCTTTTGAAAATGGAGATCATGATCAACAACACCAAAAGGTGCCCAAAACTGCCACCAACAACTTGTACAAATCATCAGCTGCTTCCAGAGATGACAGTGCGCCGCCCGATATTCAGTACTTCACGGGCGGCCACCAGAAGAAGCCACAGTTGGCGGCTTTCTGCGACTGGTTCCTCCAAGACAAGAAGAAGGGTCCCAGCGCTCGATCCAAGTCCAGCGCTGGGCATAACCTGAGGGCTACGAGGCTGTCGTCATCCTCGATCTCCTCGTGCCACCTGGTGGATGAGGATCGGGAGCTGTTGATCCCGCAGCCTCATCATGATGATCATGATTACCACCATGAGGCTGCTGCTCCGCCGCAGCCGCCGGAGTCGTCTACCACGACGACGCTCAAGGACAGGAGCGTTGACCGGAACTTTGACCGGCAGGTGTCGCTGCCGAGGGTGTCGAGCGGGAGTAGCTACGCGGGGAGCTTGTTCTCTGGAACGACGACGTTGGATGGGAACTTCTCCGGGGATGTTAAGGACTCGTCGGCCACGACGAGGCATATGGAGGAGGAGGAGGAGGAGAGTAGTAAAGTGAGTTTGGTGCAGAGGTATAAAGAGAGCTATTATCTGCAGCTTCTTTTGGCTAAGAGGCTTAGTTCTCATGCTACTCTTGGTAGTGAATCATTGCTCTTGCATGAGAGTGCTGCACTTGAGGTTTCCGATGCTGAAACGGTGTCGTATCGGCTCTGGGTATTTACTCTCTCTCTAACACACTCTCATCTTAAACAAACATGCCACTCAATCTGACTATATATGGTTTAGTTCTCAATGATCAATATCAAAGTATTTTTCTGTATCAACAACATTACGTCCTTGAGTAAAATATTCCATATATTAAGATTTTGGGGAACTGGTACAACTAGACATGTTTCTTTGAAGTTTAAGTTTGGAATTTTGACTTGAGATGTTTTCTAAATTGGTACATGTCTAACCTTAAAACTCATGTTTAATGCGTAGATTGTTGCCTGTATGCTTTTCAGGTTAGTGGCTGTTTGTCATACAATGAAAAGATATCTGATGGTTTCTACAACATTTTGGGAATGAATCCATATCTATGGGTGATGTGCAATGATGTCGAGGAAGGTAAGCGAATACCGTCCTTGACGTCGCTTAAAGAAATTAAACACGGTGAGACGTCAATGGAGGTTGTTCTTGTTGATAAACAAGGGGATTCTCGCCTGAAGGAGCTTCAAGATAAAGCACATGAACTTTCATGTGCTTCAGAGAATACTTTAGTGTTGGTGGAGAAACTTGGCAAGCTTGTTGCCATTTACATGGGGTGGGTTTCAATTTTCCCCCCTTTTAAATCTTGACACACATATTTGGTTCGTTGATTATAATTTTTCTGAGTCACTTCAATTTGAAGGGGTAATTATCCTGCGGAGCAAGGAGATCTGCACATGCGTTGGAAAGTGGTTAGCAAGAGATTGAGGGATTTTCATAAGTGTACTGTGCTCCCCATTGGCAGCCTATCAATGGGGCTTTGCAGGCATCGCGCCATTCTTTTCAAGGTACCTCATTGGTTTGTTTGTTTATTTATGTTTATAATCTTCACCTTGTTCATTCTGATTGGCACTACTGTACCAATTGTAAATTAATTGTTTTCGACATATTTAATGTTGTAGATACCGAGTGGTATGTTCTACATTTAAGTTGATGTCTTTATTTGGATAAAGAAATTGAGTCATCTATATGTCGATTAGTTTGCCAGTAAATCTATTGTAGATTTGTTTTGATCTTTTACATGACGCACATGTGCGATATGAGAGTGCTATCTAGGAGAACAAACATATTATCATTGTATATGTGGGAAAAAAGAAGAGTCTAGTGACTCCCTTAGTGTGTCATAGAGGCAGTCATGTAAATGTCTTGCAGCAGCTTATTCATTAGAGTTGAACTGGCCAAAAGGGGACATCACTTTGTCGCCAATTTATTGTGCTGCTTTAGAAATTGTAGCCCCCAGAATACTTGTCAAAGAACATCCTGGTTTCTTTTGCTGAAGAAGGATATAAATGTGAGGTAGCAGTGTCATAGGGACCAATTCTTGTTAGATAGAGAACTAGCCATGGCCCTAATTGACTGTAAAAGTATATGAGTGTTATCTGAAAGGTAGTGCAAATTAGTTGCCTTCATTCTAAGGCACAGTTTTCCATAGGGACGTTTCTTGGATTACATCTTATAGCGTGTTTCACCCAGGATAGCAATTCTAAATTCGGATTTTGTTCTAATTTACAATTATGCATGCCCTTGTTTACAAGCTAATGGATAGTGCACTTGTTGTGATATATCTTTCTCAAAATTCATTTTCTTGCTTCAAAACTGATTATTTTGCTGAATGTGTCTCAGTAGTAAAATTCAGGACTCATGTATCCTAATTGTTACGAGAACTGTTTGAGCATACATGAATCTGTGAACAGGATGCATGGGTTTCACATGAGAATGCAACTGAATTAGAAGCATCAAGTGACACACAATTATATAGAGCTATGAGTTTTCATCCTCTGATCATTCGGTGAGGTATATGTAGCTTTTCGAGGTGAACTAACAAAATTCTTGGCGATATGATTCTTATGGGGTTTAAATGGGAAGATCATGCCTATTCCTGTCCTTCTGCACCTAGTCAAATGTTTTGCAAATTTTAGGCCAACATAATTAAATAATATTGTTGTTGTTTCTTGTTTCGTCATCTACTTTTGAGTATATAGTGTACAAATGAGCAGTCGATGGACAAAGAGCAATGATATATCTTGGAATTGACATAATTGTGTTAAAGGAACCTACAGGACTGCTTATGTCATTTTTAAACAGAATGAATTGATATTGAAATAAACCCACATAATTCATGCAACTCTCTTGCGTTTTGATTGGTCAAAATGAGGTACATCGACCATCACGTCGCCTGTGGGTTCGTATATGCTCGTGTGGTGTGGGCTGATCATACTTCAAGGGCATATGGAATATTTTTATTTTTCATTAGTTTGACATATTCTGGAGTTAATATCTGAAGTCTATATTTTCCATGTGCAGAAATTGGCAGACCACATAGGTTTGCCTTGTCGGATAGCTCGTGGTTGCAAGTATTGTGTGGCAGATCATCGGTCTTCTTGTCTTGTCAAAATTGAAGATGACAGGCAGTTTTTGAGGTTGGCATTTTAATTGTGTGCAATGCTTTGTTGCTTGCAGAATATTATGTTGTTAATATGATTTGGCATTTAAGTTCATTCTGAAACGCAGATATTGACAGTCTAATTCATCGCTTATGTTCTTTTAGTATCTGTTGTTCGAATGTTGTGTAACAATATATTCTTGATAGAATTATAATTTAAGGGTGTCAATCTGTTGTCTTTTGGTCTATACATTATCATTGCAGAATTCGTGGTCAGTAACACACTGTTGTTTCTCAAATTCACTGTTCCCATAACATTTGATGTTGAAAAGATTTAGGCATAAGCTCAGAATGACTTAATTGGTGTCAAATACGTTCACTTTATCTTCTGTCATACCAGGTTGTGTTAATGGCGGACCTTGATATAATTGATTCTATGTACTATGTCACATGTTCAGTTTTTATTAACTTAAATTAATTTACAAATTTTATTTCATGCTTAATTTGATGGTTGTATATGTATTTCTTAACAGGGAATATGTGGTTGATCTAGTTGGGAAACCAGGAAACCTCCATGGTCCAGACTCCTCAATAAATGGAGGATCTCTTTCTACGATACCTTCACCATTTCAAATTTCTCATCTAAAAGAATTCCAACAACCTTACAGGAAAAATGGATTATGTTGCCAACTTACAAACTCAAAGCACACACGTGCTCCTCCCGAAGATCCATTCTATTCAGGTATGTTATGTTTTTCATATCTTGAAGATACATGTTCCACTACTTTAAGTATTAGAAAACAAAGGGAAGCTGAATGAACTGGGGTGAAGAAATCGTTGTTACTTAACGAATATATAGAACTTTATTTTTACATATAATTTGTATCTCTGATAGGATACAGTGCTGTTGACTGATTCATTGACGTGGTGATCCATATCAGTGATAAAGATTTAATTGCAAGTTATGATACTGGATGGGTCTTTGTGCGTAGCATTAAATTGCCACTTTGATATGAATGCATAAATATTTGCGCTCCCTGGCTATATTTCTTTGCCTCTTTGCCTTGAGTTCTTTGACAATAGGCCAATATCATTTTTGTTTTTGTTTTTCGCTTATATTTGGGTAAGCTAATGTAGTGGTGGTTGTTAGCAATATTGTTGGTGTTGCCATTAGACTTTATGTTTTGTGTATTGATACAGAAAAGAAAACATTTATCATGTATCCTGATTTCACTTATGATGGCTTGCAAAATGCCTGTTACTGTCTTTATCCTTTCTGCAAAAATAAAGCAAACCTTAGCTTCTTAAATGGGTGAAGATCTATCTCTTGCAGGCGGTGGGGAGGGAGGTCAGGTCATCACGGAAAGCAGTTTGCTTCCAGTTGATCAAACTAAATTTGGGATGGAATCTTCTCTGATGCCTTTGGAGTTGAAAGGAAATGCTCAAAATTGCCTTCTTCAAAGTACCATGCCATCTTGTGTCCAGGGTGATGCTTCTCAAGCTCTTGATGTTGCGCCTGCTGCTGCTGCTGCTGTGGCATCATTAGAGGAATCTGCTAGACTTGGCGAAGAAAATATTGTTGTACAACAAGCGTACAGAAAGGAGATTGTTGTATCAAGAAGTCAGGTTATAAGCAACAGTGTCAAGCAACCTGAAGTATGTGTGTTCAATCAATCAGAGATAGAGGGGGTTCATGGTGAACTTGTGAAACAAGGTAGAATTACTGCTGTGACTATCCCCAGGTACTTGAATCTTGAACCCTCTCTTGCAATGGACTGGCTTGAGATCTCATGGGACGAGTTAAATATCAAAGAGCGAGTTGGAGCTGGTATTTCTTCTCCCCCTTTTTCTTTTATGACACGGATATATCTTTACATTTTTATTACTCAACCACTACTTCTTTTCCTCATGAAATCTTATACTTCATTTTTTTTCCAGGCTCATTTGGGACAGTGCATCGTGCTGAATGGAATGGATCGGTTAGTAATTTGTTCCTTGTGATTTGATGGTGATTACTTGTTTCTCTGAGTAAAAATTCATTTGGATACGACATGAATACTTAATCTGCTCTATATGTGTGGCCCTTTCAAGCGGATTAATTTTATGAGTGATGCATATAATGAGATTGCTTAATAGCATGTCATTGTAGAGCTTGGCCTCTGTGTGTGCTCTATTTTTTATTTGTGTCTTTGGGGTAGGTTTTGTAACTTTTGGTGTTTCCACCAATTTGATTAGATGGTTGAGTGGAATTTAGTTTTCTGCTTAATATGTTCCTTACTCTTGAGATGTCTTCAGTTGGATGCTGAATAGCTTCCTTGCAATACATCAGTGCAGTTTTCTGTTAAAGCTTTTTCTTTGTTGAATATTTTCCTTAAATTAGTAAAATTTAGTGATTGTCCAATACAGGATGTTGCTGTCAAGGTGCTAACTGTTCAGGATTTCCATGATGATCAATTGAAGGAGTTTTTACGAGAGGTAGATTTCCATGTTCTGTACAGATCTTCAGATTGTAGATGATCACATCTTAGCCTTTATTTTACTATTGTGTATTGTGCTTTGTGTTTATGATCATACTTGAAGTTCACTTTCACATTGTATTCAGGTTGCAATTATGAAACGTGTCCGCCATCCGAATGTAGTCCTTTTCATGGGTGCAGTTACAAAGCGTCCACATCTGTCAATAGTGACAGAATATCTGCCTAGGTATTCAATTCATTTTAGTTCTTCTGTGTATAATTCCATAGCCATTCTTGTGTCTAAACCTTTTACTATCCTGGTGTCCGTGGAGCAGGGGTAGTCTATATCGCCTCATACACAGGCCAGCTTCTGGGGAACTTCTGGATCAGAGGAGGCGGTTGCGCATGGCATTGGATGTGGTTCGTATAATTAATCATCATTGTTTTTTTGTTCACTTGCTGTGTTTGCTGTTAGTGAAACTATATATGCTGTCTTCAATGCAGGCCAAAGGGATCAATTACCTCCATTGTCTTAACCCTCCTATCGTCCATTGGGATCTTAAATCTCCCAATTTGTTAGTTGATAAAAATTGGACAGCGAAGGTACGTTAACAAAAAAAGGTTTAACATTTTGCTTTGAGTTCTCCAATTGGCATGCTGTGGACATAATTAATCTCTTTCATTTATCCTCAGGTATGTGATTTTGGGTTGTCCAGATTTAAGGCGAACACTTTCATCTCATCTAAGTCTGTTGCAGGAACAGTAAGCCTCTCCTCTCTCTCTCTCTCTCACACACACACACACCACACAACACACACACACACAACACACACACACACACACACACACACACACACACACACACAACACATCACACACACAGAGGTTGTGCGCAAGTGTGCACAACTAGCCTTTGGGGTGGTGCCTATAGCTCCCCAATCAGAGCAAGGGTGCCAAACCAGACTGTACCGGAAAATCTTTATCATCCTTGATGAATCTTTATTTATTTATTTTCTTTTGGCCAATGTTTAATCTTTATTTATGTTAATGAATGATCTGGTAGTCCAGTTCCTTCTTCCTACGAATAGGATGCAGATTGGTCAATGTTTGTTGATGTGGTTTTTGTCTCATAAATACTTGTTACAGGGATTAAATTCTTGATTTTTGCCATCATGAAGTTCCCACTTCACATAATTTCTTTTATCAAGTAGAGCTTTCTCTTAAAAAATATAGAGGTGTTCAAACATTTTTCTTGTTTTGTTTTGTTTTTTCCTGTGTTTCACATTTAGTCTCTTTCCTCATTTGGTGATGTATGAATGCTTTGAGTAAATGACTATGAACTCCTTTTTTATGTTCTCCATATAAAGTCAGATATTTCTATCAATATTTTGCAGGTTGAAATTTTACTTTGCAGTGCATCAATTAACATGTAACTCACGAACTTTTCTTTTCAGCCCGAGTGGATGGCTCCGGAATTTCTTCGCGGAGAGCCCTCAAATGAGAAGTCTGATGTTTACAGTTTTGGAGTAATCCTCTGGGAACTTGTAACAATGGAACAACCTTGGAGTGGTCTTAGCCCCGCCCAGGTACGAGTCATGATTTGCATCTACTTCATTGTGCTTTCTGCACATTAAATGTCAACTTCAAATCTTTATTTCCAATTTTTTCGCCTTTGTAAACAAGTTTGTTCTATGTCTCAGGTAGTTGGGGCTGTTGCCTTCCAGAACAGAAGGCTTGCTATCCCAGCCAATACTCCGCCAATGTTGGCTTCGCTTATGGAATCCTGCTGGGCTGAGTAAGTATACACGAGTCCTCCCTTTTTTGCCAAGTTCTATAGCGAATCAAATATATACCATTGTTAGCATTAGAATTTGTTCAAATGCAGTTAGCTGAGGTTGGCGAGACAATACTGGTGAAGCCCTGGATAATGCTCGGCGGTGTCTTTCTTTGTATATGTTGCCATCTAGGATATTAGCTACTAAGACAGCAGACATTAACTGGAATTCAACCACACCTTGTTTTTTAACTGCTTTAATACCAGATTAGTGTGAGCTTGATAAACAATGTCGGCCCATTCCCCCACAGCTTAAGCTTCTTGATCTAGTGGTTGCCTAACAATTAATACTTTTATTCAACGAAATATTTGGATGTAGTGCTTTGAAAGAGCATTTCCATCATATTTTAGAACTTGCAGGCGGCAGCATCACTTAGATCTTTCCTTGCCTACTTTTTATCTTCAAACAGACTGACTGTAGTCTTTATCTCTCTTGACAGGACTTGTATTTTTAGTTTCTCATTTTGTGTATTGTCTTTGGCAGTGATCCTGCTCAGCGCCCGTCTTTTGCTAGTATAGTTGAGTCCCTAAAGAGGTTGCTAAAGTCTCCTCTGCAGTTGGTACCTGTGGGCGGAAAATGAAGGGTGCTTCTGCCCATAGCTGAATTGAAGAGTTGATCGTTATACTTTTCGGTAGTTGAATCCCTACAACTGACTGAGCTTCTTTGGTTCTTGGCAATTATACAAGTGTTTCTTGTCTAACCCAATTAGAAAGCAGTTGTACCCCTCATATGTACTGAAGGGAAATGAATATAGTTCGTTCTGTATTTATATGTGAGTTTCTAGTGTGGCCAGCGTTTTCGTGATAAGCTATTTAGAACCCCCTCAAATCTGTCTGATTCAAAAGGGAAGAACTTGCATCAGTATCTCAATTTCAATTCAAAGAAGAATTTGGTTCGGTTCGTTTTGATTGAGGAGCTGGAATTAACTTTGATTTGTATTTTGTTTTGTAACTGATAAGTCTGATATGCATCTGGGCTTCCACAAGATTTGTTACTAAATCATGTTCTTATATTACAATGGCAGAATAATGGAGGGAACTCATACAAAAAATTTAAGCGCACTTATACAAGATTTGTTACGAAAGCATGTTCTTATATTACAATGGCAAAATCTGTAGGCAAATCCTACCCAAAATTTTAAGCACAGCGGAAAAGAAATTTGGTAAGTGCAAATATGCTCGGATTGGATGATGCTGTGCAAATATGCTCGGATTGGATGATGCTGTTTAACCTAGTTAACTTTCTTCAGTATATTCAGTTGTTACTTATTCCAAAGTTGAATCAAATTTCATGGCAAAAGGACAGAATTCCAAGTCGAATTGATTTCGTTTATTCTTTCTTTAGAACGATCCTAATTGCATTCAAATATTCATTAACTGAGATAAGCATTCCTATAATCACCAATGAGGTGTTAGTTGGATTGGTCCATTTGATTTTTTTGTGTTTTTTTTTTTTTTTTTTTTTTTTTTTTTTGGTTAGCCCAGGGTGTCCACCGCCGACAGCAGTGACTAATCCCTTTCGCTGCGGGAGCTACTTAAATTTTTTGTATGAGTTCCCTCCATTATTCTGCCATTGTAATGATTTTTGGTGTGCTTTCAAGTGGTCCTCGTTCAAGCTCCATATATGTGAGTTTTCCCCCTCCTCTTCCTAACTTTAACAACCCAAAAAAAAAAAACCCTCTATAATCTTTTTTCAAGAAATCAAGCAACTATCTAAACCCTAAACACGAAACTTGGGGAAATGGAGCTACAATCTTTCTATCCGTGATTATATGATGCAACCACGAGATTAGCGAAACTCAATAACCAAGGCAAGCATGTCCAATGTTCCACGATTATATTATCGGCAACACAACCATGAGTTGTACTTGTGCATCATGGAGAGACACAAGAAGTATGAGACCCGGAGCCAAAGACTCAAATGCTTAGAAAACTCACGACCACAAATAGGAGAAAAATGTATGATTTAGAACGTTTTCTTGCAAGTATCTCCGTAGCAATTGATGGCAAGCAAACGTGAATACTAGATTTCTTAATGCCCAGATAAAGTCATCTAAAATAAGTAGATTAGATAGCTGGTGGCGATCTAATCATCTTCAACTCAAACATGAGAGTTCTTTATAAGAAGGTGCATTGTTAAAAATTACTTCGATAATTCAAGTAGTTAAGACCATTTGCTCCTGAGGTTGAAGGTTGATTCCACTGTCCTATCAAAATAATAGTCATAGCTCATTGGTCCCTCCCAACACCAACAAGAAGGCGGCTTTCATTAAATATCCAAATCCAAAAGCCAGGTTCCAGTCAACATAGTCGACCCAATTTACAATCTAATCCCAATCTCACAATTCACAAACAAAATTCCCAATCCAACACACAGACATCCAAAACAATCTAGTCCAGTCCAATCCAATTCAATCCCAAAATGATGTCGCAGATGGTTAAAGACTTGTTTCTCCAAGCAGGCCTCATCCTCGTCGTCGTCGTCGCCTTCCTTGCCATCCACAACATCCCCCAGAAGCTCCTCGCCAATCTCCGCTTCCGCTTCCGCAACAAACCCAAAGCGCAAGCCAAGCGCCACTTCGTCGTCGGCGCCCAGCTCCTCGCCCAAGCCCGATCCGCCGCCTCTCCCTCCTCCGCTTCCTCCCTCTCCCAGCAAGCCCTCGACGAAGCCGAAAAGGCCATCTCCCTCGACCCCAAGGACGCCGCCGCCCACATCCTCAAAGCCCTAGCCCTCGACTCTCAGGGCTACAAGACCTCCGCCCTCGACGCCATCGACGTCGCTCTCTCCCCTTTAGCCGCCGAGAGCCTCACTGAGGAGGAGCGCGGCGATGCGCTCGTCAAGAGGGCGGAGATCAGGCTGTCGATGAACCGACGCGGCCAGGTTGACTCGGCGATCGCCGATTTGACTCGGGCTGTGGAGCTGAGCCCGGAGAATGTGAAGGCTTTTTGTACGCTCGGAGAGTGCTACGAGGGGAAGAAGATGACAGAAGAGGCCAGGAAGGCCTACGAGGCGGCGCTGAAGGTCCAGCCCAGATTGAAAGTCGCGAGGGATGCTCTCGACCGGCTCGGTTCGAGTTAGACGAGTTGACTCGGCTCAACTCGACTCGAGTCGGTTCTATTTATATTTTGTTTTAAATTTGTGTTTATTTTTCAATTAGAATGATCAGAAGGCTTTTGTGACTAACAGTGTGGTGCAAATGCAACGGTATTAATTATGAGTGGTTTTCTTTGTCTTTTTGTTAGCCGTAACTCGTAACATGGAGGAAGAAAAACGAAATTCCAGTAATGTCAAAAAAGAAGAAAACCAATTAATTCAAGTGATTGAAAAATGGAAATTTTTGCAACGCTTATCAGAATTTTTCTTATTTATGTATTATTTCATTTTATAGAAAACGTTTTAAAAAAGTCCCTTGGGACAGACATCCGGCATAAAAAAATCGACGAGCATGAAAAATGCATCTCGGCAACTTCATTAGGGGTGGACATTTAAACTGGTGAATCGAATCGCAACTTTATTAGGGGTGAACATCTAAATTGGTGAATCGAATCGAGTCGGAAACTCAAGAACATGATAACCTAAATCAACCCCGTGAATAAAAACATACAAATAAAAATACAATCACATATTCATTATCCAATCAACTCGGGTTAATAGATTTTCTGAATTACATTACAACTTCAGTTTTGCTAATAGAATCCCCTGAGATTTCACACTATCCTACCAATAACTAACTCATAATTACCATTTATGTGAAAACCTCATTTCCCCTAACATAAGTCCTATTTAGTGACCCCTCTGGTTTTGTCATGCCCACACATATTTGATAATGGCTAATTTATTCAGCAAATCAAGATGAACTTCAGTGTTAATTTAGAGTAATGATCCCTAAATTATATTTTATTACCTAAAAATAAAAACAAATGAAAAAAATTGATTAAATTACCCCGAGTAACCCAACTCCCCCACAACTTTTTCTTACACCGATTAGAAGACCGACCAATCCCCAACTTTGTAGACCCCATAAATATCATATATCTCTAAATTCCTCATCTACCCCTAAACTTAACAAAACAATTCAAATGAATTGACAGAAAGACTAATTTGCGAGGCGTGGTTGAGTTGAAGGACTACATAAATTAAAAAACGAGTTAAATGACTAAAATGTAACTCGTGGATAAGTTTAGAGACTTTTGGTCCAAATGAACATGTACATAGAACACTATAATCTTCTAACATAGTAAAGTTGTTAGCGGTCATTAAATTTGCACCCAATCTACATACAACACCAAATCTCCCACATTTGGAGCCGAGTGTTCATTCCCCCTTCGTGTAATACCAGATTGTATGGAAAAAGAAAAAGAAAAAACCAAATCTCCTGAATTAAATTCTCATTCAAAATGGAATCTCCTAGAATTTATTAGGTTGCCCTTTGCTACTCTATATATAGGATAGGCTTGTCTGTTAAGAAAACCAACAAAAGCATCATCTTCTTCCTAGTTTGCAATTTTCATTTCATTTTTGTTGTCTGAGAGAGAGTCATGTCTAGAAAGAAGGTGAAACTGACTTATATCAGTAATGACTCAGCTAGAAAAGCAACATTCAAGAAAAGGAAGAAGGGTCTGATGAAGAAGGTGAGCGAACTCAGCACCCTTTGTGATGTTGAGGCATGTGCTATTATTTATAGCCCATATGATACTCAACCTGAGATTTGGCCATCCCCTCTGGGAGTGCAACGCGTTCTTGCAAAATTCAAGACCATGCCGGAGATGGAGCAGAGCAAAAAGATGGTGAATCAAGAGAGTTTTTTGCGGCAAAGGATTGAGAAAGCCAAGGAGCAGCTCAAGAAACAAAGGAAGGACAACAGGGAGAAGGAGATGACAAGAGTGATGTTCCAGAGTCTCACTGGGAAGCCCCTCCAGGGTTTGAGCATGATCGATCTCAACGACCTTGGGTGGCTCATCGACCAGAACCTCAAGGAGATTCACAACAAGATTAAGAGTCTGAATGAGGAGGCTGAGAAGAAACAAGTCCAACTGGAACCAACAGGATTGCCAGTGCATGCAACAGCAGCAGATCAAGGAATAATGGAGAGGCAACCATGGTTCACAGACATGATGAACCCTCAAGAACAGCACATGGGGCTTGGTGCTGGGGAAGAGATGATGCTGCCATTTGGAGATCAAAACCACATTAATGCCATTTGGTCTAATAATGCCTTTTTCCATTGAAATATTTTACTATTTAGCGTTGTTTTCTAGGCTAAGTGATTTCTTTGATAATTTTAGCCTCTTCTTCAAACGAAGGCTGTGTTCACATTTAGTTTCTTGATGAATTTTATGTACTAAAAGTAAACTACAATATATATATATATATATATATATGTAGTGGTTGGTTGGTGTGTTAATAATCTTGTCACTGTTTAATTCCAATATATATATTGAAGTATTTACTTGATTTATTGTAATTGCATATAATTGTCTTGTTTTGCTCTACAAGTAGTCTAACTTTGTATGTACCTCTAGCTCAGATTACCTCGAAAGCTATCTATCTATCTATGTATCTCTGTTTTCTTGGATAAGAATTACATAAGATTAACATTATTCATTGTATGGATTTCCGATTAGCATTGGTGATCTTGTTGTTATGTAACGGGCTCTGTGGGAGCCCACCATTGAATCCAAGCATGTACAATTTGTCTTCACTTTATCCACCTAGGTCCAATACCTTGGCTCAATAGACCTCTATACGAGGGACTTTAACAAAAAAGGCCTTAGTGCAATTAGTAGCTGACCTAACTCAGGGAGCTTCTACAATGAGGAGTTAAAGTGAGGAGGTTATTTGAGGAGACCGATCCCACAGTCAAAACATTTAAAATATTTAAGTCCCATGATTTCTTTACATTTGTTGATAGTGATATTTGACATTCTCAAATAACCTCCACACTTTAAGCCCTCATTATAGCCTTTCCGCCTAACTCAACCACCAATTGTTATGTCACGGGCCACACAAGAGCCCACTATTAAACCTTAGCATGCATTAATATTATTCCAAACTTCACCACTTATGTTTGATAAGTAGGCTTAATGGACATCTATATGTTGAGTTTTAACTCAAGCCTCAGTGCAATTAGTAGCGAAGTTGACTCTGAAACCAATTCTTGTGTCACGAGCACTGTAAGAGCCCATTACTAAATCCTAGTATGCACCGATATTGTCCCCACCTAAACCACTTAAGTCCAATACACATTGGATGGGGTTAGAACAAATGAACCTCTAGGTGTGACGTTTTAATTCAAAAGCCCTCGATAACCTGTACATAAAACACCATTATCTTATAATATTGTAAAATTATTGGTAGTCATTAAACTTGCACCCAATCTATAAATATAATATCTTAATAGTATAGCCACGTAGCACTCTATAAATAGAATATTTTAAAAGTCTAGATGCGCAGCCATATGCCAAAAATAGAATATTTTAATAGTATAGCTGCACGGCTATACTCTATAATTGTAATATATTCAACGTATATTCGAGCGGCTATACTCCAAAATAGAATATTTTAAAAGTATAACCGAGCAGCGATACCCTTTAAGTAGCATAATATGAATTTCTCTTTTTTAATTACTTTGATTAGTAATTATGTTTTAGTTATTATTTACTTAGTGAATATTAAAGAAAAAAATTGAATTAATATTCATTAAGTAATATAATTCATGAATATTTCATAAATTACTAAATAAATAGTAATTAATTATTTTAACTTAGGGTAATTCTATATGAACCCCATAAATTACTCTTTACACCCCATAATTTTTTACACCCCACTAAATTTTAATAAAATTTCAAATTACTCATTAAACCCCTTTTTTTCCCTAAATTGCCCTCATAAACCCCATTCCCTAACCACCCACCGAAAACCCCATTCCCTTTCAGCCACACCCCATCTGAAATCAAACCCCACCCCATCTGATATCCAGCCACACCCCATCGAAAATTCTCTCCTCTTGCAGACACACCCCATCGCACACCCCATCCCATTTACACCAACCTCCATCGCAGAACCATCGAAGAAGCCCTTTGCCATTGCCTACATTGCAGAACATCGAAGAAATCATCCCTTGCCATCGCAGATCTTTGCTCACCATCGAAGAAGCCCTTTGCCATCGCCTCCAGCAAACCTGAACCATCTCTGAAACAGAACCATCACACCCATCTCCATCTCTGCAAACCCAAAAGCCATTGAAGGTCAAGTTCTCACAAATCCTTATTCAAGGTTTGATTTCAAATTTGATTTATATTTACGTTTCTAAGTGTTGATTAAGCCTACATTTGATTTCACTTTTGAAAAGCCAAAGTCTGATACTGATTTTGATTTCGATTTCAAGGTTCTGGGTAGTTCGAACCTGGTTTTACGAAATTGGATTCTAGTTTCGGTGGATTGCCACCGAAATGATTACATTGCTTCAGTGGTAGTCCACCGAATTGAACCTGTACTTTCGGTGGGTTACCACCGAAATTGTTACCTTGTTTCGGTGGTAGTCCACCGAATCTGTTTCTATTTTTCAGGGGACTCCCACCGAATTTCTTTCGGTTTTTCAGTGGTACTCCACCAAATATGTATTCTTTTTTCAGTGATTGTCCACCGAATTTATTTCCGTTTTTCAGTGATTATGTACCGAATACGTTACTGAGTGTGTACTTAATATTTTTTATTTTTAGATATGAAGGGGATTCGCAGGGGTACTACTGAAGCTTCATCATCACGACCTAATAGACAACGTCCCACGGCCTCAGCGAGGAGACAGAGAGCGGCTCCCCAAGATCACATTGAGGATACTACAGAGGTTGAAGATGTAGTTCCTACTGATTATAGTAATGTTGACGCAGAGGTTGAAGATGTAGCTACTGCTCAGGATAGTAATGTTGAGGTACATGCCGAGCCTACTGAGCCATCTCGAGTAGGTCCCATTGATCCATCTTTACTTACGAGTTTTAAAACTCACATAGCAGCTACAATTTGGAATAACCAGGTAAGTCGTTTTACTGTGACAATAGAAGGTAGAATATAAATCTGGTTCATGGTAACTAACCTTAATTTTGTTTTTTTTTGTTTAACTAGGAACGTGAGCCCCTTAGGTGCATGTCGAAAACATCTACCCTTCGTGAGTGGAATTGGTGGGGGTAATCCAAATAATGGTATATTCAAAGGGTACATTCAGAGGTTTGGATTAGAGCACCTTATTAGGTGTTCTTATCGGAATGCTGATAAGATTGTGGTGTCTACATTGTTGAGAGGTGGCATCCCGAAACGAACACCTTTCACATGCCTTTTGGTGAGATGACCATCACATTGGATGATGTGTCATCTATTTTAGGCATTCCTGTGTCTGGTGCAGCGGTTGCTCCTTTGGAGATGATGACGACACAAATTTGAGTTGTTAGTTAAGTACTTAAGAGTGACTGATGAAGAGGCTACTGAACAATTGCACAAATAAATTTTCAAATTAACATATCAAAAGTTGACTAAAATACTTATCTATTTGAGGTCGTCGATCCAAGATGCATACAAGTGTCTGTCCATGCGGCCACAAACCTATCCTTAAATGGATTTAACCAATTTTCATGTATGTATTCAAGAGCTTTTTGAAATTCACTGAACTTAGACTCAATCTGTCGCAAACAACGCCAATATTCCTCCTCTGTTTCTGAACCAACCAAAGTATTTCAATCCTCATTAAATTGCTTCCATTGTTTGAGGGTCCCAAATAACTTCTTGCAGTTTGCCAACACTCCTTTGTTAATATTCCATCTACATAATAAATGTCGTGCTTTCGGAAATATAGACGTAATAGAATTCAAGAGTGCTAACTCTCGATCGGTGACAATAACACCAGGAAGACAATTATCATCCAACAAACTCCTCAACGCAGTCAATGCCCATGTGTAATTGTCTTCCTTCTCGGCATTCATATACACATACGCAACAGAGAATGTCATATTAGTAGATGTCACCCCCACAATTTGCAATAGTGGGAAACGATACCTATTAGTCTTATAGGTGCAATCCATGATAAGTACATGTGGAAATGCGCGCAAAATATCAATATTAATGGGGTGTGTCCAAAACAGGTCAGTTACAATATCCCCAGATGTCCTATGCCACTCAATATAATTGTGTTCGGATAACTTAGTAAGCAATTGTTGCATTTGGGTTCTCCCAGCAAATTCTTTGGTTCTATTTCGGATCCTAGCATTGTATATTGTCTTCATAGTTGAAACATTCATTGCATCTCTATCTTTAATGGTGACCAAAATATCTCTGGGTTTCACCAAACTCTTAGACATGTCCACCAACAAGGCATTCTCCTCTTCAGTAAGTCGCCCCACAAATGAATGACCTTGAAGATACTCTGAAATAGGATGGTTGTGTACTCCACAAACCACCTCCAACTTCCAATCATCCCCATCACCAATATTGACACCTTTTAACAAGAATGGGCATCCACATTTCTTGGTACCAGTGTCTCTAGCACATTTTTTCATATCACTATTTGCATCCGATCTTATATCAGTTGTCTCACTAGACTTGCAAGACTTATAGTTACCGTTCCTCTCACAAGCAAGTATTACACGAGGTCTCCTCTTGCCCTCACCTCCATAATCAGACCTTTTAATTACAATGACAATATTATTCAATTTTCCTTGTTCACGAGCCCATCGAAGTAATGCATCTCTACCATTGAATATCTACACATAAAACTCATATTATTTAAATATAAAATTTGAAACATTAATGCCACGTTAATGATACTAAAAAGGATTTCAGATAAATAATTACCGAATAAGTTGTGAATTGATCACTATAGTCCATTACACATTCTGTTCCCACATTGTTGCCTTCAGTAGGGGCGTCACCTTGATTTTGTTCCTTCAATGGGAGTAAGATCAAAATAGCTTGGATTAAATTTGTGGTTGGCAATAAGTTACTGAAAAAATAAATAAATTTCGGTTGGATGCCACTGAAACGCGGGTAAAAGTTCGGTAGTACACCACTGAACTACGTTCCATCTTACGGTGGATCCCCACCGAATATTAAGTTTCTCACCGGTGAAATCCAACCGAAAAGGTGCAAAGTTTCGGTGGCATCCCACCGAAATTATCTGTCGCGTTCGGTACTGATGTGCTGAACACAACCAGCGACTGTTATGAAATATTAAACTTGCAAAACGCCAAAAAATAAACTCGTACCTCATTCGAAGCGTCTCTAACTTCAATCTCACCCTTCATGAATAAATACAATATATTTTTCACCAGTATAAACTTATAAATCTTGGGTTTAGGGTTTAGGAACATGATAGTTTGAGAAAAAAGTCAAACTAGGGTTGCAGGAACATATGTGGGGTGTAGTGAGCAATTTTAATTTTAATTTTAATTTTTTTGTCCTTAACGGTAATTGTGTACAAGGGTAAAATAGGTTATTTATATTTAAAATTAGTATGGGGTGTAAAGAGTAATTAATGGGGTGCCAATAAAATCACCCTTTAACTTATTTGGTACATTTTCAAACCACAGCAATTATAAACCTAATTTCATTCAAATTTAAATTGAAAGGATATGTCAAAAACGATATAAAAAAAAATTACTTATTTTCGTTTGGGTGTCTTAATTAAATTTCTCCAAAGCCCAAGAGCCCCAAGGCCCAGTCTTTGATTAATATAATTATTATTAATCAACGCCAAATCCAAAGCCAAGCCTATAGCCAAGCCCATTACCCCAACTTTCCAATTTTAACCACACTTACCAACCATCATAGTGCTTTGTTTATAAAGACTTTTATAGGATTGTGGATTTTTAATGTGGGGTGTTCACAAAGGGCACCTCAAAAGATATCTTCAAAGTACAGCCGCACAGCTGTACTCCAAAAAAATATAATATTTGAAAAGTCCAGTTGCGTAGCTATACCCTTTAAGTAGCTCTCTTTTTTAATTACTTTGATTAGTAGTTATGTTTTACTTAGTGAATATTAAAGGAAAAAAGAAAAAGAAAAAATTGAATTACTATTTATTAAGTAATATAATTCATGAAGTTAATTAATAAATTTAATACTAATTATTCACTAAATAAATAATAATTAAAATATAATTACTAATTTAACTAATTAAATAAGGCAAATATATTAATTACTAGCAATAAAATTTTAAAAAATTAATTAACCTAAATTGCAAATGGCATTTAACATTGGTGGACAAGATGTGGTACTCAAAGGAGTGCCACCTCCAACAAAAAAAATTGAAAGTGAACGTGACGTTTGGCAAGAGGTGGAGGAAAATAAAGATGGAGCTCTTCCCCAAATCTATTCCCTCAATCTCAGTTTTTCAGATGGGGGAAGGAATGTCACGTGCTTAGTGGAATTGCTTAAAGTAGTGGCTACGTGTCTTTAGTTGTTGAATACTGATAGAGTTGCATGTCTTTTAAACTTTAGTTGAGTAATTGTAGGAGTCTAGTTAGTCACTCTCATAGTGGAAAGATGTCGTGAGAAAGTATTTCCTATTTTTATGCTTTCAGTTAGAGTCTGGTCTATGTATAAATTCCAATGACTTTTCATTAATGGGACAACTGATAATATTCCTACTATTAGTTAATCTAACTTGGAGGTTTTGGGTTCCCTCGAAGCAACCCTTTTCATCTAATTTTTATCCCAACTGAGCTTTCTAGATATTGCTACAACCATAGGAGGCCGTAAGAAGAAGACTACATACCAACTCCCTGTATCTAATTGCCCAATCACACGAGCCATGTCCCAAGCATTGACCAAAACATGAAGGAGATTCACTCCTAGATTAACAGTCTGAATGAGGAGGCTGAGAAGAAACAAGTCCAAGTAGAACCAACAGGACTGAGTGTCTGTAACAACAGATCATGGAATAGAGAGGCATGCTTTTTAGACGAACAATATGAAGACTATGCAGAGGCAACCATGTTTCATCATCATATAGGGCTTGGTGGTGGTGGGGACGAGATGATTATGCCATTTGGGGATCATAATGCTATTTGGTATAATAATGTCTTTTTCTCTTGAATTATTTATTTAGTGTTTGTTTCTAGACATTGTCTCTAGGTGATTTCTTTGATAATTTACTTGATTTCTTATTTTTATTTATTGTAATTGAGTATAATTTATAAATATAAAGGCATACGCCTCAAATGATGAAAACGTTGAACAATATGAAAAATATTTTGGATTAACTAAAATGCAAAGAAACCACAGTTTAATATCAAGAGGATAAAGGATAATAAACTTTGATTAAGAAAAAGGATAAGAAACTTATACTAATGGGGTGTTAGTTGCATTGGCCCAGGCCTTTGGCGTGCTTCTAAGTTGTCTTGAGTTCAAACCTCTTAGTTCCCGTGTGTGTGAGCAGTGGAGAATCCATGAATTTTTCAAGGGAGCTGCAATATTTAAAAGGCTAGGTAAAAAAAAAAAAAAAAAAAAAAAAAAAAAAAAAAAACAACACACAAAAGGTCTATAAGGTCTAATTACTAATTGATTATAATCTATATAGTATATCAATTAATATATAAAAAACTCATGTCAATTACATAATTAATTGACCAAATTTATACCAAATCATCAATTAATCTAACGAAAATCAATATGAAATAATCTAATTAAAATGCATATCAAATTATCAATTAAACAAACAAATCATAATTAATCTACTCGAGTTTGCTATTGATCATGCGAGAATACACAGAGAGCCAAATCAGAAAAATAAAAAAAATAAAAACATAACATATTATAAATATAAAATATCAAACAAGACCAAATAAAAAAGAAACAATCGGTTGCTGAAGAATATAAAAAAAAATTCAGAACCGGACCTTAAGGTTAAGGCTTGCTGGGAGGGATGAGGGGTATCAAGTTATCAATATCAAAGCGGGTTGGGCTTCCCTTCTTCAACACAAAGTCGTGCTGTGGCTTTTGAACACAGTGCAAGCTTTGGATTGGACGCTGAGGTAAAGCTTCTTCTTCGTATTAGGTTTCCTTTGCCAATGCGTCTTTTTCTTTTTATTAAATTTTTTTTTACCTAGTTCAAAACGATGTTGTTTTGGCTAGGATTCTTTAAATATATATATATCCCCTTCTATTGAGGGATGCCATTTAGGGTACCCTATAATTTTTTTTTCTAATGATCAAAACAATCTATTTTTTAGGTATTTATTCATAGATCATCCTTACAAAAAATTAGACAAATTGGAAACTGTTTCGACATCCAATTGTGTCCTACAAAATCAATGAACACGGTGCTTCAAGAAAGTACTAAAATTTCAATAACTCAATTGAATGGTCAAATGATATCGGATTCAAGTGATTTTTTGTAGAAATGATATTTGAATGAGTATCTACAAAATAGACGGTTTGGATTAGTGAAATACAATCCTGAGTGGGCCCTACAAGGGGTGTCCCACAAATAAGCTTATTTGAGGAATCTCTCAATGGAAGCTCTTTGTATATATATAAACGTGCAGTGTGGGCTGCGCACCAAAGCAAAGAAGTTAGCCTTTTTGATGCATTTTTACAAACAGTTAGTGGGCATCTGCAGAGGGGCAACTTCTAGAGCTACCAAAGCTTTTTCCGGCGAGGGGAGGTGCAGTTGCACCTCCTTGTGCCTCTGTGAGTCCACCAATGTGTGTGAGTTTTCCCCCTCCCCATTCCTAAATTTGGCAAAAAAAAAAGGATAAGAAATTTATCAATTTTTTTTTTAATCAAGTAAGAAACTTATGACAAAACACACCTTTAACCATTTTACTATAATATATCATTTCGTTTAACAATTAAATATAAAACAGAAAACAAATTATCTTCCACTTGTTCGAGAATTTCCTAAACTCGAACGTCATGAATATTAAATAGATTAAAATAATAAAACAAATGTCTACATCCAATATTAACTAGCCTCTCTGTACGCACTTCCACACTTGCGAGAGACTTTTTTTTAAATAAAATTTTAATTTTTTTTAGAATTAAAAAAGATAATGGGTAGTTGTGTTCCATAAAAATAAGATCTATTATTTAATTTTTCTTTTAATTTTAATTTTTTAAATATGAAAAAGTGTGAATTTATCATATTATTTTCATTTAATTAATAATTTCAATTCTTAATGTTTGCATTAACTAAGGACTGAATTTGCATTAACCAATATGCAAACCCAAACAACTGAATTTGGATTTAGGGACTAAATTCCAAATCCACACCCCAAATCATCCCTTATCCAAACATGCCTAAAATTAATCAATTCAATAGCAGATGCATCTAAGGACTGAATTTGCATTGACCAATATGCAGACCCAAACAACTGAATTTGGATTTAGGGACTAAATTCCAAATCCACACCCCAAATCATCCCTTATCCAAACATGCCTAAAATTAATCAATTCAATAGCAGATGCATCTGTACATTTACAAGTTAATTTGTCTTTAGAAAAGGTATGTAATGGGTCGAATCGGAGGCGTGTATGCCATATTCATCCCCATTCCTGTTTAGCTTTTTGCCCCCATTCCCGTTATGATAAAATACCAAATCTCCTGCATTTGGAGTGGAATGTTCATTCCCCCCTCCCATAATATCCGTTTGTATTAAAAAAGAAAAATGCAAAACATATCCCCGCATTTAATTCTCATTCAAAACGTAATCTCCAAGAATTCATTAGGTTGCCCTATTCCTACTTTATATATAGCATAGGCTCTCCTCTTAAGAAAACTCACAAATGCATCATCTTCTTACTAGTTTGCATTTTTCATTTCATTTTCTCTGAGAGCCATGTCTAGAAAGAAGGTGAAACTAACCTACATCAGTAATTACTCGAGTAGAGAAACAACATTCAAGAAAATGAAGTAGGATCTAATGAAGAAAGTGAGTGAACTCAACAACCTTTTTGATGTTCCAGTATGTGCCATAATCTATAGCCTACATGAGATTTGGCCATCCTCTCTCCAAGTGCAACGCAATCTTAAAAAATTAAGACCATGCTGGAGATGGAACAAAGCAGAAAGATGGTGAACCAAGAAAGTTTTCTGAGGCAGATGATTGAGAAAGCCAATGAACAATTGAAGAAACAAAGGAAGGAGATGGCGAGGGTGCTATTCCATAGTTTGATTGGTAAGTCCCTCCACAGTTTGAACATGGTTTCTTTGAATGATCTGGGTTGGCTGATTGACCAAAGCTTGAAGGAGATTCGCGTCAAAATTAAGATTCTGAATGAGGAGAAGGAGAACAAACAAGTCCAAGTAGAACCAATAGGACTGCTAGTGCCTGCAACAACAGATCATTGAATTGAGAAGCATGCTTTCGAAACTAACAGTATAGAGACGATGCAGAGGCATCCATAGTTCATGGGCATGAAGAACCCACAAGATCAGCATATGGGGGTGAGGGTTGGTGGTGGAGATGAGATTATTATGCCATTTTGGGGTCAAAATCATATTAATGTTATTTGGTCTAATAATGCCTTTTTCCCTTGAATGATTTAGTATTTGTTTATAGGCAGTCTCTCTGTATTGGCCAAAAGTGTAAAGTGATTTCTTTGATAATTTTGAATTCATAATTGAGGCCGAAAGGTCGTAAGTCACAAGGACCAATATAAATACAAATAATTATATAAGATTAATACAAATATGGAAGAGCAGTAACCACAAGAGGTTAATCCAAATATAAAGGAGTTCACCAGCAACAACATGCGCACAATATATACCTTAAATGGTGAAACATTGAAAAACCTAAAAACTAAATTTGATTAATTAAAATTTTAAAAGGTCTCATTGGAAAATTGCATTGGCCTATAGACCAATAGTCTAGGTTTGAACCCCCGTGGTACCTACCTTCCAAACCTTGGCACCACTATTTAATGTCATGAGGGTAAAAGGGTATGAAACTTAGTATTAAATAAATAACAACATTAAAAGAAACCCACATTCTAAAGTTGGGTAGTTACCCTCCGAAGGAAGTTGAGCCCATATTGTCAACACGCCCCTACATGTGAAGAACTTTCAAGCCTAAGACATGGGAGTACGTATGGTTGTTGGGTCCAACACGTGAATATATGCCCTAATACTATGAAGGATGTTGAGGTTCCATCCCAAAATTAATTACAAATCAGGAAAGTAGCTCAACTCCATATAATCTCATGCTAGGTCCTTTAACAGTTCAAAGTTGGACAATACTCTCAACATCCTCACCCTTTCACACATTTTCCCTTTTTTTATTTATATACTTTTGCATTTATGTTAATAAATCTAAAACTGAAAACACATAACATATGACAAATTATCCTCCACTTCATTAGAGAATGTATTAACTAGAATTTATTTTGTTTTTAAATAGATTAAAATTATTAAATAAATTAGAAACAATGTAAAGGCCTGAATTAATTGTAGGCTTAACAAAGGAAATATGGGTCGAGGCCTCCTGCCTTGAGTCACAAAGAGACCAAAAATGTGGGAATTGACCTTGTCATGCGTCTTCTCTAAGAAACAGATTTCTGATTGTTTTATGTGTGTGTCTATATATATATTAAATTATGGGTTGACACCGTGCTCCTCAAGAACAATTTGCTTATTATTAATTTTATTTAAATCACCGCTTAATATTGATGTGCAAGGCTATTTAGCATTGTTAATTGATTTATTTTAATAGCAAGTTAGTTAGGGAATATTTATATGTACATAATTTGCAATCCCTAATCAAGGATGGACCAAGTGGCTTTGACCAATGAAGCTTCTAATCTTTAAGAAATCAAAAAGAAGTCCGTTGGAAGCCAGAGCTTCAAGTATCTTCTTGTATAAAGGAGTGCCTCTGAGCTCATTGAAAAGCAGGCACTTCTCATTGCATTTCAGTTGAGAGAGAGAGAGAGAGAGAGAGAGAGAGAGAGAGTGGCGTCAATGGTGTCAAAATCAAACAAAATGAACAAGCATATTTGTCTGTATGCCCTACTAGGACTGTTTGCAGGTGTTATTTTCAGCTCTTGCTTGCATGGGTCTCAAATGAATTTGGAGGAGCAACTTAATAGAGCCCCTCTTCTTACACAGAGTTTTGGTGAGTTCAAAATCTATCTCATACCTTTTGTTGGCTGAAATACGTACCTTGACGGTATGAAGAAAACATTTGTTAATGTAAACCAACAGAAGAAACAGAAATACATTAAGAGTTGATTATGCAAGAAGCATTTCACCTTTTGATTTTAGATAAAAACATTACGTGCTCTTAACAAACACTCTAATCTGGCTGTGCAGTTCAATTGCAAGGCACCGTGGCTAGAAGGATACAAGATGGCTCCATCACTCTCACAGTTAAATTCCTCCATTTCTTCATTGCAAGGTTTCTACAGTTCCGACATTCATCCCCCGTGCAGCCACCACCTTATTCTACATCGATGCTATTCTGGGTAGCAGTTACTCGATCAGTTTCTTCCACGTCCGACCTCTCGTTGTAATAAAGATAATAATTTTAGAAATTTTGGTCACTATTCTGTAATTACCTAACAATTTCAATCAAAATTTGCCGACACCACTGCCCCTTTTTTTCCGTGTTACTCTAGTCTTTACCGTCAATGCAAAGGAAACACCATTCCACGCGGCCCATATTCATGAAAACACAAAACTCCATTTTCACTAGAACAAAAATTTAACGGGAAGCTTGCACTTGAACTGTTCGATTCTATAGTCAAATCTGTACCGACAAATTAAACATAACAGGGGAAAGACTAGAACATGTATCATGTACAGGACCACTGTATTGAACAAAGTATAGTGTTTTTGCTAACTGTAAAATAGACGAAGAATTAAAGGTCAATGCAATTTATCACCATCCAGCCACTCAAGTGTAGGAACTAACTTGACCAAAAGCGACTTGAAGTTTTCACCAGAAATTGCATTTCCCACAATGGCTAATTGTGTCAAGCTCATGCTTTTAAATATCAGAACAGCTTCCCAATTATCTTTCACACTGGCACCCCCCGTCACAATTTCTTCACCGTTCCAACTAGTTTCTTCTGTATGGGAAAGAGGAGTAGAACATAGATACCTTGTCGTATCAATAGTGTGTGAGCCTATCTCATTGTATGAGATATCCAACACTTCTAGTGACTTCAACAGTCTCAACGGCCCCAGAGCAGTTAAACTACCAAGCCTGTTGTTACTCAGATTTAAGCAAGACACAAGCTGCATGGCCTCCAATCCTGTCCAAAGGCCCAAGTATAAGACATTCCTCTCAACAGAAAACAATCAAATACATCTTATTGGCTACTAAGATGCATAACGTACAGACAAAGCCTCAGATAACCATGCAAGATGCACCACAAAGGCGTACAAGATGCACAACATGAGCAAAAGAAGCATACCTTCAATTGAACGAAGTTCATTGTGGCTGAGATCTAGCATTTGGACCCACAGTAATTTCTCAATTGAACCCATTCGTGATAAGGATAATTTGCTTAGTCGTAGACATATATCATTACCAATGCTTGAAGAAGCCAAGTTTTTATAGCTAAAGCAGTGGTTTAACAGAGACTCCCTATTGGAAGTTACCTGCAACATATAACAAACTATGAAACTTCAAAATGCGAAAACTAAAGTAAATGGAAGTTCTAATAAGTTCTTACTTGTTAATAAATCTTAAATGTCTCTAAAACACAAAAATAGTTGCCTACCAAAATTCAAATGAGGTTTCTCTAAACAAATACCAACATTACATTGGACCAGTTCTCCCAAAAGACCAATTGAAACAAACAGAAACATAATCTTACAAATATATTAAATATTTTTCACTTCAGAAATCAAAATGTCGGATATAAGTGTAGCATGTATTCTATAAGCCAGCAATAATGCGAATCCAGACGCATGCAGCATCACCATATAAAGTACATATATAGAGACGCAAAACATATATATACACTTTTCCATTGCAGAAATTAGATTATTTAATTGCAAAATTATGAGTCAGTGTAATCCAACAAATAGTTCAGGACCTTCAGCCACTGACACAATCACAGAATGTGAATATAAATCCAGATGCACACATAGCAGCATTATGAACAAATAAGAATGGACCATGACTTACTACATGAGGAGAAGTGATAATTACCTTCTGCAGCAAAACTAAGCTGTGCTCATCTTTGTAATACTGAGAATGTAACGGGTCCAACTTTATTAAGTCAGTATAGAGTTCAAGAACTTCTTCAGAATGGGCCATTTTGCTTGTGCGTGGAGACAATATAACATCATGCGCTGTTAATAATCTTGCTAGTGTAAGCTTTCCAATTTTACTGCAAAAAAAAATGTGTTTTACTTATAGAGATAAGAAATAATACCAAAATGGGAACTTCAGACATTAAAGCTGCACATGAAATGTAACCAACCAACCAGTTAAGCTCTGACAATTCCCGGAAGAGAGCTATTTCATTAGCAATAGTCTCTGCACGCCAATTTGATGCTGTCGGCTCATGATCATTAATAATTAATTGATCAATAGGAACTACTTCATCTGGCTCCTGAGATTGTGGTTGGTACATATGAAAGTTTTCATCTCTCCACAAAATTCTCTGCCCACCCTGCTTTGTAGCTGGTTCAGTTTCAATAGGGCGTAAACACACTTTGAAAGCAAGCTGTGTAGGATGGCTATAGTGAATGCCACTAGCAGAGATGATGCCCTGAGACTGCCCAACACTAATTTTCAGCTGATAAGCTTCTGAAGAATGGGGCTTTACATCTGGAAATTTAATATGCGTAACCCAAACTTGGGACAGCTGGGAGTTATTTTGTAAAAGTGGTTTCCAATTAAGATCTTTTGTGCAAAACAAAGATTCAATGGTTATAGTGGATGAATTTACACCTTCAACAGCTTGATTGAAATAAAGAATCAGTGGAACTGTTCCTGAATCAGAATGGAAACTATCAAACGGAGAAAAAGAAGAGTCATCTGAGCGCCTATTTCTCAACAAAATGACATCAGATTCATGGGCAGGCCAAGAAGCAACAAGAAGAGGAGCATCTGTTTTCACCATTTGATCAAGAAGCCAAAGATAATAAAACCAACCACTTTGATCATCTGGATCCGTAAAAATAGCATCGTGTACATGCTCATACTCATCATTCAGAACCTTCTCTTTTGGGAAAAACCCTTGGGATTTTTTCTTCATCAAATTACACAGGAGTACACTGCAATTTGATCAATAAATTCAATGAATAATAAACATGCTTCATGAGGTAAAACATACAATCAGAAATTGATCTTTTTCTGGATGTTGTAACTGTTTAGTAACCTAACCAGTGAGTACATAAAAGTACAAGCCAAGAAAAATGGCAAGGAATCCTAAGGAAAATATAAATCATTTTTATCTTTTTATTATATCTGTTTGATGCAATTACACAATTCTATTTTCCAATTTGATTTTGCCTGGAGATTACTAGTGCAAGTAGTATAACCAACACACTAGGAACCAAGTCAATACAGTACAATATAGCAGAAGGGCCATATTCAGTTCAACATTTGAAGAAACTACATTCATTTGGCTTGTAAGTAAGCAGAGGAAAGAAAGTAGTTTTTTTATTTACAAATGTAGAATAAAAAAAGCAATTTGTTACAACAATATGTCAAATTGCACTCAGAACCGCCAAAATTTTATTTTTCTTATCTATACATTCACTCCAAGTTCTTGGAAATAACCAAAGAGGGAGAAGCAATACATTGTTCTAAACATAGGTGAGAGATGTTACTAAAAGGCTGAATTTTCTTTTAAACTTAAATAAATTTGAATAGAAAGTTAGCTGTAAGAAAGAGATAGTTCACAAAAATTTGATTATTTGTTTCAATTTTCAGTCCACGGTCTAATAAAATGACTCCCTTCCACATTTTCTTTTCTTTAACCAATTACAGTGTTTACTCTGCTCCAACGAGGCTCAAGAACTGGTAATTTAACATCTGCATGTGTGGTTTGGGACAATGCAACATGCATGTATGTTAATATACACTAACTACAAAAAACAAGTAGCATCCAAAACTAACCAAAAAGGAATGAGAGTTAAATGTTTGCACATGAATCTACTGATATAATTGGCTGCGGTATATAAAATATAAATAAAACACATGTTTCACGACAACGTATTCAATCATACATTCCAATCCAATTAAATTCATAATTGATAAATGAGTACCAGAATGCTCATGACTAAAATCAAATACTGCCATACCTCCGATTATGCCATGCCGAATAATTGCTGAAATTGTGTTCTATCATTTCCCTAGTGTAATCCAATTCTTCCTCCTCTGATCTATTCAATAACGCAGCTACAAATCTGGAAGGTAAAAAAATCCATAAAACAAACAAACTAATGAGTAAATTGATATCATTCAACACAAATTTGAAATTGAGGGCTCCTCATTCCTCAAGCAGGAGTTGCAACTAAATCTCACCGGCGGTAATTCCAAGCATTAAAATTCCGGGGATCCAACTGCTGGAACCTTTTGAGAAGCTTCAATTCACGGTCTAAAACCGAATGGCCCTTGCTCAGCACCCATTTTCGATGATGCCAAGCTCCGTAGGATTTGAAATTCTGTTTCAACGCGCTTTCTACCTACACAAACACAAAACTCGACAATTTCAGCATTTCAACTAATTTGAATTTCATCTCAACAAACAAAAGCAAATTTGAATTCAAATACATACAAGTCCGAGTTCTTGGTCGAGAATGGACTTGAGCGAGTCAGGATCGGACTCGGACTGCGCGAGGTTGTGCTGGACGACGAGTTTCCTGTAGTTCCAAGCCGTGTAGGACTCGGGGTTCTGCTGGACGAGCTTGGCGCTCAATTGCTGAGCTTCGTCTGTGTAAATCTTGTTGTGGTGGTTGGAGAGCAACTGAGACTGGAGAGCGCGAAGCTCTTGGGCATGGGCGGCGGAAGCAGCTTCATCCTCTGGCTTCGCGGCTTTGCGAGGTCGTCCGTGCATTTTGCTTTCGTCTTCGGCGGGATTTGAAGATCGCTTTCTGCGTTTGGAGAAGTGGTTCTCGCGATTTAAATCCTTCGATATCCAATCAGAAATAAATTTGTTTACTTAAGCCTTGAAAGTAGAGATATTTAGTCTAAACGGGAGCGGATCTGCCTCATCTCTCCCTCTCGTTCTCTCTCTTCACGCCAACAACATTGGCAACGGCGGTGAGCTTGCCAAACTCCAAACTTGAGGTGACTGACATCAAATTTCGAGGCCAATCTCTCCCTCTCTTTCTATCTCTTCTTGGCGGCCTCCGATGTGGCTGATGCAAAGTGAGAGACTGATAGGGAGAGAGGAGAGTAAGTCAAAACAGAGAGAGATAAGGGGTTTGGGTTGCACTGTGGGAGAGGGAGAGGGGCGGTGCAAAAAGAGAGAAGGACAGGGAGATATGAGAGAGAAGGGGATTGCTTACTCTGGCATCCCTGTGCCAGGGAAGTTTTTTTAATTCGTTTTTGAAATGATGTATTAACAAGGCGCACATTTCAATTTTTAATTGGACTGACATCGTAAATTCATTACAAGTCTATTTTTAATTACGTTTATTTTTAAGTCGTGACCTCCAAATCACAGGTACTTTTGGTAAGATTAATTTGTATTAATTTTAGTTAGATTAATTGTGTAATTGATATGGATTTTATTTATATTTGATAAGAATTTTGATAGACTAATTGTATAATTGTAAAACTCTTATTTACATTTTTTAAATTGATATATATATATTTTCTATTTTATAATTAAGTGGGTTGATGTAGAAATGCAGAAAATATGGGTGTGTAGCTCGAGATAGAAAGCCAGAAACATGGGTGCTATAATAAGGGATGAGATCCTAATATGCTTTCGTTATTCAAGATGATGTCTGATTCTTTCATTACTATTTAAACTAGGACATCCTTCAATTTGAAAACAAAAGCAAACTAGAGGGAAATTAATCAAAATGGAGTTCCCTTCGATTCCTGGAGCCTCAATAGATTTAAATTTATCCCCTGCTCCTTCTTCAAACCAAGAAATAACACGTGAAAATGTTGTGTTTCCACACTCCAATTTTCACACCGGTTTTACCTCTATGCAAGCTGCAAATATCCACAATGAAATCCCAGCAACTATCAACATGCTTACACCATTGCGAACTTGGTAATGGCAAGGAGGTTTGACAAGATTGCAATGGAAGAGACCAATTTTTTTTAATGCTTATTGTGTTGCTTTGGTATCAAATGTAGGATTACGTCTGCTAGCGAGAAACCAAGAGTGTGCTTCATTGACTGCTCTAGTTGCATTCTTGAAGGCCAAAGTTGTTGAATTGCATGGGCAACTCAAGCAATCAAACCGACATATAGAAGCACTAAAAAAGAAAAATCGAGACTTTGCTGAACTAGTGGAGGGCTTACAAACTCGAGTATCGAGAAGAGACAGATAAAGTCTCATATTGTGGAATCAGGAAGCGCGCCATGATGATAACATCTTCAAAAAAACTTTTTTCTTTTGGGTATTAGACGAAGAGTTTCTAGTGCGCCATTTGCGTGTTTGTATGTATTTTTTTAACAAAATTTATTATTAGTTTTAAATAATTAGATAGAAAATGACTTATTTGTCCTAAAAAAATGCCTCAACAGTTTATTCTAAAAAAAATTCGACATTTTTACACTATGACCCTATGACCCGAGAATTATGGATCCACCACTGCTCTTCCCGTCCTTGAAATTCCCTCACAATGCAAACTACCTTAGGACCCTTCAATTCATTCAATAAAATTATAAAATCACTAATTCAAGCCTTTTTTTTTGGCTGCATGAATCCCAGAAACCCAATTGAAAGACCATCAAAATTGAAACCCTTCCAATTATGAAACCCAAATTTGAGGGGAGATCGGGAAGAAGAGGATGTGGCAGTGGAAGAGAAGGGGGCCACAGGGTGGAGGTTGTGTGTGGCTTTTAGGCTTGGGGCTGTCAAGGTTGGGTACCTGGCTGGGGAACTTTGTGACTGCCCTTTGTTTTGCTTAAGGGTTAACAATGTTATTATTAGGGTTAAGTGGGTGATCACGTGTCAACAAATTATACAAGGACAGGAAAGGACATGAAAAATAGGGACAGCGGATCCCCTCCCAAGACTAAACACTGATCGCAAATTTCTCGCAAACATTATTTAAACATTTCCTTATTATCTGTGAGGTTTTAGATCACAAAATGGTCATATAAGTTTTTTTTTTCTTCTTTTCTTATAATTCTTCGATGTTTATATTTGTATTATAATACATGTATCATTCACTTATATTATAGCACTTCAATTGGAAACACATTATACCATGAGAAAAACTTATGTCTCACACCTTATAGTTTCTTGAAAGTCGCAATGAAATGGAGGAAATCAATCATCTTTCGTTCCTTCATCATTTAACTAAAATGAGTTTTGGGAATTTGAAAGAAGATTATTTGGCCGCCTTATTTTTTAATTACATTAAAACGGTTCTAATCCTATCCCTAACCCTACCCATTAGGCAACAAAGGCGTCTTTATCAAAAGAAAATAATTAAGTTGGCCTTCTTCGTTTTACTCATTTGGTTTTCAGAGACAGCTTTGTTCACACGGTAAGGAGGAAGAGAAATAAATATAAGGCTGACAGATGAAACCCCAAAAGAAAGAAAAGAAAGATAATTAGCAACGTCCATAATTCACTATTCCAAAAGAAATCCTGGCCAACAACATACATGCCTTCCATCCACAAGATTAATGGGGTATTCTACGAACTGGTGGAAGTTAATCAAATCAGTTCAGTGAATACAAGCCGATGTCATAATCTAAACTACAAAGGGGAGGGAGGGTTTCTCACACATACACTACCAAGGTGCCGTGAGGGTTCAAACCTAAAACCCCTGTTCTGCAAGTCAAGGCTCTTTCTCGCATCCTTGTTCAAAACAACTGCAGGCCTCAGTTTCTGTTAGATAATAATAAGTCCTACTCCTACCATATATTTCATTTTTCTTTTCTTTTATAGGAATACTCCTACCATATATGTTACACCTGCTTGGATTCATTTCCTGATTGGTTCAGACCAGCCATGACATTTGAAGCCTCCAAATAATGTATGTCGGAGCTGTTTGCAAGTGAAACCGCCTTCCCTGCTTTGGTCACCATATTCGCTTCCTCGGCCACGGAAGTTATATTTCCACATGAAATTGGATTTGCTCCCACATCAAGAGTCCCATTGTCGTTGTGATTGAAAAGCTGTAGGTTGGAGTTGTCTGCACCTGAAACCACCTCCCCTGCTCCGGACACCATATTCGCTTCCTCCGCCACAGAAGTTATATTTCCACAAGAAATTGGATATGCTCCCACATCATGAGTCCCATTGTCGTCACTGTGATTGAAAAGCTGTAGGCTGGAGTTGTTTGCAAGTGAAACCGCCTCCCCTGCTTTGGACACCATATTCGCTTCCTCAGCCACGGAAGTTATATTTCCACATGAAATTGGATCCACATCAAGAGTCCCATTGTCGTCCCCGTGATTGAAAAGCTGTAGGTTGGAATTATTTGCAAGTGAAATCGACTCCCCTGCTCCAGACACCACATTCTCTTCCTCGGTCACGGAAGTTATATTTCCACATGAAATTGGATATGCTTCCACATCAAGAGTCCCATTGTCGTCGCCATGATTGAAAAGCTGTAAGTTGGAGTTGTTTGCAAGTGAAACCACCTCCGCTGCTCCGGACACCATATTCACTTCCTTGGCCAAGGGAGTTATATTTCCATATGAAATTGGAAATGCTCCCTCATTAAGAGTCCCATAGTCGCCATGATTGAAAAACGAAGCTGTTGACTGTCCCTTTTTTGCACTAAAAGTATTAACCTGGGGAACCGAACCAGGTTCCGAGGCAGATGTTTGATTCTCACTTGGGATAACATGGGACATCGAATCATGAGCATTTGGTGTAACTTCTGCATCCATTGGTTTAACAGATGGATTAGCTCCCCCTCCTGATATTTCACTACCACCTACATTTCGAACTTGAGTCTGGCCCACCATGTCTCCTGAGAGTTTCTTTTTGAAGTTTCTCTTCTTAAATCGACCTTTCTTTGGTTTAGGAACATTAGCAGTCTCTTCAGATTTAGTATTTGATTCTGCCCGCCTTTTTTTAGATGGAAGCACTGTTAACTGAGTGTTGCCAACTGGTTCCATAGATGACTCAGATTTACTTGACCGGATAGCTAACAGAGCAGTTCTAGCTACTTTTATCTCAGCTTCTTTTTTCGTTTTTGCCGCAGCTCCAACATAACGAATTCCCCCGATCTCTACAGTACATGAAAATAGTGGCACTCTACCAGGAGTTTCTTCCTTTTGGCACTGATATAAAGGAATAGCATAATTCATCTTCTGTGCATACTCTTGAAGCAGATTTTTGCACAGACCAGTTTCATGCTAGAACAAACAGCCAAATCAAAGTTAGCCGTGATTAAACTGAGATGCAATGTCAACGAGTCAGCGATAATAACAAATTTAGCTTTTCTCAGTAATTCAGTGAAGGATAAATCAACTTACAATAGGTTGCGAGATGGATTGATTGATATCACCAGACTTAGCTAACTCCACGAGAGCAACTTCAGCAGCTGACTGCTCTGCTAACTTACGATTGGAAAACCCAAGCAAAGAATCATATCTGACATTGTTAACTATTACTGTGGACTTAAAGGAAGGCTCATGAGAAGGACCTTCTTTTATAGTCTCATACACTGGTGTAGGTATTTCCACTTTTTGTGCATATTCTTGTAACTGGCTCTTGAATACATAGCAATTTGAAACACCTTGTATAGGACAGAAAATATATGAAATAAGATACATAAACCCAAGCTTATTAAATCCATGAGAAAGATACATATATACCACATGAAACTAGGTAGGTATGAGCCTTCTTTCCAGGGGAAAGAACATGATTCCATAGCCAGCTGACGTACTATTACTTTCCCACAT